GGCATTGTCGGTCTTTGACAAAGTAGGTTTCGTAACCAAATACGAATATTAAAATAGTAGATATTCCGTAGAAGACCGTCAGAATTCCAAATGAAACCTTCCAGTTGCTGCCTGCACCTATATATCCGGCTAGAGCAGGGCCAATAAAAGGGCCTATCAAGAACGTAGTTCCCCTGGAATAGTCTGTTAGATCACCCACCAATCATCAATCGCCAATATCGCGAGGTTAATCTTCAGATGTGTGGCTCGTACCAAATATTTATCATCTGTGGCCAGTCTGTAGATTTTGTGAGTTTAGATTTTTCCAAATGTACCGAGACTAGTTTTCTTTTCTACATACCTTCCAGACGATACATGTCATGGATGATCGGCAACCCGACAACTTGTGGGACTGTACCAAATAGACCTTGGAGAGATCGACATGCGGTAAACGTGCTGTAATTATTTGAAAGTGTTGCACCGAGGACCATGAAGGTGGTAATAAACTGGGGCCATAACCAAACAGGGAGACTGTTTTGATCTTAATCTTTACATCGACACCTCTAGAAGCCAGCAAGATAGCACTTACCGTCCATAGGCTTCAATCAAGGGGATGGCTATAAGACCACCTATACCTTGCAACAACATACCATAATTCATGCTTGTCGCTGAATGATTAATGCTGATACCCCACTCCATGGCTTGAGGAACAATTAACGTCGACCCCCATGTCATTCCACTGCGGCAATGGTTAGTAGGGGGTGCGTCTCCCGGAGTTTATGGCAACACGACATACCCATCAGCCAGGATGGAGCTTGACATGAGTGCTATGAACATCAAGCGCCTTTTTGTTGGACTCCAGTTCCGAGGGTTGCAATCCTCATCATCCTCAAGGGTGGTGACATGGGATTCAATCTTTTCCGGTACAGTCCTGTCGAGCTTGCCCATTGGAAATGCTGACTGCTCAACCTTTGGTTCAGCCATTGTCCGTGGTATGGTGACTCAAAGCGTAGGTCAAGAACACTTTGGATTGACTTTCTTGAATGACTGGGTTGGCTGAGGGGTGTTCAAGTGGAAGATTGGCAGGAGCATTAGACGACGTAGGCGGGGCCACGTGGTTAATGCATCACCCAACGCCTTGTAGCAGCATTTTAACTTGCATTATGATTCAGTTCAGTTTCAGGAATGATCAAGCGAGGCAACCACAAAAGAGGATGTTACCTGATGGGTCGAAATTTACAACCACCATCGGCTTTTCCGGGAATTCGACCGAACTAGACCATGCATAGAATTTGATCAATAACTAAAAATCGAAATCCATTATACCGCGTAACACCACTATAGGCGAACGTGGCTGATTGGTAACGTCAAAAATGACTGGCAGGGATAAATCAGTCTAGAGATGTTTACTAGTGGGTGGTTAGCGCTGGGACGAAAGCCTAAGATATTTTCCCGCCGCTGTATACCAGGGGTAATTTACCATTAGGTTGTATCATTGCGCCAACATAATATAACCGTGAAACTAGCTCCATGTCGATCTAAACTTCCTTGTGGACAATTCAATCGGGTTGATTTGATCTCTGGAGACACAATACACATACGAGGGAGTTTTTGCTGGTCGGTCGCACACTGTGAACAACAAGCTTTAGCCATCCTGCAAAGGTTATCGATTGCTCCGTTGGACACCCAAAAATGTCTTCACTTCCACCTGGGGTCGCTCTTGCGAGCACGGTTACTTCGGTATGTCTCGGAACCATTCTATAGACCCATCTACATACTCACTTCATGATTTAAGGTTGCTGCGCTTGGGTTCGTACCAGTTGCCCTTCATTTCGACCTCTTTGACACTTTGGCAAAGATCGAAGGCCCAGCGAGCGGAGAAGATGTTCTGGCTGCTTATAGAAGTAGCAAGGGTGATAAGGCTGAAGATAACGTACCATGTGTGTCTCATGTGTTCTCTGTCATGAAACGCAGCTAACTCTAACTCTAACCTATAGGTTTACGTTTAGTTGGTAAGAATGTTCCATTTCAAATTACCTACAGCATAGAATGAGACGCGGGCGATTCACTCCACTTTCTTACAGAGGATACCCTGTATGCTATGTCCGGTCTGGGCTTCGTTGACACTGCCGGGGACGATGTGTACAGTGCCAATGCGATCACCAAACACTTGGCTTCCATGCCTTCCGCGCAACATGGAGCACTTCACTTGTAAGATGCCCCCCACGGTAAACTCACAAAATATTTCTTAGTGTAGAAAAAGCATCATTATTTATGAATTCAACTCTACGAAGCTATGCTGACCGGCTACAGTACAACGGAGGCTCTCCTAGGCGCTGCATTCTTGATGAGGAAGTTGAAAGCAGATAACTTTGAATACCCTTTCAAAGAGTTGGATACGCCCTACCAATACGCCTATCACTTAATGGGACAGGAGGAGCTAGCGAAGCAGCACACTTACTCCATCATGGCCAACGAAGGCCGGATGGACAGCTTCAACCACTTCATGGTTGGCAAGTTCATGAGGACAAATAGTGCTCCCGATCGCCTTAGGGCACTCGGATACGACTTGCAATCGGTGCTCAGCGAGGCAAGAGACGCTGTTCCGGCTACTATGGTCGATATTGGTGGGGGCCGTGGAGAGCTGTTGCTGGATATTAAAGCGGCATATCCGGACTTGCAAGCTTCTGACCTTGTGGTACAAGAGTTTAATCAAGATATTACAGACATTCCTGGGATTACGCTAGCCACATGGAACTATAAGGAGGACAGCCGACAGCCCATTAAAGGAGCCTTGGTCTACCATCTCGCGCATATTCTCCATAATCTGTCGGATCTAGAAGCTGCGCGTTTGTTACAGAAGATATCTGAAGCTATGGCATCTCATTCTCGTGTCCTAATCCATGAGTTTCCGAAGAACGTGAATTATGCCAAGATGCATTCAGCTATGATTGCATTATACGCGGGGCGGGAGAGAAGTGCGGTCGAGTGGCGCCAGATGGCTGCATTAGCAGGGCTAAAGGTGACCTTTGAAACTTACCCGGAAGTTGGTGAAGGACTGGTTGAAATGAGAAAACTTTGAGGTGGCTAGTATGTTCAGTATTCCTAGGTCAAAAAATATTGTTAGGTAGCACATGAGTTGTCGTATAGGCTCAAGCACTACTTGTGTTGTTGGCTGAGTACGTAAGTTTTTATTATACCGCTTCTAGAGTTTCATAGGTACAGGGATATTATGCCTGTATGTCCGATTAGCCTAGCCGAACGCCAAGGGGGCATAAGCACTAGTAGTAGTCATGGAACATTGGCTGCGTTAGTACGACAGCTCATTTACCCGGGATGTGATCGGGTGTAATCTTGACTCTTGAGGTGCCTAGCTAAATGACGTTAGCTATGCAAGATTCCATTACGACTTTATAGAAGATTATGCTTAGAGTTGCACATTGGCATCCGCCGATATGTAAGACAAATTTATCTTTAGTTCAACCTCGATACCTGCATAATTTCCCACTAGGTTGAACATGTAACCCAAGTATTGCCTTCACGTCCAGGGACCAGGGTTGATAATCTTACCTTCCACTTTCAGTTAGTATACCTCATATAGAGCGACATATTAACTTGAAATTGCTTAAGTCTGCTACGATTGCCAAGAGGGATGGTGCGAACTTGTAAAAATTAGACAATAGCCAACCGCGATGGGAGCGTCCCTGGTTGAATTCATGAGCAGCCCACCTGGCAAATGATGGACGACGGTGGACTAAGAATAAAAGTACTACGTTTGTTAAAGGGAAATTTTCCTTTGTATACTGCCTTTCTGTCAAAGTAATTCTAACGTGTCTATCACAAGTTTATCTGAGTAGTATGGCTTCGGCAGAAAAAGGAGAAGAGACGCGGTCGAAGCATAAATAAACGGCAAGGAAGAAGAAATTTTTATCGTCGTGTATTACATTACGACTAAGAATTGCGAGTCATGCACAATTAGTACCTGCTACTAATGAATCTAGGCGAGAACGATGTTGTGCTTAATTTTGGTTTGATTAAAATTAATATAGGGAGTAATGTACCCTCAGTAGGGTTGTCCAATATCAAGCCGAATCATATCTACTACTAGTAGGAGTTAGCCTCATGCCAAGACGGGCCCGCAAGTCATTGATTTGTTGGCCTACACTGTACAGGGGGTTTTCCGTGGTCTGTGAGGTTAGCCGGCAACCGGATGGACTCCGTAGCGTCGGATACGATCGTAGATCCACCAGAATCATACGCTCCCATTTGGTGGATGGGGTAATTATCCGAAATCACGAACTAGGGTCATGGTTCGATTTTACTTAGTTCCTGACATATCCCTGTCGACTACAAAGACTTTTCGTAATCCACCACAATCTACGGAGGAAATTCTAACGAGAACGTTCCTGGCCTGGGTAATGGCTGGCTGAACGCTCTTCCAGACCTTGTGGACCTCGACCAATACCTCGCCTAACCCGATTTCAACGCGTATCCCGAAAGGCTTGCTGTGTAGCGCAGCTATGGTTAATATATACAGATGGCCTTATTCGCTGTATTACTAGTACCATCGCTACTACTTCTCTTTCCGGTATTGTGATTGGAAGACATCGCTTTCCCTGTTTATCTTTTCTAGGCAATGCTTTCAGTTGTTGATTTACACCCCTGTGCAGTCACGTAAAACCTTTTATGATGCTACCTATGTATACTCTCCTTCCTGGTTGTACCCAGTGGCATCGCTATCGTAGGCAATGCAATTTAACCTATTTTAATATGCACTGGTTGCTTACAAAGTGCATAAATCCAACGAAAAAAAGGCTATATTGTGAACAAAAGATTAGACCCATGGCTTAAATCCCAGGGTCATTACCGGTATTCGAAATTTCTTTTGTTCACCCTGAACTAGAGCTTTCCGAGGTTTCGCTCTCCCTACGATCGTTCTCTGAGATTTAGTCTTCTACCCTTCTAGCGCTATATTGCGGAAAGCTGCAAGAGATTCCTGCACTGTATCATCGTCTCTAAAAATGTCCTCCCCGCAAGGGGAAGATACGAATTATGGTTAGTTACCCCAGTTGACCTCCAACAGAGACCGAAGAATGGAGTTTAGTAGCTGATAATTCCGTAAACAGCTGGCCCCTACATACATGCGTGCTGGGTAAGTTCTCCGTTTACCGTGACCCATCAATGATCCATAAATGTGAAAGACTAGCTAATCGAAGCTGTGTCTATAGGCTCTCACTGGTATCGCTGCAGTGGCATTGATTTTCCGCTACGTTATCAAGACTTGGATTCGTTGGACGTTGCCTCGAGTTGGTTCCCCAGAGCGAGTCTGGGGCACAGAAGATCTTCTCTATGCCATTGCATATGGATTTGATATAGCACATATGGCATTTGTTCAGAAAAGGTCCGTTCGAAGGTCATCAGAAAGCAAACGTTCACCCGCACCCTTTCGGAAACATTCTCTGATTTGGACTTTAGTTTTCAAGACGGTCTAGGAAGACATATGTGGTTTTTGTCAAATAATGAGAGAAAGGGAATGCTGAAGAACGAATTCACATCTCAACCACTAGGTGAGGAAAGCGTTATAACCGCTGAGCCTGGTTTTGTCCTTGTCACACCGAAGCCTAAAGCTAACTAACATATTTCCAGCTGTGATTGCTTCCATGATTAGTAGATCAGGGATGATGTGTTTTCTGTATAATTGCTTCAACAGTGCCGACAAGCAAATAAGGATAGCTATCATTTTTTGGCATGACCATACAGGTTGTCATTAACATGGGTACGGTTGTCCAGATTATTGTCCAATGTGGACCGAATCCTTACCATGCGGTATGTAACGCGACTGATGTATTATCAAATAGAGAGTATCCGAGTGCTGATCTCTCTATGAGGCTCATAGTCGAATCGAGTCAACTATTTCCATTACATGTGGGATGATCTTCCATCTGATGGCTCTGTTACATGCCAGTCACCATCCGTGCAGGTATATGCGACTATAGCTGCTCAAATCTATTGGCGACAAGAATGATATTACTCGTGAGTTCAAATGCCAACAAATCTTTTAGATTTGGTATGCTCTGACAGTTTAAAATAGACAATATCATACCTTTCATTCTTTGGGTAAAGTGTGTGAAAGATAAAGACCTGATCTCCTACGTAGTACTTACTTCTTCAAAGACCATTACTGACTAACCTGGAGGATTGAGAACTACAGCATCCTTCTTGCAACTCTGGCCCCAATGATCCGACTCTGTGTCTCCATGGTATCAAATGACAACGAAAGAAGTGGTGGCTACTGGTCCCATAGTGGATCCAAAGCTACTCATCCGGGCCTGGAACTTGGATCACGGCCTCATACACAAAGCAAAGGGGTAGTAGGCATGTCTGCTTTTGATGATGATGACGAAGAAAATATCGGCGACAAAAATGACTGGAATAGAGCTAGTGTACAGCGAACCCACCAGCACGGAAATCCACATAATAAGCCTTCAGATGGTGTCACGATTCGGACCGATATAGTTGTTCGCGTCTCCTCTGAACACTCGACCGAGAGACTTGTCGTCTGACAGAGCCTGCTACATCAAATATAGTTGAACTAGCTGCATAGCTTAATCTCATACAATTTCCTTTGCATATTAGTAATCTTCGTCTCAGTTCTGCCCCTTAGCATAAACCACGCACACAATGCCCTTGCCTGGCCTGGAATCCATGATAACCAAAAGTTTGAAAAGAAACAATGAAGCTATCTGCAATCAAGCAGAGCTTCAGTTTGTGACAAATCATTGGTTGCAAATGACACAGTACGGAGTAAGACAAGTCTGGGTATATATTGCCAATGGAATAGCTAACTGTGTAGAGTGCGAGTTCGAGATACCCAGGCTTCTGGAACAGTAAGATAAGCACATTTCTGAGAATAGTTGGCTTAGAATGGTGCGTTCATTACTAGGTACCATTGTCACAGTAATATATGGATCTAACTATCGTTCCTGCGTATTAGTTATGGGATAGCCCCACCAAAGAAAAAAAAGAGGTGACAATGAGATATCATGGGGGATGTGGGCTTACACCAAGCTGGACCGATACAACCCCGAATAGGTAATCTTATTGACTTTATGCCGCCACTTATCGCAGGACGAGGCATGCATGATTAACTCATCCAATTTTTTGCTAAATCAAACCTAAGCTTTCAAATATTTATCTAGTAGAGAACAAATCTTCCCAAGAGGTAAACGCTCTTAATAATACGTCGGACTCATGCCAAATCTCACCTCCCCTTTATGATGAGCTCTGGTCCTCTGGATCGGTGAACAACAGTCTTGATAACTCAAACTTTTAAATATTTTTCCGCTTGTATTAACATGTTTACTCTGATTCCCCTTTCTACTGGTTAACATTCGACCTACGACTCACGCTCTCTACAGAAATTACTGACGCTAACTGATTCAACGGACACTGTCTACCACATTATGATATATACTGTCGAGAGATCGGAGTGGGCCAAGAAGCTCTTTCTCAAACCCAGGCTATCTGGCGTGTTCACAAAGACCAGCGGCAGTCCCAGATACTTTCTACGCGAGCATCCCGCGTCAGTACACCGAGAAGCTGCATCGATAATGACAATGACGATAGCTATGTTCCGAAGGCCAGATATGCCAGGCAGCGAAGGCATCCATGTCGACCAGATGATGTGGTTTCAAATACACTCGAGCAACAGAATAGTCTCGTCGTTATTTTCCTCTCAAATCCGATACCGGAAGAGCATTTCTCTTCTCACTTCGTGCAAGCACGAAGCACGAGCATTCTCGAGATACCATCAAAAGAAACCATTGATCGCCAGACACCATATCACCCGCGTTATTCACGCCTCCCTGGCGCATCCGGTTGTTTTCAACCACGAGCCGCCGGAGGATAGATCCAACCCGTGCCACTAATGCAATAACTTACATATGGCTTGCTTGGGTTAGACAAACGAACAGTCGAGGCGTTGGATTTCGGGAATAGAAGATACGTTGAGATCAGTGGTCACGTTGTTCAAGGACACGAGCGGAGTCGTATGTACGTTAGTTGCGCGCTTGAACAATCCATGTCATGCGATGCGCAATGCATCAAATTGTCCCTCTCAAAAGATATCATGTCGATACATTTGATACGGCAGCTGCGTACAATAGCCTCCCTCTCGAGATGCGAATGGGTCTGCTCCTTTGCGAGAAATGTGAGTGGCTGACGTGTCTTATCAGGGGGATTTGGCGCAAGTAGTTAAGCATGAAGCGGCAGATGCTCCGTTTGGAACACGCGCTGATACGATCTATCTGCTGCCGAGAGATGACATGTACCGGTCCTATGTTGGGTCCTGAGAGGGACCGCACTAGTTTCTTGGGAAGAAGGTATTGTAATATATATATATGTATATAGGCTGGTTGACATAGAAGATTTATGACAAATCAGGTATTTTTGATCTGGACGAGAATTTGAATTGACGCATGTCGCTCCAAATAACTCAAAAACGTTTATGTCTATATAAGATAACCTGTAGTGTAACCCATGCATTGAGGGGGTGTGATGTCACAAGTGAAGTTTGATCACGGGGGAACACAGATGATTGCCAAATTAACACATGACAGGCATTGAGTGACTACTGATACTACTACTAGTACTAGTAGTACTACTACCAGCAAGGGTGAAGCTGGTTAAAGGGTCAGCAGTGATCCCTGGCTTGTGGCAAGTGAATATAGGTACCGACTCGGACTTCCTGGACTGTTAATTATTATTCTTCTTTTTAAGTTATTCCATCCCTTCTTTGCCCCTCTTTATTACCTATCCCTTCCATGACAACATATTTAGATTGATTGTCTTCGGCTAACATGATGTGAATTGGACTGAAATAGAAGTAATGGGAAAGGTCAGATAAAATTGAAGCTGTTCCCCAGATCTGTATAACCATCAGAACAGGTTCATTAAGAAGGAAGAGGTATGTACAAAAGCGACGGAAATGATGACAAGTTTCCCCAGTTGAACCCTAAATCTGATTGACTGAATTTAACCTTAAGTTACAGGTATTTTTCGTTTTCCTACCCCACACCGCCCGATACCTTGACCAGTCAGCGATCGTAAAACCCAGTTGAACGACCTGAGATTTCCTCCGCCTCTCGAAACGGGTTTTCGAACGGATTTTCTTTTCCATTCAGTTCGCTTCCCTTTGACTCGCTGCTTTACACTTTAATTTTCTTTTTCCTTTCCCTGTCGTTGCGTTTCTCGTCGAAGGTTCTCACCGATTCGATCACTTATCATTGGCGCGTTCCTTGACATATAACTCCCTTCATCGTGTTACCTCGAGCTGCCACGAGACGTGCGCAGCTCTCCGTCACGACGTCTTCCACAAAGCGCCGTAAGGTAGCAGAGCCTCGCAGACCAGGAGCCCTTCCGGGTTTGTCGTTTGCCTCGCAGGCCGGAAGACGTCACGGACACCACAACTCCGATACAACCTCCACGTCCTCGCCACCAAACCCTCGTCCGTCCTCCGATCCTAGTACGACACAACGCCAAGGCTCTTCCTCTCCTCCGCAACGTTATATCCCCGCCCATTTGCAGGAGGAAGTGCTTGGGTCCGGATCTACCCCGGATTCCGCTGGTCCCATCGACCTCCCATCTGCTGCTTGCGCTGGTCTCTCTCTCGCCAGCGATCCGCCCACAGATATGTCTGGTTCCGACCAGCGAGATGGTAGTGCTCCGCCCGCTGGGCGTGACACCCGCTCATCATCCCCCGGCGTGAAGCGGGCGGCTCCCGACGCTGAACAAGATGTGGATATGGATTTGGGCCCGACCGAGAAGGAGTCCCAGCCGGACAAGATGGATACAACTGGAACGGAGGACGACGATTCTACTTCGAATGATGTTTCCGGATCTGACAACGTCTATCCCTCCCCTTCCAGCATGTCGACTTACACCGCCCCTACCGCGACCAGGGCTCAGTCTAAGGCCCAGTCTTCTATCGCATCCGAGCGACCGTCCTACGATGACCAGGTCGCGAAAGTAACGTGTTTCATGATGCAGCCCTTAAAGGAAGGACAGAAGGGGTATGTTGTGTCGATGGCATGGCTAAAGCGGGTGCTCTCTAGGAGCTCAACTCATGCAGACAAAACGGACAAGACTGCGACAGAAGGAGAGGTTGGTCCGGTGGACAATTCTGACTTGGTTCTAGTCACGGATCCTGCAAATGCGTCCTTCAAGGACGAAAAGGGAGAGCCCTTTGTACCCTTACGCCCAGGTTTGCAGATGAGCGAAGACTTCGAGATTATACCTCAAGAAGGATGGGACCTGATCATGCAGTGGTACGGCTTGGCAGACCAGTCACCAGCCATTGTTCGCTACGCCCATGACACTAGCATTGGCGGGGATTCCGAGAATACCCAGTATGAGATTAATCCTCCAATTTTCACGATCCTGAAACTCTCAGGCCTGTCCGCGGGCACTACCCCTCAGTCCTTGAAGGAGAAAAACATGAAGCCTGTACGGATTCTGGCTAGCAGGCACTCCAATTTCCAGAAGTGGCTGAAGGAAGCTAAAACAAGGGCGAACATCGATATGTCGACTAAAGTTCGTGTTTGGAGAATTTTGGGTAGTTTGGGCAGCGCGACAGCATCTGCCGCGATGACCCCAGCTGCATCGCGAAGTGCTTCACCGGCGCCTGCCGCGTCGATTGTCGCTAATGCTGGTAACAACCTCGTGATCGATCTTAACACTTTCCTCTCGCTTTCTGAGGGTGCCCAGAGGGAGTTATTTGAGAACGCTAAAGATCAGACCGCCAACCCTAATTACAACGGTCGGATGACATTGGATCTTGCTGGACTCGGCGGCAGCGATGTCGTGGTGCTAGAGGAACGTATACCTGGTGGGGAGTGGGTCTCAGAGGCGTCCAAGCAGACACTTAATCGCCTTGGTGTTCCCTCGGGTAGTCTCAAGAATGGTGCTTCATCTAAGCTGAAGAACAAGAGCCCGACCGCCAGTGGCCGATCGTCTCCAGTACCAGAACCTGTTAGGGGACGACGGAAAGATGGGAAGCCTCGCGGTTGCACGGGTCTAAGCAACCTTGGAAATACATGCTACATGAACTCTGCCCTGCAGTGCGTACGAAGCGTCGAGGAATTGACCTATTACTTCTTAAGTATGTATTGATCATCGCGTACAGCATTCCCTACCAACTAGTACTGACAACCATTGTTTGTAGATGATGTGTATAAGCAGGATCTGAACCCCAGCAACCCACTGGCTCACAACGGTGATGTAGCGAAGGCGTATGCGAATTTGCTACGTATGATCTATGATGAGGCAGGCCAGTCCTCTTTTGCTCCCAGACAGCTGAAACATACGATTGGTCGCTACGGCCCAGCATTCTCTGGTTATGGGCAGCAGGACTCCCAAGAATTCCTGCTTTTCCTTCTTGACGGGCTACAGGAGGATCTGAACAGGATCCTTAAGAAACCCTACATCGAGAAACCCGACTCCACAGATGAAATGGTTCATGATAAGGCGGCACTTGCTGAGTTCGCAGACAAATGTTGGGATATTTATAAAGCTCGTAACGATTCTGTCATAACAGACCTCTTCGCTGGTATGTACAAGTCGACTCTTGTTTGCCCCGCCTGCGACAAGGTCAGTATCATCTTCGACCCTTTCAACAACCTCACCCTCCAACTTCCTATCGAGAATCTCTGGGGTAAAGAGGTATTCTACTTCGGTCTCCACAAGAAACCAGTTCGGTTTGATGTAGAGATCGACAAGAATTCTAGCGTCAAATCCTTGAAGGAATTAGTCGCCAAGAAGCAAGGCACCGATCCTGAACGCCTGATCATGGTCGAGATCTTCAAGCGCAAGTTTTACAGAATGTTTGATAACACAAGCTCCATTGCCGAGTGTCAAATTTCTGGAAACGATGAAATCGCTTTCTTTGAAGTTGAGTCTGTGCCGACCAATTACAATCCAGATAAGCCCCAGAAGAGTTATTTCTCGTTCAGCAGGTCGGATCAAGAGGAGATCCCAAGTATTGACTCTCCGAAGGCTGATCGCATTCTGGTACCTATTTTTAACCGTGTGGACCGATCAAAGTCAAAGCGAGATCTTTTTGGTGTGCCCTCGTACATCGTTGTCACTCGGGAGGAAGCTTATGATTTCGATGCCATCTATGGAAAGGTGCTTGCCGGGGCGGCCACGATGACCACCCGTGACTTCCTGAACGAGGAAGTCCTCGGAGAGGATCAGCAAGAGGCGACTCAGGAAGACTCAGATACTGTTGTTATGAACGACGACGACGCGCAGTCCGCCGATTCTAAGATCAAGACATCTTCGGTGGACGGCGAAGATGGTATGGTGGATGTGTCCATGCGCGATGCAGACTCTGCCTCCCAGACCGGTGCTGCGCGCTCTGAAGGCTGTATTCCTGCTCGCTTCCGGGATATGTTCGAACTGAAGATAATGAAGGGTAACGAGCCAGTGCCCCTTGGCTGGTCTTCGGTAGAAGACAACAAGGAATACCCCAAGATGTCGTTCCGTATAAAGACGAAGCCAGTTACTCCACCAGAGGAGGTAGGTTCAATACCTGTTGTTCCACGCTGTTACAGGATGCGAACTGATTGTCGTAAGCAGTCCGAAGAAACATCCGACCCTGCAGATTCGAAGGCCGCTGAGAGTGGATCAGCTTCAGGTAGTGATGCCGATAACTCTGCAGAAGTTTCTCGCACCCCGGCCCCAGTTGCTAGAGTTCAGATTCGACCTCTGGTTCGACCTGGTGAGGGACTTGTTGTGGACTGGAATGAAGAGGTCTATGACGCTCTTTTTGGCGGTAGTAAGAAAGACCGAGATCCCCTTCGCGGCCTCCCCACATGGCAGGACGTTGAGCGGGTAAATGACCCCGAGCTGAACAAGCGACGTCAACTCCGCCAAACCCGCAAGAAGAGGGGTGTCACCCTTGAAGAATGTCTAGATGAATTCAACAAGGAGGAAATACTGTCCGAGAACGATGCTTGGTACTGTCCACGGTGCAAGGAACATCGCCGAGCTAGCAAGAAGTTCCAGCTATGGAAGACGCCTGACATCCTTGTCATGCACCTCAAAAGATTCAGCGCTAGCCGCGGGTTCCGGGATAAGTTGGATGTGCTCGTTGACTTCCCCGTGGAAGGACTCGATATGAGCGGCAGAGTAGAAGCTCCTGAAGAGGGTAAGAGCTTAGTCTATGACCTTTTCGCGGTTGACAACCACTACGGTGGCCTGGGAGGTGGTCACTATACTGCATATGCCAAGAACTTTTTCACTGGCCAGTGGAACGAGTACAACGGTAGGTCCAAAGCACCAACATAAATAATAGTAAAATGACTGACATGCGTAGACTCGAGTGTCTCACGACCTATCGACCCACAAAGTGTGGTAACCTCGGCTGCCTACCTCCTCTTCTACCGCCGTCGGTCCGATCGCCCGCTGGGTGGTAAGATCCTTGAGGAGATTACCGAGTCATCTACCGACCGGCGAGTGAAGCTGGCTCGCCAAGCGAATCTCGTGGACAGTCACCGTCGGGGGACGGTCGGCGTCTCGGCGGCTCATCCCACAATGGGTCGTCGAGCGTCTTAACCGGAGTCGGAGCAGCTCACCAGGAGGGAGATGGTGGTTCGCGAACCGGAACCCAAGCGAAGAACGGGGATGAGACCACGGCCCCTAGGTACACCAATCGTCCCGCTTCTGGGGAAAAGAGTGTTAGTAAAGAAGACCGACTGGAAGGTATGAGTTTTGATGAAGCCGAGTTCGGTGATGGAGCGCAATCCGATCCGTTCCGCTTCCCGAGTCCGCCCTCATGGTCTTTCAACCGAGTCCCGGATGCTCACGGCCGTTCACAGATGACCACAGCGCTACCGGGGTCCACCTCTGATGACGATGACCTGCTCGACGACGATGCTAGCAACCAGGCTGTTGGTGGAGGTGATTTCAGCGATTCGGACTTACGACTGGCCTCTTTAGCGGACAGCCCCGGAGATCACGGTGCGGCATACCCGGGGACCCCAATGGAGGAGACTCCTATTCAGGATATCCCTCCTCCATTGGATGCAGATGACGACGACGACGAGCTACCCGTGGTGGAGCTACGAGTGAACGATGAAGACCGGATAGTGCCTGAATAGACAGGCATATTCTGTTTTGGAAACGCGACATGAACAATACCGGTAATCTGTTCGCTTTGTCGGCGACATCATGATGCTCCCTGTGTGGCTGATGATCTCAATGAAGGAGTCTATGGTCTAATTATTATTATTATTATTATTACACTTTTCGTTTTCGTTTTCATTTTTGAAGAGTTCCCTATGCAAAACCCTGTATAGGGACTGCGTTTTCCATAACTCGGAGGTGGCATCTTCGGTGGGTTTGTTGCATATTGTGAAGAGAATATGGACGGGCGGGATCAAGCTGTCCTTGCATTTACATTTGGATTATTGAGGAGGACCTCTTTTCGAGCCTCCACACCGTGTTCTAAAAGCATTTATTTTGCCGGTCATGGTAGAGCAGCATGGCTGCATTGCATGAAGAAATGCATTCGTTTTCTTCGCCATTTAAGTGATGTTCCAACGATATCGTAGTGATAAAAGAGTAGAATTGTGATATGTGTCTACTTCAAGAGACAAGATCACGGACAGAATCATACACATTGCACACTGACGGTCAAGGCAGTGCACCAACCGACACAAGTGACGATGTCCCAGGTTCTTATCAGATGTTAGTTCCGATGACTGGGGTTAGCTAGTCGTCTGATATCCACTCAACCCTGTGACGTCAAGACATCGCAGTATAATAAGTGTGGATCTAACGCATTTTACCTCAACCGATACTATTGCTGTGAATTCTAATGCGTGGACGGTCTGTATGATCTGCCAAATTGCTGCTGTGATATACTCTGGATTTGGTGCCCCGAGCCTGATCTGGATGGGCGGATATAGTAATCAATTGGATGTCTATTGGCGCCATGTGTTGTGTATGTGTTTGCTTGAAATAACTAGAAAGAATTGATAGACTAAGCTGCGAATTGTATTCCGTGATCAGATTGCTCTAACATGGCTTCAAGGACCGGGATGTACGAGTTTGATTCATAGTTAACTTGGATCTGAGATATCCATAAATAGAGATATCATATCTGGTATTTAATAGCTGAGATTACAGACTAGAGTAGAAATATCACCTGTTTAGGAACTAGTACTATTGAAAGCCACAGGGCAAGTCAGAAAGGCAATGTCTGAGCAGGATTTCTTCAGTCATCTGAGGTGGTCAGGTACCTGAGTCCTACAAAGAGCACTCACTATGGTTACATATAAGAAAGTCGACTTTTTGCCTACACTAGGTTGCCTTGTCATGAACAAGAAGATTCCCTCAAGTGAATGACTGCTCCAATTCAATTCCACATAATTTCATAAGTCACCCAAAATCGGAGTAACCTCAAAATATACCAGCCCCCAGACCCTGGTCAGCCTTTCCTTCCCTCCCAGTCGCTCTTCACCTGACCCTCCACCCTGGTTCGTGTATACAAAATCAACATCCACCAAACTAGTATCACCAACCACAATCAACTATCCACAACCAGAAAGCCAACCCCTCGCATCAAAAAAATGAATCCACCCAAAACACCCCCTCGAACAAACTTACACCCCAAATTCCTCACACCGACCCCCTTCAAACCAAAAAGATCAACCTCCTCCCCTCCTATAACCCCAGAACCCCACAGAGACAACCTCAGCGACATCCTCAGCGACAGCGACATCAGCATCCTCGACCTCGGCCCAAGCCTCTCCGCCCGCAATAACTCTTGCTACCAAACATCCAACACGGTCAAGACCCTCGCCCGAGACACCAAACAATCCTCCTCTCTCGCCACACCGATTACCCATGGCCATCTACAGAACGGCCCAACCACGGCGCAAGACCTCCACACTCGACCTACTCCCACATCTCCGTCAATGAAAGATACAACACAGGGAGAAGACATCACACCCAAGAGACTCAAGATGAGGGCCGGGTCTGTGAGGGGTGCTTTGAGGACTTTTTCGTCGCCGCTTTTATCGCCTTTGAGGGGTGGTGCTGGGAAGGTTGGGAGGCCCGGGGTTAATCGGGCAAAGACCTCATTTAGGGGTGTCGGGGGCGTTTTGGAGCATTGAATTGAGGTTTGTCTGTTTGGATTGGGTGGCTTGCGGGAGATGTGGATCGGTTGGTATTGGGCATGGGCCTTGAGGCGTTGGGGGTCTATTAGCTGGACATTTATGTCTATTGTGCTCTGTTTTGTGGTTTATTTTGATATTTCTGGCGATTGCTGATGGACTGTGTTGGGGTAGTTAGGGTACGGACAGTTGATGCATTTGAATACGGATGCCAGGGTTGGGATAAGATTAAGTACCAAAGTAGGGGATTCTGTAGGATAAGGACTTACCGTCAAGCTACGGACTCGAGGAATTGATCCATTTCCTATATGCACTAATTGAATGTGACAGCCATCGGTTGTGGGTTTGCTATGAGCTAGTTGCGGTGTCCTGGGGTAAATTTATACATCTTCACCGGAATTCCCACGCTGCATAGCTCCCGATATACTTGCAGTTGCTGGCTTATGGATTTAGGTGCTTTGGCTCTCAATTATTCCCGTGTGTTATCACCGGTTATTGTGCTACTAATTGAGAGAAATAGCTAAGGAGCTAAGGTCACAACCACAGAAATCCTCGACTATTATAATAGTATGATTGTTCAAACCTGGGCTACCATCGGAGACAAATTGAGCCGGTCGGATTGACGGTATAGTTTTAATATTATTCGAGTAGACCATGTCCTCGTCTTCCCTTCTAATTTGAGTATAGCATTGGGGAATGTTTGATTAAGAAAGAATCTCTAAATGTTGTATAATGGCTAAACCAAGAATATGAGTACCCTCAAGCCTTATCATCAACCACCTCCCCACTTACCTTCCCCCTTTTATCCTTCTTTACATTCTTAAACCCAACCCCCCAAGCAAAGATAAACTGAGCAACAGACAACCCAACTCCCAAATAAAACACCTGATCCACACTCTTCCCATACGCCTTCAAAACACCCGGCAACTCCCGCACCGACACGACATCCCGAAACCCCGTCGCACCAGCCGCGATCACCGTTTCCGGGTCCACAGCAGGAGCATATTCGGGAAGCTTCACACGCAGCGTCTGAGCAAAGATGACCTGTCCAACAGCTAGGAAGACTGCTCCACCCAAGGTCTGGCTACAGGCCATGATAGCCATTGCAGTCGACACTTCGTCTGCTACTACGGCGTTTTGAGTCGCGATCATGGGCTGGCTTTGTCTTAGTCTCTGGGCGTTTCCTCTATAAATGGACAGTTGGGAGTGGACTCACTACTTGGGTTGCGGCGCCTCTGCCGAATCCGACTAAGGACTGGTATCCAGCCCAATCTGGAACCGAGGTATCTGGTGTGAGGGTTGATAGCAGGCCGCTGCCGATTGCGTTTAGCATCGCGCCGAGGACTCCCCATGGGAGATAGTAACCCAGTTTTCCGGCTTTGTGAAGCATTAGTAAGACTGTCTTCCACGTATGAGGTTATCAGGGGTAACTCACTTAGAAGACCTGATACAACGGCCATAACTAATTGACACAGTATGTTCGGTAGTAAATTGACACCACTGACTAACGCCGATTTGCCCCGAACAGACTGGAAGTAAATGGGCAGATAATATGACAGAATCATCGTCATACCGAAGATCATCATAGAGAACATACAACAGCACACGACAATCCGGTCACGGAGTAAGTAGCCCGGGATCATTGCATCGCGGCCCATGTGGCGCTCCCAGGCTATGAAGACCAGTAATGTGGCAACTGTGCCGCAGAACAGCCCAATCACCGTGGCACTCCTCCATGGGTACTGATTTCCGCCGTACTGTAGTGCAAGGAGTAGTTGGATGCAGGCTGGGGCGAAAAGGACGAAGCCAATCCAGTCAAATTTGTAGAGAAGCGTGAACCGGAGTACGTGGCTGGCTTTATCCTTGGGCTTTTGTTCCGGGATACGCGTGAATATGAGGAGGGCGCCTACTAGGGTGCCGATTGGGAGGTTGATGTAGAAGCCTTTTGTTTATCATATTATTAGTATGTAGACAGTATTATTGGGAAAAAGCGTCACTCTAGACTTACACCATCGCCATGTTGAAGACGTCGTAAATGCACCGCCGATCAGTGGCCCAGAAACTAATCCGAGCTGCGCGACTATTTTGCATTAGTGGCTGGCGCGTCTGATCTTTGGAAATGAGAACATACTTCCCATGATGACTCCCATCAGTGTCGGCCTTTTATGCATTGGAACAGCAGCGGCGAGAATGTTCATGGCTCCGTTCAACATCCCTGATGATCCCATGCCAGCTACCGCACGGCCGATAATTAACATCTTTGAGGAATTGGCAACTCCACAGATCAATGAGCCGATTTCGAAGAGGGCGAAGAAGGAAAGAAATGTCCACTGCATGCTGGTTAGTATCATGGAATATGAGAAAATTCTAGAAACAACTGACCTTCAATTGAAAATAGTTATAGAATTTGCCCGTCAGAGGTTGGAGAGAGGCACTATAGCAAGAACAGAGTCACTTTAATTAGTGATAAGTGATTTCAAATAGAAGGAGTATTTCCATTCCCGCTGTACCTCGCGATTGTATACGCACTCCCATACCAAGCCACGTCGTCGAGGGAGTGGAACTGGTTTGTGATCTGGGGGATGGCCTTTGCAGACGTTAGCCCTTTCCCTATATGTTGATATGAGTGATTCTGTATAAGCGGTCGGCCACACCGTTGAGACTATCGAAATATCTAACAACATGAGAAAAACGACAAGCGTGGTCCCGCTTATCGCCATGACTAGAGGAACCCCTTCCAACCATTCCGGCTCGTATTTCTCAGGTACTGAAAGGCTTTCATTGAGCTTGTCTTCTGGATTGACTTGTCGTTTTAGGTTCTCGTCTGGTTGATTGTTCTCGTTCATCTTTATAGCCGAGTTAGGGCTCGGAATATCAGTGGAGGATTGCCTGGATTGGTTTATGTTGAATTATTTGGTGTGTAACTATATTTTGGAATAAGAGAGGTAGGGTAGTAGGATAATGCTTGACTTGTATGTTTTGCGAAGTACAAAATTGAAAATGAACTGCTACTGTAGATATTACATTGATTAAATATCTCTCCATATCTCCTCTATTGACACGGAGTTGGGGCGTTTCCGTACCCGTTCCCGCTCCTGCAGAACCAACTCCGTCGGGGTTCAATCCATGACATAGGATATACTAAACGGATGCTGCTTATCCCCGTTAGGTAACCACTCATTACATTTCTGTGCATCGTTAGCATTGCGGATGTCTGTAAATATTTTATAGCTACAGCCATTCGTACACGGTATGTGTGTAGTAAGATGCATCATTATAAATCCATTCATTTATTATTCCTTAGCGATATATCTAACTTAAATCCTCTGACCAATTCAGAAAGCTATCCAAGTCCCACTGATTCATGTTGAACAGAGGCAGTTCCAATGTGGCATCTGTGTCCACGGCTTCCAAATCTGACAATATTGACGCCCATTCACCACGTATCTTCAGCATCATCATGGCTAGCTTACTGTACGGATCCCGAAGCTCTCCTTCACTATGAATCCCTACAACTTGCGCCACTGTATTCAGTCGATCGGCTAGCTGACCAGTAATAAATACGAGATCCAATGTACTTCGAACAATAGCTCGATCCCATCCAGGGTAATCGAAAGTGGAAAGACGGAAGAGAGTCACAAGGCAGTGTGAGGTGTAAATTAGATCGGGTAGGGCGATAGAGGTAAGTTCAGCGACGGGAACACTTATTAATAACTCACAGAAAGCCTTGACGGCCTTTAAGCAAGTGTAGAGGTGATCAAGGCGTTGCGGGTCTGTATATTCTGTGTTTGTTGTTGGCTTGCTGAGGGCTGTCTCGTAGAGGCTGACCTCGGTATGAATGAGGTGAAACAGGATGGACCCTATGACCAACGTCAGATGAGTATAGACTAATGGAATGTTAAGATTCATCAACTTACTATTTTCGGCCAGATCGACAGGGATCTTAGATTTCAAGGTTTGAAACCGCGTCTGTATAGCTTTCATATGAAACGATGCCGGCGCTCGGGAGGCGATATCAATATCGTAGAGATTCTCATTCCAAGGTCCCTGTAAGATCATATCCGCCAGCAATCGTGTGCGCGTAATTTGCGCAAGCACAATGTCGTTGGGTGACTCGTCGCTTTCGGATAGGGTATTGAGACATTCTTCCATATGAGGCGTCCATCGGAGCGGATCCATTCGCCCCAAGAATTGTGCTATTCTACGATCCGTCGCAGTCAGTAAAGTGAAACAAGTCATCATGAGCTTGGATTGGTCCAGGCTTACAAGGAACTGAGAACAAAACAACCAAGCACGGCTCGCCGTTCGTTCATGGTTCGCTTGGTTGAAAGCGACGGTTTCAAATGTGGCAGATGACCCACTGCATTGCAATTTGAGGTCGCCATGCATAAATCCGGCGGCGCAGGCTTGTTGAGACCAAGCTCGAAGACCAATCCAATCGCCATCTGTGTATAGATACACAGCGATGACTTCTGCGGCTGGGTTAGGTATGTGACCCTGTCAGACGGTGAGCCGCTAGGTATTTCCAGCGTGGAAAAGGTGGTTTACCAGGCGAGATACACCAAGACCCCTTGTAGAAGGTCCAGGCTTTTTGTGCAATCCACAAGCAGTCTCTTACCTGCTACTTCACGAATACTAGCACATAATTCAGATTGACGGGACGGATGCTTGCATTGGACTGCTGCGATGCAACGCCACAGAAAGGGAGACTGCTCTTTAACATCCTTTGCAGACAGAGTATCCGGAATATGAACAACTGGGAAAACTGGGAGCTTCTCTTCACGGAAAGAGGCTAGACAGGCTTCTTCTTCCGAGTCTTTGCCTAGATATGGCACAGATATCACAGCCCCAAGCAATTCTGAATTGCTATTGGGGGACTCGGCCCCAGAAGTGACGATGTTTGTGTTCATGCTGGTCCCTGTATTACTAGTAGACAGTGAGAGGGGCTGGAGCTGTGACTGTCCGGCCGAAGCCAATAGAGTCATCAACCCGTCGAGCTTGTGCTCCAGCTGCACCCTCTTCGAAAGCGGTTTAAGCTTTCGTCGCCTGACAGGCTGCATACATTCCTTATTCAAGCGGTGGCACCTATCCCAATTAAGAGTGCTGCACGATTCGATGAATGCAATGCGTAAGGACCCACCTCTCACAAGTGCTACCGCCAGCTCGAGGAATACATTTACATTTTGCGCGGGCGCAAGTGACACAGGCACGACCATAAGGTCCAAGTTCGCGATGAACGGTGTTCATAATTGAATAGAGCTGAGTCGTGAAGCGACGAAACGGGGTTTGACGGATGCCACCGGAGAAGCGGCATTCGGGATCGGAGGGGTCGGATTGTCCGGTTACTGCCCTAGGCTGATGTACTAAATTCCTGCTCAAATGAGCTTAAGAGCAGGGATATGCAATTGTACAATTACTAAGCTTACCTTCTCCGCAATTGACACTTAAGAGTCAGCCGAAGAGTGAGAGTCATATTATGAAATACAAAACTGTAGAGGCGGATCAAAGTATACATAGCTGCGCTTCCATTATGGCTGGTCCGGCTGTTTGTGGTTGCAAATATATTACACATACTAATAATCCAAAGTGGGTTTTAGATTGATTACCAAGAGCGTGGGATATGTGCAGGGACGCTGAGAGATTGCAAAAGTCGGGAGTGTAGAGCTCAACCCCTTGGGGGCTCTTGGAACAAAGAGGATTTGATCCGTGAGCAGGGTAACCTGGACGTACATTACAAGGGGGGCTTTGTACTTGGTGATGAGAAGGGTGATATGGGCTGCGAATTGTAGGAGAGCAGAAGTTGGCGTGGACCGGGGGAAGGGGGGGGTTATACTAGCACACCAAGGCTGTAAGGCCACAAGGCTGCAGCGGCACGTCGGAATTTTGGAGTTTGGTTCACGGGTCCTCACCAGTACCTTGTCCAATATTGGTCAGGGCATGATGCTGTAGAAAAGTTCGATTCAGTGTATTAATATATGGTACACTATTAATTAAAATCTATATTAATAAAAGTGCAACAAAAGCTGAACATAAGCCGGGTATCCAAGATTAGATTATATCCGTCCCCGTGCTAGAGGGCGTCCTGTATGACGGGCCAGCCATCGACATATCCCAGATAACTGTATCCCAGCCGGGCTTCCTGTTAAAACATCAGCAAGGTGACAGGGTATGAAAGGTTTAGAGATGGGTTGGGGACTTACCCAGAAATCATAACTGATAGTTGTGTTTACTGTTCTGGTTAGCTTACTCGTCCTTTAGCACCGGAAAAGAGACTCACAGTAGTGATAATACAGAATATCTCCAGTCTCCCCAGTTAAAACCCCCTGTCCTCCCGGTGCGTAAACGTCGTTATTCGAGCCATAAATGAGCTCTCCTCCGCCCTGAGTAAGCTCTTCCCCTTGTTTGTCTACAAACGGACCGTGAGGGCTCTCGGAGCGTCCGACGCGGATACTATATCTATGGTATTGTTAGCGTGAACCGTTGTCAAATCAACACAAAATGCTAGAGTGACCCTCGAGAGGGGGGGGAGGGGAGTCAAGTAAAATGCCAACAGGACGTACTCTTCACCGGGTGGTGGAAGGTTGCTAGGATCATAATCGCAGCACTGGCCCCAGCTCAGCCAGAGATAGTAGTACGGTGCATGGTAAGAGATGTAAGCACCCTCAACCGGGCGGCGACCAGACGAATCTTGACAGAGAGGATTGGGGTTTTGGTTCTGGGACTGGACTGGCTCAGGCTGTGGATGCTTTGCTAGATGATGCGCATTGGCTCCAGTTGTGTTGCTGACCGAGCGGAGGTCTTGATTCAATGGGACCTGCCATATTCCAGACCAATAGCTGCCAAAAATCAAAAGTCCTTTATCTTCGACGACCAGAACTGCAGGGTCAATGGCATTTACTTCATTGAATGGATGCTCATCCGAGCCCTGTCCTGTGCCCGACTGAATGATAGCCCCGTGGTCTGTCCACCCTCCTGGACCTGGTGATTGCGATGTGGCTACACCAATAGCGCTGTCGCGACACCCGGCGTTGCTGACTGAGTAATAGCAATAGAAGATCCCGTTGACTTCGATAGTCGTAGGAGCCAGGCTTTGCACGGTCGCCTTTGGGGATGATACTGTCTTGATCCAGGACACTTCCGATCTGCGTCCACGGTCCGGCTAGATCGGATGCCTGATGAATAACGATGTGCTCTCCTACACCATAAGCATAGTAGATGCCACCAACATTGATGACGGTCGGGTCATGGATTTTGAGGTCGGTAGCTTGCGTAGAAGGTGATGAAGAAGGGCCTGAGCGCGGTATGCTCCTGCATAGAGAGACCGTAAAAAGGGAGAATAATGTCTGTATGAGGACCATCTTAATATAATCACGATTGAACAAGCATTTATTATCAGGTCCGGGAGTGTTCAGGCTAGGTACGAGAAATAGCATGCTAATAAATGGAGCCCCAAGCAAGCCCCTGCTCGGCGGCCAGGGAACTCGTCCCCATAGTCTTTTTTTTTTTTCCCTCTCCTTCTTCTCCCGTTTCCTTTTTTGCGAGCACAGTAGATCAGGAAGTATAGCAGCGTAATCTAGCACATGGCCTCGCAGGGTCACCAGAATGCCCCCAGGGGCGTAGCATCCCTAGTCTGGAATAACAAGATCAGCAACAGTTTACCACGATAGGAAACTGTTCAGTAAATAATCGGACCTACGCAACTCCGTTCTCAAACACCCTGGACGAAACTTCCAAGTCAACAAACGGAACTATTAGGACTGGGGTGTGGGCCCTTGTTGTAAGAAGCGCAAACGCAACCGGTAGTGAATAGCTCCAACCTTAGTGTGGCCAAATTTTAGACCCGTTCGAGATAGCCTGTAGTTCATAGATACACAGGGGATACGGTTCATATGTCCATGACAGATCAACACGGATGATCGCCACGGGTAACGTGGATTAGTATCATGTTTAGGGAGAATGTGTGTATGCCGAAAAGAAGCACTTCGTAGTACGGGACTTCTTACCGAGATGTTCATCGGTTGTAACTCTTGCGTAATCTCTGGGAGGAAAGGAGGAAACCCGCACTGGGACCGCTCGAGAGAGGATTACGACATCACTCGAATGATTGCAGAAAATCAATGCACTTACTAATATAGCAACGTCGGGGTTGGTGGTCTCCGAGAGAGTTTCGACGTTCGCATAAGGGATGCTTATCCCATTATTGCCTGAAGAAGTGGAGCCGCCTCCTTCCTACAGATTTTAAAAAGTTGACTCATCCATTGACGCGCACTGCTTCCCGGATACATCAGAGTTGCACCTCTATCTAGTAAATGGTCCGAAGATCGTTATGGGTGGGTACCTGAATGGAGAGGATAAAGTTCCATACGGAACGCAACCGTGAACCGTGGACATAAATAGTAGGGTACCGTTTATCATGTGCGGGGCTGAATTCTATTCGACAACGCCCGAGTTAAGAAAACAGCAAGATAAAAGATACAATATCTACCACTTCAAATTCTACTGTAGGTCGTTAGGGGATGGATCGATGAGGTTACATTTGACAACATCGCCTCCGAAGGATGACTGATCTGCAAGGTGATCAACGGATTTTCGGCCGATCTAAAATAGAGGACAATCATTGCGCCCAATATCAATCATACATCACGGTAGAGCTCATGAGACGTATAATTAGGAATCCACCAACGCCGAGTAGTCCCACTCTCTGAGTGCGATTACCGGGGGAACAAAATACCCGATGTAAAAATAAAAGCCATACGCTCACACATCGCAAGGGGATTAGTGGACGACGATCTTGTCCACTTCATCCTTGGCCTCGGTCCATGTCTCCAGGTTTTTCCGGGCCCAGTCCAGATGGCATCGGGCATATGCGACCTACAGAAAATACCTCAATGTTAGCGTTTCCCTCAGCCATACTTTGCGGTCCTCGTTGCTTACCATGTAACGTCGCAGGTCACCCTCCTTATCCTTCTGGAATCGCTTCAAATCCTGCAAAACACCTGCGCTGGCATCTTTGACGTCCTTTTCCGAAACCTCAAGTGCTTGCTCCAACTGTGCATATTTTGTTAAAAAACTAGATATAGGGGAAGGGGGCAAGGGCCATCAGAGCCCAAATGCAGCGTGGTGAAACTAACCTGAAGTAAACTCTCCTTCGTTTTTCCAATCTGATCTCGTCGCGTCCTCTCCGGGTCAACATCAACAAACCCGTGGACTGCGTGGCTGATACGCCCAAACAACTTGTTCGTCATGAATGTCCCGCTGGCTGACTTGCGATGTGCTGGAGAGGAGGATGTCTCAGGCCGTCTTGATGGGGATACCGGGGGTAACGGCGCATGCGAGCCGATCGACTCCCCATGGGTAGGAGGAAAGTCTGAATCGATAGAAGTAGTGTCTTCCGGACCAGCGGGGCGAATATTTGATTCATGGCTGCCCGGTCCGCTTGTAGCCGACGATGTAGATAAGGAGCGTTGCGATCTCGTCCCTGATCCTTGAGGTGACGTCCGATTCAGGTACTGTTCAATACGTTTTGCTTCCAGCTCGCTCCGTTCCAGAGAATCCAGCAAGGCCTTCTTCTTAGCTAACTCATCCCTCGTCATTTCTTCCTGCACCCGTTTCAGTACCCGGTAACGTAGGACACTACGAACAATGCTAGCGAACTGTGCACTTTCCCTCATAGGTTCGGCAAAGCTTGCACTTAATGCATTGGAGAGCTCCTCGGTTTCGATGTAAGATGTGTCTGCTGCCTGACCAATTCGCTCAATCGCCGCGGCTACCGTGGGTGATTGTTCGGATAGAGAGAAGCCGTTGTATCGTGCCCCAAGCTCCATGAGGTCTGCTGACAATGAAGACAAATGCGCCAGTGTTCGACGATTGACTTTCTCGATATTCCCTTGCAATAGCAGCTCAAGCTCCCGTGTAGATGCCTCGAAATTGATGAAATATGGGTCCAACTCTTGCTCGCTCAATTTGCGGGACTCCGGAGGGAAACGCCCTAAAACATCGGGGCTCGGCGCATCAACTGGGGGAGGTGCAGCTGAACCTGTATGACCAGAAGTACCCTTGAGCTTCGCGGAAGAAGATGGTACCGGTAGCCAGGCGTGTGCGGCTGTGGGATTGGCGGGGTCTAGGGGAGGTGCTTTCAAATTGTTCTTGGGTACCGAGGATGCGGGGTGCGAATGAAGGACCTCGCTCTATGTTCGAATTAGCATTTCCCGTCGAGTTCAAAGGTGCTCGGTCCATACATACCCAGCTAACATTAGGATCTAGAAACCTCCACCAAACGCCGTCCTCACGGACTTCCTTCATTCTGCGACAGCGGTTCAAAAAGACCGCCAGCATCCGCTTTCGGAGCTCAATTATCGCAGTATCCTCCTTAGCCTTGGTAGGTTTGGCTGCATAATCCGCCATTGTATGTTTCTCAGGGATGGGAGGGATGACGAGTGTGGGATGGAGGTTCACAAGAGTCTGTCGCAGGGAGGCGAACTCAGAGTATCGCCGCCGGACTTCCAAATCCTACATATGTTAGTCGAATAAATAGACGCTCTCCTAGCTGCATCATAACATACTCCAGTTCGTATGGTGTACACGATAAAGCTTCCACCACCCTCGTGGTTCTTGCCGGCATCGATGATGAGGATCGGCATCTCCGGGTTCTCATAAAGAATTTGTTCTATGCGGCTATCGTAAACGGACTTCCCGTAGTAGCCATGACTGGCGGGTTGGTTATCATATCCTTCATTTTCCTCATCGCTAAAATCACGCGGATGTGAAAGGTAGTCGTCGGTCGGATCCTGGGTTGACGCCTTGCTGGAGGGGGAAGGAGGAGTGTATTCACGTTCGTAGAGAGCTTGCAGAGGTTAGTCTGTGCGCAATGAATTAGGCAGTGAGCCTTACTTGGAGAAAGGTTCGCCGAATGTAAGGATTCGGAGAGACGGGCTTCGGGATCGAATGCGCCGTATGGGTTGTTATCCTCGTCGTTCCACATCGTGCTGGTACGGCAGGGAGACCGGAGGCTGGGCAAAGCAGCCCTGGAAATCTAAAAATCTGAGCTAAGCGAACAACACATAGACGATAGCCTGGAGGTCGTAGGAATAGTTATATAGGATGTCAAATTAAGATATTACTAGGTTCAAGCTGTTGGTAGAGAGGGAGCAGTGAGATGGCTGAGCTCAAGGCATCAATAGCTGGAGCCGCGGGAAAGTCACCGCCCGCAACAATTCGCGGGGATTCAACGTCACAGACTTCGGGAAGCCACAGGGACCAAAACGGTCATTCTTATCGGAGTGGCCCAGCGCGCTAGGCCTATTTTAGCGGTCCACGTTTCTTCAACAAGCCCACAACAATTTATAGAATGAGCTTGGTATGTACATACGTACGGAGTATGTGTACATGCTGTCATTTCTCTATGGTTCTGACTACAGGATGACTTACTCAATACGAAGAGGCTATACTTATTGCAATGAAACCCTCAAAGATCTATGCATGCAGCACCCCCTAATAGCTAGTTATGTGAAGCGTGGTTTCGACAGAGACAAACCAGTCTAGAATATCGTACAGCCCGTCAACCAAGGGCCTGAAATCAAAATATTCGGGATTTTACTGAGGCAGTTCTGTGTACTTGTAGATGACATCATGCCTCGGCCCGTCATTATCCAGCGAACCTCATTTCCGCTCGTTAGCCAAGCCTCATGCGCTCTCTTTATCCTCTCCAACTAGGTTCTCCTGGGCGTATCCAGAGAGCAAAGTCATCAGGTGACCTTTTTTCAAACGAATGAGATAAAATTGGCTCTTCAACTCATGCAAAGGTTGGTTGCTTAGGTTCCACGGCTCCAACCGTGCATAGGAATGGCCGGCTTCGAAATACATAGACCCATCTGAAGTACGGAGTAGCGCAGGCGAATTTATTCGCGACAATCTCTTCACCGAATTCCACGATATTTTGGGTCGTACTCAGTGACCCACGTCACCTCATCTAGACCTAGCACGTCGAGGTCTCTCATGTCACGCATAAAACGTCCTTCGTACTCTTGTGTAAGTTTTGCTAAGGCCATGTATTCATTTCCTGGTATTGTAGAGCTTTTAAGGTCACCAAGATAGGGCAGGATGACGTCTTGGATTGCTTTGGAGAAGGCTGGATTGGTAATAACTGCGTTTTTGGGTGAGTTGGGCGTATCTGAGGACGCGTGACCAAACATCGTGGCTACTCGTAGGATCGTCGCAGCTGGTAGCAGTACGGACATGCATCCTGACCTTGGTTTCGTCATCACCAAGCTTTTTATTGCCTTCAAAGTCCCTCCTTCTAGTATTCCTCCGTATATATCTGCGCTTCTTCTTCGAAGTCTTGTGGTTGGAATCCGGGATTGGTCAAGAGCATGCTCTGACGAATATAAGCGAAGTATGCTAAACGCACCATCTCAAGAATCTCGGACGTAACACTTAGATGCGATGAAAGAAAGTTAGGAAAAATGTTGTTGTCTTCAAGGCACAATTATCTAATTGAGTCAATGACAAGTCCACCAAGGGAACACACCCCGAAGAATTCGATGGCTAGCTGCATCATCATAGGCATTAGGACCATACACATACCATCTAACCTTGCGACCCTCGGGGTCAAGGGGAATAAAAAGACGTTTTGCATCGAGTGAGAGAGTTCAAAACTTTTAGCCATAGGGGCTTAGAATTCGCATATATTAGTAGCTGCATCCAAGGAGGCTATTTGCGTGAGTCCATAGTAGTATCTTGCAAAGGATTCATTGACGTTGTGGTAAGTAGTTGAGTTGATAACTGTATTTATATCTACGCGCGGAGGGATGACTGCAAACATTCCTCATATGTGATATACTTTGTCAGTAATGCCACAGAGTTGTAATATTAAAATATAGATTTCAAGGAAATTAAATCGACTTCTACAGATTGACTCATCCATTGCTCTTTGTTGACATTGAGGACGAGGCTGTTGAAGGAAATGCTGCGTTCTTGGGGAGAGTCGAAGACTGAGAAGTATGACACAAGTTACAACCCTTGTCAACAACAATAACTCGGAACTCGGGAACTGCCCACCACCTTCGCATTTCTCATTTCTTCACTCACCATCGTCGGAATGAGGGCATGCTGGGTATTTATAGTCGCACTACTCCTAGCACCACTGGCATTTGGATCAGAGCCAGTAACAAAGCTGATTATCGACACGGATCTGTTTAGCGATGTTGAGTAAGCTTGTGTTGGTCTCAGTCTCATATTCCCCGCCCGTTTCTGATGATCTCCTCAGCGATGCAGCCGCTCTTTTGGTGGCTTGTGGCCATCCAATAGCGACGCTAATAGGCGTCATAATCAATTATCCATCGATATACAGTGCCTTAGCTGCATCCAGTATTCTCGGGTATTATTGCCACTCTGGCGTTCCTGTTGGCCTTAAACGACCGTTTTCCAACGATACCTTCTTTGACACCTGGTCATACCAACTTGGGGAATATGCAAGCAAAGTCGCATACAACTGGCGACATAATGCATCGATGCCATGGGGAGACGTAAGTACTGCTTGGTATCCCGTCGAGCTGTATCGAAAGCTTTTATCGGAGGCGGATGATCACAGTGTGAGAATTGCCAGTATTGGATTCCTCGACAACGTGAGTATTTTGCCAAGATTCTTTGCTTGAAGCAATAGCTTAAGTATTTCCTAGCTCTCTGAGCTTCTTTCATCACCGGGTGATGCATACTCTCCGCTTTCAGGGCATGAACTTGTAAAGACTAAGGTGGAGGAACTCGTCATCATGGGTGGAGCATACCCGTGCGGATATGAATATAATTTCTACGGCAACAATGCTTCTGCAACTGTCCATGTGGTAAGCACTTGGCCGGGGCCCATAACATTCTCTGGGAGTGAACTTGGGGCGGCCGTCTACTCGGGGGCGCGGTTGACGGTAGAGGGACCTGTCGGTGATCCAGTCAATGCAGCTTACCGGTGGTACACGTATGTTGCTTCATGTTCCACAGGCGATAAATTCTAACTGACATTACAGCGGGTACAACACGTCTCGGAGTTCGTGGGATCCCCTTACTGTACTCTATGCCATCGACGGATTGAGAAACATGTTTGAATACGCAAACAAAGGAGGGCATAACTATGCTTACCCCGATGGTAGAAATGAATGGCTTCCAGACAACTCTTTGTATCCGCAGAAATACTTGAAGCTGCGAATGTCGGAAATACAAGCTGGTGAGCTTTTGGATGAATTGTACCTCGACATGGCGACAAGAGCTGCAAGGAGATAATAGGCAATTGATTTTTAGGATCAGTTTGCTTGGAAAGACATAACTTGGCTGTGACTGACACGACAATGAATGGGGCGGAAATTGCCAGTCGACGTAGGCTTAATCAACCAAAATTAATCACCCAGTCTCCTTTAGGTAGGGAGCATTGCTGAGGGGACATTCATTTGAACTTAAGGGTTGTTTGCCTGGTCCAACCTGTCTAAAGTCGACTTGTATTGCATCGATCGTCCACGTGCTTGCATTGCTAGATAGGGCCCACCAATATTGGTCTTGTCCAAGAGAAATTGTTGATAGCGTCTCTACTGGAACGTCGGCGCCCACAAGCCCGCTATCCAAATATTGTGTATCTTTATAGAATAGCTTGTTTTAGTGGTAATTATAGTAAAGTATGCTATACTTTGGAAAGTAATCTTCAAGCATTAAAAGCTAGCGGGTAGCGGGCTACTATCCCAAAATATGTGCTCAATTACAGGGCAACATCAAGTAATCGTCATGCCACCGTTCAGTTCGGTAATAACTGAAGTGAGAATCGTACCAGCCTCATACAGCAATAGCAACAGGTGACAGTAATGGAATACCCAACAACTGTGTAGTGTTAATATGATCCAACCACTATAGATCGGGGAAACATAATTCGACCTGCAGGACCCAAGACGACTGATATGATATATATTATATCAAATTACTCCTGAGATGAAGACTAATCAAGCCATATTGAATAATTTAATATAGTTTTGCTAAATACGACGCTAATTGGCCGAACATTCGCAATGGCCAGGTAAAGATTGAAGAATCGTCAGCCCTGCTTGGACTATTTCTCCTATCGTCAGGACATGCGAAAGTGTAATTTAGGCAACGACATAATGTTTCAAACACCACTTAAGACAGGGTCAACAAACGGCATCGATCTACGTGGTGTAATTTATCCATGTATCATATGTAGGGTCTAGTCTCCATAATCCGGACGCATAGCAAGAAATCCCTCCAATCGCGCAATGCACGCTTATTGAATGGCATTTACAGGGTGAGTCCGGCACTGGTCGGAACATATATCTGGATACTTTTTGTCCGGCCCTTGAATTGAAGTGGAAGTGATCGGCTCAGGGGTCGGATATTATTGACCGGGGGCTAGATTACGTAGGTTTAGCGGAGACTCCTGACTCGGTCCGATCTCGCCAGAGGGTCCGACAAGGCTGGCCCGTTTCATACCCTTCAGGATTACCGGTTCAATGCCTGACTCGTATCTGTCTTTTCGATCTCCCGCACATTGCATCCTGGATCTTCACTCCCATCTCTGCCCATTGCACATTGTGTAGATAGGTTCAAAGAAGTGAGATACAACAGATTCAATTGTTGCTAAGATAACCTTAGGTAGAACGTCGGTAAATGGTCAGTGCCGATTGGGCGGTGGAATCGCAGCTAAGCTTTTTTTGCCTACGCGAACCGGAAGCTTAGCCCTAGACCCAAGCCACTTGTTTCAATCTTAGACATGTTTTCCCACTTCCAAAGAGGTATCGTATCCTTCTTCTCTACCCTGCTGTATTGTAAGATAGAAAAAGGGATATAAAAAGCGCCTCGGACCTCTACGATGTTTGCCTTTCTCCCAGCATCGTCTCTATCAATCCTCCATTCCTTAATCTTTCATTCAGTCCACTCTTGAAGGCGCCTTGTTGACCAAGTCCTCGTCCATTCTTTCTGAAAAATGCAGCTTCTCCAATCTTCCATTATTGCCGCTACTGTTGGCGCTGCGCTGGTCGCCGCAGTCCCCGTACCCGAGCTCGAAGCCCGCGACTCCTGTACATTCACATCCGCTGCCGACGCCAAGTCGGGCAAGACCTCTTGCTCGACCATCACTCTTAGTAATATTGAGGTTCCCGCTGGTGAAACCCTTGACCTGACAGGCCTCAAGGAGGGCACTACTGTATGCATAGATGCTCAAATACATGCTCTTATAGTTGGCATATACTAAAGTCACGTCTAGGTCATCTTCTCTGGTGAAACTACCTTCGGCTACAAGGAGTGGAAGGGCCCTCTCATTTCCGTGTCTGGAACCAACATCAAGGTCCAACAGGCCTCTGGTGCTAAGATTGACGGAGACGGATCCCGCTGGTGGGATGGAAAGGGTGGTAATGGTGGAAAGACCAAGCCCAAGTTCTTCTATGCCCACAAGCTGGACTCCTCTTCCATCACCGGCCTCAAGATTTACAACACTCCTGTGCAGGGCTTCAGCATCCAGTCGGACAACCTGAACATCACTGATGTAACCATCGATAACTCCGCTGGTACCAAAGAGGGCCACAACACCGACGCTTTTGACATCGGCTCTAGCACCTACATTAACATTGACGGCGCCACCGTGTACAACCAGGATGACTGTCTTGCGATTAACTCTGGTTCGGTACGATAACATCACCCCAAATATTTCCCATATTTTCTACATCTCATCATTTGCTCACCTGCTAACACCCCTGCAGCACATCACCTTCACCAACGGCTACTGTGATGGTGGCCATGGTCTCTCCATCGGCTCGGTCGGTGGTCGTAGCGACAACACTGTCGAAGATGTGACTATCTCCAACTCTAAGGTTGTCAACTCCCAGAACGGTGTCCGCATCAAGACCGTCTACGATGCCACCGGTACTGTCTCCAACGTCAAGTTCGAGGATATCACCCTCTCCGGTATCACCAAGTACGGACTCGTTGTTGAGCAGGATTACGAGAATGGCAGCCCCACTGGTACTCCAACCAACGGCATCAAGGTCTCCGACATCACCTTCGAGAAGGTTACCGGTACCGTCGAGAGTGATGCCACTGATATCTACATTCTCTGTGGATCTGGCAGCTGCACTGACTGGACTTGGTCCGGTGTCTCCATCACCGGTGGTAAGACTAGCTCCAAGTGCAAGAACGTTCCCACTGTTGCTTCTTGTTAAATACGGACTCGCACGGGGATATTAGCTTGCGTTGTTGATAGTTATTGTTCTCGGTGATAGTGCTTCACTATTTGTAGCACTTATAGTTTAATTCAGCATTACACAACTACTCAACAATTTGCCCCTTTTACAGATTGTGTCTGACACAGCTTCTTATTCATTACACTCTTAGTGCAGCCGGAGAAGGGAAAACAAACCGTTATGTACGGAATAGACTTCACAATACTAGGATATTGTTGGACTTTCAGAGGGAATTTCCCGAGAACGTCAGCATTGATGTCACTGGTTCTGAACATACATACAATGACTATATTTGGAGCCTAGGAGGGATTGTATATTCAAGCCAATCTCTCTACATGATCTGCTTATTCTTTCGATGATCAGCTATGGGACATACTTAAGGGTAGAACGATAGATGAACCTTATATGCCTGCAACATTCAAATTTGAGAACTTAATAAGAACTATATATGGAGGTAAGAAGAGAATGTTCGTTACATATGTGGGCAGGATGATTAATTGGCGTCTCGAGGAACGCAGCACCGCCATCAAATGCTCAATTATCCTTGGCTTTGGACGGACTTTGATGATGACTGAGCTGGCCCATCTAATATCTATTGGTAGCGTTCTTTTCGCTATAGGCTGCTCTTTGTGCGCTACTGTAGTACTGATCATTTTCTGCTCTTCAATCTATATTCCCATTTTAACCATTCTCATCGAATTATGTGACTGGAAACAGTGGGTCTTAATGCAACATAGTGTTGCGCAAGAACAATAATATTGTCACTGTGAGAGATCTGATCAGGATTATAAAACATAGGGCCTTGTATTATAAATGCAAAGACAATTAAAGAAATGAATGATAGACCACTAATTACATATCTCCAAATTAACTTTCCCGGAGTATTCAACAACAGACCTAGACAAAATCGACTTAAATGTGTGGCTAATCACGTCAGTAGCTGAAGTGACGAGCGTGCTCACGATGAGTAAGGCTTGCTTCCTCCTTTCTCAAAAAGGATTGAATATATATGCTCCTGACAAGACCATACGGACGCCTCTGCACAATGCTATCATTTCCAACAGACTTGAATTTATCAGTACAATACTCGCTGAGCCCGATATTCGAGCTGACGCCCGAGATATGTTTGGACGGACCCCTTTCTGGTATGCAACGCGGGAAGGAGGAAGCCCCGAAATAGCTAGTGTCCTGCTTGACTATGGAGTAGATTATAACGCTCCAGATTCTGAGGGTAGGAATCGCATTTTATTATGACACACAACCATTACTAACATTAGTCGCTCATCTAGGGTGTACCCCGTTAGGGTCGGCAGCTGAATCCGGAAATACTGCTGTACTACGTCTCTTGCTTGGGAAGGGCGGCATCCATGTCAATGCGAGAACAGACGACGAGATCCCTCCACTTTGGTTGGCGTGCCGTGCTGGCCAAGTAGATATAGCTGAGATGCTACTTAATAATAGAGCTGATATTAACCAGAGGAGCAGAGAAGGCACGTCACCCATCCATGTGTCAATTATTCGCAACCATATAAAAATCGTTCGACTCCTCCTTCAGCAACATGAAATTGACATTAATATCAAGACTGACCGGGGAAGCACCGCCCTCATTCTAGCTGCAGTTACTGGAAACTATGCTCTGGTACGACTTCTACTCGAACATACTAGAATTGAGATCAATGCTGTCGATGACCGTCAGCAGACAGCGCGCGCGTGGGCAGCTAGAAAAGGTTATGCCGAGATTCTGAAGCTTCTAAACTAGCAACGTCTGGTGATACTATATAGGTTTTCATTGTTCGATGTTCAAGCCATATATCAGATTTCTCTAGTGTGCCATTTTTCAATGATCAGAATAACTGACTGGTTTCCCGCCTATGTATGGTAGGAAGATCTAGTATGTTACTAGAAATCAGACCTCTCTGTATTCAATCGATTCTGATTACCTCGTAGGCAAATCGACTGGTCGAAACGGGGTTTTGACCATCCATAGTTAACTAATGTATTCGGTAAACGAGCCGCCACTGTAAGCGACCCGCCATCTTCTGTTTTCCATAGTAAACAGCCTATTTTTAAATAATTATGTCTCAACCAATTCAGTTTACCTCTACTTAGAACTTGATATATAGCTTATTTTAGAGTAGAATAGTTATGTATAAATATTAGAAATCTTTTTAAGCTCTTGTTACTAAGATAGGATAAAATATAGTATATTTTATAGTATATAGTTAGAATTTATATATTTTAAGTCTTGTTTTTAACTTAAACTTAATTTATATCTAAAAAGTAGTGATATTAGTAAGATACCTTGATTATAAGCTGAAATATCTTATAATAGTTGAGATATTATTGTTTAAAAATAGGCTGTTTACTATAGAAAACAGAAGATGGCGGGTCGCTTACAGTGGCGGTTTGTTTACCGAATATGTTACCCGTTCTGGTGCTGCTTACGCATTCAAAATATTGATTCCACAGATAGTGGGGAAGCCGGAAAAGTTCAAGAAGTGTGTCGGTTTTGTCCGCAACTTGGGCCATACAAGATGCCCACTCCTCCCGGAGGGTGCAGTCATCAGGACGGGCTGCACACGCGTCATTAACTCCTTTCTCTATGCCTTCACGGACACATTTGGTGTAAGGAGTATCATCGCGCTCCTCGAGGTTGTGGATTGGGCTAGCAACAGCGAGGCCAACAGCGGCGAGCGAAAACAGTATCTGGATCTTCATATTGAGATACTGTTAAATTATCTTAACCAGAGCGGTGAACCCTGATTTCCAATGGAAAAATATAATATACAAGTATACTAAAGATAAGTGAGAGAAAAGATAAGATATATGTTCAAGAAGCAGCAGATCCAGCCAGCAATAGCCCAGATCTTTATACCTTGACTTCAATGCCTCAGGCAGAAGAAAAGTTCCACAAAATTACCATTCTGGTCACGTAGAATGAATGATATATATGATAAATACAATGTACCAAGGAAATAGTATGTGTATATCAACCCACAAGAGTGTGTGGGGCCCACATCTAAATCTGGTCCTGGAATCTGTAGATCACGTTGATCTTCCTAGGTTTGTCCAGTCCCACCACAGGTTTTCAGCTCGTGTTTTCACGCCACGCGGCTTTTAGAATCCAGCAATTATGACTCTAAGAATACCCCCTAGTTAAGGCCTATTGATTTTATTAGGTCAACAGGGATAAGAATTGACTTCCTCTTCCCCAGACTTTCTATGTGGAATCTATTGTTCGGGGATTTATCTATATTTATAACTACTTCGTAGCTTTTTAGATCTTACCTATTTAATATACTATTACAAACAGAGGTGCCAGCTCTGACAGGGTCAGGGTTTAGTGTGTCGCTAGTTCTGCGGCAGTCAGAGCTGGTATTGCATGAACGCTGTGTACTAACTGTGTGGAGAGCTCCAGAGAGCTCTACTACTGAGATAGGGCGCGGAAAGTTCGTGTTGACTCCCTGTAGAGTGGTTCGCTTACAGATCGGGAGTGGAACTATCCGAACCACGTGGCGAACGGTGGTCCTATTATATGTTGTGTAGGAAGTGATATACAAACACAAACACACCCAACTCTTCAAAATTACTATCTTAACATAATCGGTAACGAGCGGGGCCAATGCGCCTGCTTTCGACGTACCATGTTTCGTTGGAAGCTCTTCGGAGGACATAGATCAAAACCAGATACAGGATATCTCCAATGGAATTCTAGCTACATCATATCCTCCATCCCCCATACACCCCCAGAAAAGTATCAGTAAGCATAAAAACAATCAATTTCTTTAAATCAAATATTCATTAGATAAAGGTAAAAAACACTAGTTCAATCAAGCTGGCCACAATCGCCCCTGTGATCTGGGAGAGTGATACTCCCAGTAAATTCAACTCTTTCTCTAATGCTTCCTTTGATTGTTGTTCGTCTTCCACGCCTCCCCATATTTATTGTCCCTATATACATCGATCCTTTAATAAAATAGCAAAATTTATTATTACATAAAGGTAGCCCTTAAAAGATTATTAATATATAATTCTTTCTCAACTGTTCCATCTCCCAGGCAAGGACTAGGAATCAAGCATCATCCTCAATTCAGATTGAATCCTTTAATATAGCCGGGCAAAACATTGTTCTCAATCTGCGGGATCACTTCCTGCAGAATTTGCAACTGTTCCGGTTGCAGATTTCCCAGTTTAGGGGCGCGGTCGAGCTGTATAACATTAGTGAGATAAGCCTTATACACCCACTCTGGTGTTACACAGCTCTTATATCCTGTTAAGAAACGTATGGGAATTCTCAATGGGGAACTTTCGGCGGCTTCGGTAGTAGCTGTGTCTATACATGATCTCAATTCGGACAGCTCGTACAAACCGTCTCTGCATGTGTCAGCAGCGTTCTCACACGCGCGCTGAAATTCTGCCTCCACACCATCCCTGACACACGTGAGGGTGTCTTCAATAGGATTGCGCTCCTCGAGGTTGTGAATTGGTTTAGCGAAGGCGAGGCCCACTGCGGTAAGCGGAAACAGGATCTGGATCTTCATGTTTGGATACTGTTGAGTATGGGAGGTGAAACTGATTTTCCAATGGAGAAAGATGTGTTTGAACGTGTGGTATCGCCCAGATGTTTATACCTTGACTGCAGTGCCTCAGACAGGAGAAGGTCCCACCACTTCTGTGGCCACGTAAATTGGTATTTGTTCAATAAAATATAAGTTTAAAATTCCATACCTTCTTTAGGAGTAGAATTCTGACCAAATAGCCAATAATATTTAGACTTGGCAAGAACTCAGGGAAGTGGTCATTCCATCTCAGGTTAGTGTATATATGGATACCAATCTATTAAGATCAGCAATTTGTTAACAGAAGCGGGATTATTATAGGATAGGGTTAGTCTTCTGAGTCTTTCTCACAGACTTTCTTCGTATAGTTCTGGGGCCCAAAGTTCAATAGATATGGCTGGAGACGCTAGGGAGCAATTACTTCTCCAGAAATAGTTTCCACAGCAAGGATTGGATATTGGGCACTTGTAGTGAAGTGTACAAAGCTAGATATATTTATAATTTATGAGTTGTTCACGCTACCCTGTAATAGTGTGTGGGCCATATCTCAATCCGGGTCTTGGGATCTGCCGATCACGATGGTCATCCTCCATTTGGACAGTCCCCACCAAAGGTTTTAAACTTCAGCTTGTGTTTTCGCGCCACACGTTTTTAGAATTCAGCAATCATGCTCCAAAGAATGCCCTTGGTTAAGGTCTACATTTTATTCACCAAATACCCAATTCACATGGCTAGAAGTGGAACCTCCTCCTGCCTGAGGCATTGCTGTCAAGGTATAAGAATCTGGGCCATTGCTGGATCTGCTGTTTCATAACGTATCTCTCTCTTTTCTCTCACTAGCCCTCTTTTTTTTTCTTTTTTTTTCTTTTTTCTTTTTTAACAACTCTCCTGATATCACACATATTTTTCTCTACTGGAAATCACTTTCACCTCCCTAGTTGAGATCATCCAAGAGTGTGTAAATATGAAGATTCAGACACTATTTTCGCTCGCCGCTGTAGGCCTTACCTTCGCTACACCAATTCACAACCTTGAGAAGCGTGACCAACAAACGTGTATTAAAGAAGCTGTGCAAAAGGAACTCGGAAATTTCTTTGATATCTTGGCCGTATCCAATGAGAAGAACCGTGAACAGCTGGATGGCTTTATATCATGTATTGCCGAAGAAGTTGGTCAGCTCAACGATACTGCAGAGCTTACTCAGAATCCCTTAGAATGGCTGCAGTCTTCAGAATGTGTAGGTAACACTAGAGTGGATATATTTAAAAAAAGAACTTATCTTACTAATATGATTGTATACAGGTCAAACATTTTGGAGGAAATTTCATGAGTGCATTGGTTTCCCAGGGAAACAGATTCCAGGAATCCGTGGCCGTGGCTCTCTCAGAATCGGCCACATGTTTGCAACAGTTAGAGGAGAAATGATGGATGAAGAAAAGGACATTCCATCCAGGATAGTCATTGAAGTTATCTTATGGTCTTGGTTTGGTGCACGTTCATCTTTATCTACCTAATCCTTTTTTCTTATTCATTTGCAACACTCCTAATATCACACTCAAATTTTTGTTCTTTTAAATTACTTTGACATCTCTAGTTGGAATTATCTAATATTGCCTTAAGTAAATTATAAGGACATGCCATACCTGCTTCAGGAAGAGTAATATTCACTAGAAATAACGTAACTGGTAAACAAGCCGCCACTGTAAGCGGCCCGCCATCTTCTGTTTTCTATAGTAAACAGTCTATTTTTAAGCAATAATATCTCAACTATTATAAGATATTTCAGTTTACAATCAAGGTATTATACTAATATAATTATATATCTTATATATAAATCAAATATAAGTAAAAAATAGTCCTGGAATATATATATTCTTACTATATACTATAAAATATAGTATATTTTATCTTAACTTGGTAGTAAGTGTCTAAAAAGCTTTATACTGTTTATATATAACTATTCTACTATATAGTAAGTTATATACTAATTTTCAAGTAGAGATAAACTGAATTGGTTGAGATATTATTGCTTCAAAATAGGCTGTTTACTATAGAAAACAGAAGATGACAGGCCGCCTACAGTGACCCTCTTCTTAAATGTCCGCAAAGGAAAAGGGAGGGCGGTACCTTCAGAAACTGTTTCAGGATCAGTCTGTCTAGTTAAATAGACCACCAAGGCAATAGACTAATCACCCACCGCACGACTCGGTGATGAGTCAAATTAAAGTAATAGGTGTACCCCGATGAGAGGGACGAGGTTAAGTAGTGGAGTGGAGAAGTGCGGTCCGCCGTGTAAGCAGCCTGCATTAGCGTGCGGCCAAGAAAAGCCAAGTACGTACATATTCACTGCGAAGGGCATTATAACTCCGAGATATGTCTCTAAACTCCGTTTTGCTTACCGATTCCAACTGACCCTGGGATTTTTAAACATTGGCGTGATCGCATGCCTTCCGAATTTCATTAAATCCTACCGCTATTGAACACTTTGGTGTGATATCTCTATACCATAGCCTGGGCCTCACGATTCTATATAAACGCTACATCTTATATCAGGCCTTTGTCAAGCATTATATCCATTGGAAAAAGGAACTCTGTCACAACGCGATGCTTTCATATTCCATACCTTTTTGTATCTGTTTGTCTTTTGGCCTTTCGGTCTTGGCATTCCCCTCGATACGTCTGAGAGACGTGTATCAATTTCCGAACGGTACCTGGCTGGAGAATATTGCCGTTCGCTCTAATGGCAACGTTCTCGTCACGGCATATAACTTGGCCCAGCTGTGGGAAATCAATCCATTCAATGGAACCGATTCACACCATGCGCATCTGATCCACCAATTCGAAAATCCCGGCACAATCACCGGTATCACCGAGATCGACCGAGATGTCTTTGTGACAATCGCTTCGAATTCTCTCTGGAAGGTCGATCTGAGTATGACTGAGCCCATAGTCGACCCAATCGATATCACAATCCCAGCTGGGACTCTGAACGGGATAGCAGCTTTGAACGATTCATCGCTAGTGATTTCGGACTCATCCTTGGGCCTTATTTGGCGCGTGGACATCCAACAGGGGACGTATGACATTCTGATAAGGGACAACACAACAGCCACAAGCACAGCCTTAGGACCAACACTTGGAGTCAATGGTATCAGAGTCTTGGGCAGTCATGTCTACTACGTGAACTCGCCCCAGAGATCGCTCTACCGCGTTGGTTTAGATGCGTCTGGTAATACGGTTGGACAGCCCGAAACCATCGCGCAGGGAGTGTTGGCTGATGATTTTGCCGTTACCTCTTCGGGGGCTTATCTTGCTGGCTTGACGGATAATATTATAACAAACGTATCCCATAATGGCAAAACGCATGTCGTGGCAGGGGGTAGAAACTCGACTGCCGTGATGACTGCTACGTCTGCAGCTGTTGGGAGGACCAAGTACGATGCGAATGTGCTCTATATCACGACGGGCGGAGAGACACAGGGGCCTGTTAACAACACGAACCATAAGGGGGGCAAGATAGTCGCTCTCAGACTTGATATCTAGAGACTGCTTTCCAAGCAGCATAGCAAGTAATTGGTCACGTCAGCCTTCATAGGAGGTAATTATACCTTGGGAGGAATACCTGCATGGAAAAGGCTTCTTATGTACTTACTACAACCCGCGATGAGATGTGGAATACGAGAAAGGTCTTGGCTTCTGTGTGTGACGATTATATACAATATAGTTTTTAACAAATCAATAATTCTCGCATAACCAGTTCTCAGGGTACTGTGGGCTGGGTAGTCAACGCTTAGTAAAAATATAATGTGTCAGTGATTTTTCTGCATGAAATGTGCTGCAAAGGGTTTATGCATGTAGTTCACCTGTACTTATTCTCTAAGGCACATTGCTTGTCTTGTTGAAGTACCTGGTGTTAGGGTTTCTATTACCATGCTAGAAATGAAAATCAATGTGGAATGTGGAAATTAGATGTATGGAGGTGGAAATACAACGCCAAGACATCTCTGCCAATTGCCGAGCGATTTTCTCCCACTGCGCCGTCTGACGCCGAACGTATCTGTCATTTTCCTCGTGACCCGTCAGTCACCTTAATCTCACACATTTTGTTTCCCAAACATTATCCTGGTTGTTGATGATAAAAGCATGGAGTATGAAGCGCATATGGCGCAATTATTCCAAAGCCACACGGTCCCAGGTTTACATTGGACGATGGAATCGTCCGGGCTGTTCGCACTATCACATCCTATCTAATCGGAACTCCAGCACTACTTGCATCACCGAGTATCGATCAAAAGAGAAGACATTCTTGTATAAATTCCAACGGCCGCGCAACTTCGTCACTACAGCTATTCCCTCTCTGCTTGTGCCGCCCCTTATCTTCGTCGGACTCCTGCTCGCTCTCTGGACATGGAAATGCTTCTGGATCGTTGTCTTACAAGACAAACTTCTATACCTTTCATGGTTGCCACCGCTTGCACGGTCCGAGAAGATCGCGGACTATGAGGCCGAATGTAGGCCGGTCCAGTGGACGCAGAGGCAGATCCAGAGTCTGGACGGGACTAAGCTGGCGGTATGTGAAGGTCGCATCCCAGTCCACAGCCATAATGGTCGTGTTGCATCCGCGACTCCTGGAGAAGGCGATCCGCAAAATACGACAATGAAAAAAAGAAAGTCAGTCGTAATATGTTATTTTCAGGGTAATGGCGGTTCAACCCCCCTTCGTTTGCCACTCCTTTCTCAGGTTCTACGAACAATCAAGGAAAAAACGAAATCTATGCCGTTATCTACATCTTCATCAGATGGCACTGAGTTCACCATAGTGGCCTTATCATACCGCGGCTACTGGACTTCCTCGGGCCGCGCAACGCAATCCGGCATTGAGCTTGACGCGCAGGCGTTCCTCGACTGGGTATCGGAAACGTATACCGCACCAGACACCGATCTGGAGGTCATCCTCTGGGGGCATAGTCTCGGCTCGGCCATTGCGAGCAGTGCTACTGCAACTTATCTTTCCCGCCATCGTGACCAGTCGCCTGTGGATGAGATGGGAACCTCTCGTCCAGTAACCATCGCTGGACTGATTCTGGAAGCACCGTCCTCCAGCATCAAGGATATGCTTATAAGTCTATACCCACAGAAATGGCTCCCGTATAGATATTTGTGGCCCTTTTCGTGGAACCACTGGAGTTGTACTACCGCAATGGAGAGGATTGCTCGTTGGTGGGACCAGAATAAGGAGCAAAGCAATGCGGTCATTCAAGGGGGTAGGTCAAGAGTGACGATGCTGCCCGAGTCTGGGCGCCGTTGTACAAGTGCGGAGTCCCCTCGCTCGCCTCCTCCAATTCTTCTGCTTTCTGCAGGGAGTGACGAGGTGATCCCTCCGCATGTAGCGGATCAATTGGAATCGGATGGGAAAAGGCTTGGGCTAGAACTTGAGAGGAAAGATGTACGGGGGGCGTTGCACACAGAGGCACCTGTCAAGGTGGACGGCAGGGAGGCGTTGGTTAACTTTATCTTTCAGAGTACCTCCCAACGGCAGAGATAGTTTAACAACTTATTGTATCACAGTGCGCTCTTCATATTCATTTCTGGAAGAAATCGAATTCGGTGGAAAGAAAAGCATGTCGCGATAAAAGCTTTCTTGAGAATATAGACTAATTGCCTATGTTTAATCATAAGTTATTCTGGGATTGCCCTGCGGTTATTGAAGCTGTACTGGATTTGAAGACTCTCCATAAGGCTGCTTTCTCTACCAGATTCATTTATTATATGATGTTGCTGATATACTGTATACCTTTATGGTCACACCTCCTCAACGCTTTGTATGGCAACGCCACGTATACTCGGAACGGCCATCGCTGCTGAGAACTTGTTCAAACCCTCCTGCATCTTCACCCTCAGTGCTAAATCTGTCGATGAATCGCGTGATTGGTGATTAGTCTGTACACAATCATCCTCACTCTGGAATTCAAGACGCGATCGGCTGTTCTGATGTAGCTCGAGTACAGTCATAAGCTGGTCAAGAAGGGCCAGAACTGATGACAGGATACTAATACAAGGCTGCTCAGCTACAATCTTCGCGTATTCCGATAGAGTCATCGCTGTAGATGACCCCAGAGACGTCGTGGTTGTGTCCCCATTAGAAGCAAAACCAATCCTTGTGTGCAACCAGGTTAGTCGGCTTTTCGCTCCAGTCATTTTCCTAATTAGCTGGCCTATATCCGCAGGCTTAATATTTGCCTGTGATTCGATGATAGTGCTCGTAGCTGCGTAGTAACCTGGACATCTAACTATCTCGTTGAAAATGAACTCCGTGGCATGGTCGACCAGGTCATATCCATTTCTCTCATTTTCCATGCCGGAACTCTCATTGGCTGTCAATGACCATTCTGGTTTCTCTAAAAAGCATGGCCCTCCTTGCCTAAAAGCCTCCGTGACCAGAAAATTCCGAAAGGACAGCAAAAGAGTACGACCTATACCATGCTTATGCGCAGCAGGTCCACGGGCACATATAAGGTAGCGGATACCGCCGCAGTGGAGTACCCAAGAATTCTTGCAGCTCTCATCCAGCATCTCGTATCCTCCAAGCAAAATCGCAGCCGCTAGCGTCTCATCGGTGAGCGCAGCGGGTGTCTGCAGGATATATGCAAGATGCTTTATTCCTCGGCCATACATGTGTCGACCGCAGGCGATAACTCCTTTGTCACCTCGAACAACTCCCATATGGAATGTATTCAGTGCTCGGATTGCCCAAATCAACGCTTGTGGGCAGGTTAGTCCCTGTTGGCGTACAAAGTCCATCCAGTTCACCTCTAGTAGGGAGGACCATATAGAATACGCTGGAAAGTAATAATCAAGAAAGTCATTAAACCGCTCCTTTGTCTGGATGTCCAGCGCTGCAAAGGTCAGACCGGGAGCAAAGACCTCGTCAATGATGAGTTCAGATAGTTCTGCTGGCTGAGTCTGTTCCTGCCTTTGCACTCTTGGAGGGGTTCTACTGGGGCATCCCAGAGGCTCTCGTCGGTATCGCTGCTGCAGAGCTTGTGTCTGGTCGCGGAATTTGAAGTGACGATTATACCCCGGACATTCACAGCCTCTCTTGATACATCGCAGGCATTGAGGACGAGTCTCATCGCACTATAAGACCAGCTTAGTCCACCTACCCCGCACGGCGCTGTTTAATTTTGTTCTGGCATCAAACGGAGTACTCCATTCAAGAATGGATAGTACAGTGGATACGCACCTTGATTCTGCGATTCACGCACATGCGACATCCTTTGCTGTTCGAAACCCCCACCATGATGATTCGGGTAACCTGGGTTGGCGAATGTGGTGGCAGATACAATAGCACAGTACAACGAGGGCAGGCAATTAAGGAGTGAGAGCAGTGGCACAAGCTGAGTGAGCAAGGGTAGTAATCAGTATTTGGGAGCTGGAGGGATCCTCTTTGTCTTCATACTTTGAGACTAGTCACCCCGTGACCTTGGGGATGCGATTCTCTAGAGGGCTGTCCGTGTAACATAATCTTGACCGAGTGCATCCGCTTACTGTATCAATTTACTTTTGTTTCGCTGTATATGTCGGTGATTCCGCTTTTTTTCTTCTCTTTTTTTGCCCATTTCCAAATAACCAACGGATGATTACTCCACCTGGTGGAGCATGGATGGAAACTAGTGACCTAAACCGAACCTTAAGGTTAACTGACGATAGTACATATTAACATTAACATTGCTAGGCATAAGTGGGACTCATAATCCAACGAGGGATTTTCGTTGGCGCGTCACGGGCATACCTCCAATGGTTTTCACAACAGATGTACTATTGCTGCGTATAACCAGTAAGATAACTGCATCATAAATAACTCATTCAGATATGTCAGTATTTACCTTCATTGTGCAACGCTGCGTAACACGGAGCCGGCAAGCTCTAGCCCGAGGGCACTTTACATTCGGATGTTTAGTCATATTGTGGATAGTCGGTTAGCGGTTCCAGTACATAGATTTTAGTATTTAATGGATTTCATCAGAGGAAGACGGAACTTAAAAGCATTAGAGGCAGGAGAAAAAGACCATGTGCAAAACACCAACTTGGGCTCTTAGTCGGGTAAAAAGCGATTATATATTTTACTAGTAATCACTACTGGAACGCAGCATTCTGAGGCGGATGATAGCTGTTGAGTTATATCTACAGGACGAAGGGACCCAAGTCCTTTCATTATAGTATGAAATTTATAGCTAAATGTAATGAACTGATTAATCTGAAAATTGAAATTAATACCATGAGCCCACGGCGCTGTGCATAGTTAAGCTGCCATTCTCTTAATAAGCAGAACTGTGCGTGGCCGTGTAATTCGCTTGATCACGTGGGGAGTGTTTCACCTAATCTGGTAGCCGGATTAAAGATCCACTGATGAATCACATCTGACCACGCTTCTGCCGACAGGATGCCGCGAGTGATAAGTCATCCGGTTAAAGCTGCATGTCTCGCCTGGTATAATCCCGTATTGTCTTCGGCGTGTTGATAGCAGTGTGCTGACTAGCGTGCAGTCGTGCATCAAAAACACGTTGCGACGGTGAGCAGCCTTGTAAACCTGTAGGGTCACCTGATCTCAAGCTCGCATAAGAGATTCAGATCGCTGATGCTGGCCGTTATCACAGTGCTTTGAAAGAAATCGTGGTTGCTATTACCGTCCCAGTCGCCGTGGCGGACCGCGGCGCAGCACTAAAAATGATAAGGAAGTCCAACGCGTGAGCGAACCTCGCTCTTCCATGTCTTCATCACATCCATCGACTTCCGGCACTGTGGTCGACATTCCTCAGTGCCCAAATGTTTCAGGTACAGGGGACACGAGTTTTGGTCAAGAGGCGGATCCCAGTCTGCGGCATATCATTGGTCTCCTTACACCTTTCAGTGGAGAGCAGAGCCTCAGTGTGGACCCAGGTTTGCTTTGGGGTCCTCAGGATACAGAGCCTCCTAGTGAGATAGAAAACCCTGTTTTGCGGGTCTATATCTCTGACAAAGATATGTAAGTCCTCCACGTATAATGCTTACTTGAGTACCTTCGACAAATTTCCCGTGCCGGCTAACTAGAGTCAGAGTGAACGCATATTATATCTACATCCATCCATATTTAGCGTTGTTACCAGCTTCCGTAGGTCCACAGTATGAGGACAGGCCGGAAGTCTTCCAGCCCTCGGCTGCGGAGGCCAGCACGGTGGATAAGTCCTGTTTGCCTTATTGGCCGACAACTTCACTAAGTTTAGCATTATCGGCAATACTTTCCTTGATTCCGCCTCCTCAGGACCCACAACCGTCAGGGGAATGCCATGTTTGGATGCGACGTGCCTATGCACGTCTCTATGCGCAAGCCGCCCTCAGCAGTGCAGAAAAGGAGATTGACGATCTTGTGTCACGAAACAACGCAACTTCCTATGCGGAAGACGCCCGTCTTCACACCGACCTCCCGTTTCAGCTTTATCCAGTTCTGGCTCTCGTTGCTCTGAGTATCTATGAGTATTGCCAATGTGCTAATGTATCCCGGATGCGCACCCGAGCGAACCAGGCCATTACAACGGCTATGGATCTCGGCCTCCATAGCTTGGACTCGAATGCCTCAGAAGCACACCGACGAGCATGGTGGTCCGCGGTTAGTGTTTCCAGATCTCAATTCTGTGGGAAATGGTTACTTACTCATCACAGATTTCCATACTGTATCATACTTCAGTCGTACAAGTATCAGTAAGAGTCCAGACAATGATCAAGCTTTTTGACAACAGCCTAATCTATAATCTACCTCCAGTCACCCATCATTACTGCAAATGATGCTAGGATAACTACTCCATACCCCGAATTTAAAGCGTTCTTAGATGGTCCAGAGGTAAGGATTATCCTCACTACGCCGCTCTCGGTTTGTCTATGAGAGAGCTATAGTTAACGCGTTCATCAGCCATGGCCGCTTTTGCTTAAAGCTCAGGAAGCTTACATCTCGGTCTCCGACATTCTAGGGGCCTTGGGCCTAGTGTATAAAGCTTCTACACAATCAATTGACTTGCGCGATCAGATACATCAACTCGACTCGCGTATAATGTCACTGGCGACAGAGTCCGAGTTCTACATGGGTCTAACATGTAAGGACGATGCCGAAGGGCTTGCCATGCAGGGTATGGGACTGATCGCATATCTCTTGCTCCACTCGTGAGTCATACCATATACGCTTACGTTAATTAAAGGTCTAACTTTGCTTTTTTTTCACAGAGCATGGATCAGACTCCATCGGTTTAGAGCCTTCATGGATATTCCGCTGTTTGTCGAAAAGCACTGCGACCTTACTGCTATCAATGACAAAGCTCCATATCCGGAAGTGTCGTTGAATTTTGAAGCCGTATTTCCGTTTACCGAGCAACAATCCTCTGTCAGGTGCTTGAAGTCATCCCTTGCCGTGGCTCGAGCATTTAGAAACCTTCCCCGTCCACAACCATCCCGGTCGACCGGGGGCTCAGGAAACGATGACTCACCAACAGCCACCCAAAGCCTGGCTATTCCTTCTGCAGTGCCACTTACCTTTTTTGGCGCGCGATCTCCAAGTGCCTTGCCGTACTTTAAGTGTACGGCTATGCAGGCTAGCTACTCAATGTTTATGTTAGTGCATCGAATACGGGCAGCTATGGCCTCCAGCCGTCTTTCAGTCTGCTATCCTCTGATGGCGAGTCCAGAGCCTGCCACAGAAGTCCAAGATGCTAGGAGGCTTATTGAAGAGCTGCGACATGCAATTGAGTGCCTAAAGCATTCTATGGAGAGGGATATGGTATTCGAAGGCATTGCTGCCATGTACCGTGGACTTACCGCTGTCTATCTCTCAGTATTCCCAAATTGATTATTTCGAGTAAGAAGTGTCCTGCCCTGCCAAACGTCAGGAAAGGAATTCGCCATCTGTTCTGGACGTTTAGAAATCTGGGATGCAGCAGCTTGCATGGCCCCGGGTGATGTACCAGTTTGATCACAATTCCGATTACCTTATTATAAGATATGCCTTTCTCTTAAAATTTTAGCGTTGCCCGAAGATATCATCATTCAATGTGGTTTCCCGCCAGAGATTTAGTGTGTTTGATGTTGAGCCTATTTTTGAGATCCTGGCACTTAAAGGACTTTCTGGGAATCCATCAATAGGTTGAGGAGCAAGGACAATTAAAGAAGAAAGAAAGAGGACGGAGGAGAAGAAAATGCTCTTTCGGGTTCCGCGGACATCGAATCCTGAATGAATCTTCGGCGTCCGAAAATGGATTAGCTTGCAGTGAAGCTTTTGGGCATGCCCTAACTCATCAAACAACATTCAATCGCATTTATATAAACCGGGTAATCTCTTAGGGTAGTGGACGGAAAACTGTGGATTCTCATGTGAACGAAAAGAAGGCAACATGACTAATAGCTGCCCGTGTAGCTCATCGCAAAAGCCCTCAAATAGCACCATGGACGAAACCCCAAGATCGCTTGAAGGTCCGACTGAGCAGGAAATCGCCGTGGATTTTCCAGACGGCGGATGGCGAGCATGGAGCGTGGTGCTGGGGTCGTGGTGCGCAATGGTTCCCTCGTTCGGTCTTTTGAATACAATGGGTGTCCTAGAAGCTTGGCTGGCAAATGACCAGTTGAAGGAATACTCCAAAGCTTCCATCGGTTGGATATTTGGTCTGTATTCCTTCTTCCTTTACTTTGGAAGCGTGCAAGTTGGTATGCTGGGCTAAACTCTTTATTGTTCATACCAATACTGAAGACTAACTCAGACAAGGGCCGGTTTTTGATGCGTACGGCCTCAGACCCTTGCTTATTCCAGGATGTATCGGACTTGTCGGTTCTCTCATGGCTTTTAGTGTAGCCAGAGGTTTGTCTAATTTCAGGAAACATTCATTGTCCATCGCACTAATATTAAACATTGCCTGTCGCTAGAATATTATCAGTTCATGCTCGGTTTCAGCGTCCTCGGTGGAATTTCCTCATCTATGGTCTTTACCCCCAGTGTTGCCTGCATCGCGCATTGGTTCCATCGACGCCGTGCCTTGGCGACAGGAATCGCAGCCACTGCGGGTGGTTTCGGTGGTATTATTTTTCCTATCATGATATGGAACCTCACCGAAGTTGTCGGTTTTGCATGGGCCATAAGAATAACTGGTTTCATATGCACCTTGTTTTGCATTCTATGCATCCTACTCCTGAAGACCAGGTTGCCACCTAAAAAGCTAGGCGGAGGCAAGATTGACATTAGAGCCCTGCGCGAAACCCCGTTCTCCCTCCTCACAGTCGCCATTTTCCTAATCGACTTCGCCCTATTAATTCCCCTGACCTACCTGACTTCTTATGCTGAATCACACGGTATGGAAGAGAGCTTGGCATACCAATTAGTATCAATTCTCAACGCCGCTTCGATCCTCGGACGCGTTGTCCCGGGTTACTTTGCAGACCGCTACGGTCGGTTCAATGTCATGATCGTCACAACGCTTGTGTGTACTGTCTTCACACTCGCACTGTGGTTACCGGCCGGGTCCAATACCGCAGCAGTCATGGCATACGCTGTACTCTTTGGGTTCTGGAGCGGTTCCGCTATAAGTCTTGCCCCCGTTTGTGTTGCGCAGATCTCGTCCACGGAGGATTTTGGAAAGCGATACGGAACGACGTATTCGTTGGTTAGTGTTGGTGCTCTGTTTGCTATACCTGTGGCAGGGGAGATAATGAAAGCTCAGAGTTCAGGCGGAGAGAAAGAGGATTATTCGGGGCTTATACTCTTTTGCGGTTTGGTGTATGCTTGTGCTTGTTTGTTTTTTGCATTGGCGAGGGGGGTTAGTACAGGGTGGAGGCTGAAGACTATGTTTTAGGGTTTACTTTGGGAGGCAGTCGGTGCGAGTGAGGATAGAGAGAATGGTGGATGTGAGTTAGTTCGTAATGTATGTGTGGCGTGTTTCGCCTAATCGTCTCGTGTCATTAAGAGACCCGAACATGAATACTTGGCATTTATTCTCTATCTGTATTACGAGTCATGGCGCTATACCTTCATTGGGGTGTCAGCGTGCCTTTTAGCTCGTGATTGTAGCAGGGATCTTTTAGTGCGAGTACTAGTAGTATGGAGTTCAACTACTAGAACTATTGGAGAGCTGGACCCACCCACCCGTCCACGGTGATACGTAAGGGGTGCATTTTTGATTCAAAGATAGAAGGTACCTTCAACCTCATCGATACTAAAAAAGAGAGCGTGGACCGGAGAAGTTGTACTTACACCATCATAACCTCTAATAATATGAATAGAGCGGTAACTTTAAGCCAGACATCGAAGGGCAAAGCAGGCTGCTACACAATCACGAAGGAGTTATAAGATAGTGTGTGGCTAGCATTGTAACCGAAGAATGCATAGTTTGCGAGTGTTTGGGACCCTGATCCGCGGCAACCTCCGGTGAAGCAAAAACAGGAAGAAAATGAATATACCACACCAGTACCCTTTATGTGCCTTTTGGAGCCTCCCTACATGCAACGGCAGCTTCCTCGCCCATGGCCGACAGAACAGTAATCACTACAGACGAAATAATTAATCAGTATCCCCCTAAACAATGATAAAAGGTCCTAGCACCACTTACAGAGTTCCTTGCCGTCATTAAAGTCGTTCACAATCTGCGAACCAAGGTCGCCAGGAGGTACCTTGACATTGTCTTTCGGGTTACCCTCAATGTCCATCAAGTTTAGGAACCCCTCATCGACATTGACCTATGCATATATAAATTGGTGTAACTTTTCAGTTTGTCCTGTATCAGTGACTTACAAGTGAATACACATGTTGCAACACGTTTGGGACATGGACGAAATCGCCAGAACCAGACTCCAATTCAAGCTCCCTGCCAGTAAAAATGTCCAGACCTTTCACATATGTCAAAAACTGGCTCGCATCGATTGAAATATCAACGATTTTGCACGGCCGGCCGTTAATAACGACGAACATATTTTTACGTAGGTCGGAACACTTTACAGAGGATGTCCCGGATCCTCCGGCACTTCGCTCATCCTAGGGTATGTCAATCGCCGGTTTCAACCTCTAAAGTGCCATGTATGCTCGGATCTCCCCGCTAGATTCAGTCTGCGCGGATATAAAGGAAGAGTGAGTGGACAGGAGAGACATACGTAAGTTTGATAATTTTGCCCGTCGTCCGACATTGTACTTGACTATGGAGGGAAAGTTGGGAAGAAAGATATAAGTGATAAGGAGTTCAGAAGTGCCGAAAGGATTACTGGTGCTGCGGGATATGGGGGAGATTAAATACCGTGTGCTAGTAGGCTGACGGCATGGTTGCCCCTCCACACAGTAGTACACACACGAGGACGGTCTATTGGAGGGAAGCCAGATCGAAATACTACTACTAGTACTGTCGATCCCGGCAGGAATTGGTCTCCTATAGGATGATATAGTACGTGGGTCTGAGCACGTGCTGTCAGTGAGCTTTACGGCAAAGATGTAAAGAAAAGCGGCAAGGGCATTAAACTACCTAACAAACAAAGAATAAATAGTATTAAAAATAAAAATAAATATCGCTAAACGTGCACATTTAACAGCAGGCCTTCGCTGGTAGTCACCCACCCAACTACTAACCTGCCGGCATGTAATAGCTGGGTAGGTGTTCAGGTGAAATAGTATTATCTGACATTGCAAACAAGTTACAACATGTAATGTTGACAGGTATGATTAATACGGAACAAGCCTTATTATCTAAGCTTTGCTGAAATACTGAATCTTACACTTCCTTGAAAACTCATGGGCATTGGCAGATAGTACATTGATGCAATGTCATAGCCTTGGATTAATACTGTACACAATCAGTGAGTGTGACATCTAGTAGTTCAGATCAAAAGGTTCCAAAGATGTCACACGGTAATCATATATCACAAAGATAACCGCTCCTTGTAATAGTCACTGCATGCAAGTAAGCAAGTGCTCACCCAGACTATTTCTCCAGCTTCAAAAAGGCATAAGCCGAGTCGACAACACTCTCCTCAAGGCCACGATAATGAAGACCAAGTATTCTCTGGGATTTCCCCGCGTCAGGTGTATATAGCTCAACACCTCCAAAGCCCGATCCGGGTTTCCCGAGAGGTACACGGTCCTTCACCTCAGCGACCTTCTCCCGCAAAATGTCTGCAATTTGCTGATAACTAAAATTTCCAGCACAAATGAAGAAACGCTCGCCACCGGCCTCTGGAACTTCGTACGCTTTCAAATGGGCCTGCGCAACGTCTCTCACGTCGACCCAAGACCAGAATCCATTGTCCGGTATGGGGTCACTTTGCTTTGAATCCGGAGACATCAGCCGGTATAGATCAGTCGAGGTGACATTCAATTGGGACACATGCGTCGTGTTGATATTAGGGCCGTAGATCAAAGGTGGTAAAATGGTCACGAGGTCAAAGGACGTATTCTCGTCCTTGACAAAGTCCCACGCAGCACGCTCTGCCACCTTTTTCGCGGCAAGGTACGCCTGCAAATTGGTGGTGCCTTCGCCTATAGCCTCTTCGTAGGTCATTGGGTTCCAGTCTTTCTCGGAGTACACATGACCGGGCCATGTACCTTTGGACATGTCGACCATGGAAGCAAAGGAAGAGGTAATGACTATGCGTTTGACCTGAGGTGCGTATTTTCGAGTGGACTGGAGGATGTTGATGGTGCCATTGATCGCAGGCTGTACAATATCCCGCTCGTTATTCTCTGTTTCAATTGCGCCTGGACAAGCCGTATGCATGATTCCATCGACACCTTGTACTGCTTTGTCGAAGGCACCATCTTTGACAATATCGGGGACGATGGCAAAGCTTAGCTGCTCGCTGTATTGTGGAAATATGCACTTGACCTTCTCCGCTGTAGCTTCAGAGCGAACCGTTCCTCGGACATGATAACCGGCGGAAATGAAGGCTTCAATAACGTGAGCTGCCACGAAGCCGGAAGCCCCTGTCACAAGAATGGTTTTGGGTGGCTGCATTGTAGAGAGGGAGTGTATAGAGTTCAATGTCTGATTCAGTCAAGGTCAAGTATGCTTGGTGTACTGTGTCACTGTTTGAACCAGTTTAAGGAAGTTGGGCCTTTATATCTATCCATCTGAACCACCGATATCCGTGAGCTGATTACTGATTAGAATATCTCTAATAAACCACCCTGGCTTATAAATTATCCTCGGCGGTTCTGTATTACTGCAACTATGGGCCATGTAACCCCAAAATGGATGCCAAGACTGCAAATCCAGGAAAGAACCGGACTTAAGACTTTGTGTTCCAGACATTTGAGCGACATAGACTCGTTCTGTGTGGGGTCAGGAAGCTCAACGGCGGATTGAATGGTCCAGACTACACGCCTACATAGGTTCAGGGAAACTGCCAATAAATTCACACCAGTACATTATGCCATTGTATCGTATGGATAGGCTTAAGCCATATGCTGCAAAGATCTAACGCGACATATCGTCGCTGCTATTATGCTGTAAGACATACGAAAGGAGTGATCGATGGCAACCTTTAAGGTTGTTCACCTCGGTGGAGCCAAGTCAATATCGGATCCTGAAGAAGCCCTAAGGCCTCGGATAGGTGGATAGGCGACCTTCCGGGTTCCGGTCGTGGTTGGGAAAGTTCCCGAAACGGAGTTAAAGGGTAAAATCCGGCCAGGTCCTCGCACTCGTTTCGTAAGTCGCTGGGCTATCTGTGAATTCCCGCTTGCCATTGACTCTTGCTGTATATTGCCATCCCATTTAGAACACAGTAGCGGAGCTTTTGACATGTTCCAGGCCTTCAGCCTCATAGGTCTGCTTTGAATCCCAGCCATAACAAGAAAATGTCGAAGTCAACACGAATAAGATTGGAGGAAGTGTAATCCAGCCCCACCGCACATGGATCCGCGTTTGCATGATCCTCGATGTACCCTACGGCGGTGAAACACCTGGAATGGTAAAGTCTAGAATTGGCCGGAGGAATTAAGTTGCCCTTAGTCTAAGTGAGCCATGTGTTGGGCATACAGTCTGCAAAATGATGTTGAAAGTAAGTTTGTCATGGAACCATCGACCCCGAGAATACAGAGTCGCAGAATCGACGGCAAAATTAGAGGTATTCTGGTTTTCTTTGGCCGGTGAGTGAATGTATGTTCTATCAAGGACGGTTTTGTTATATCATGCCTGATGGGTAGTTTGGTATGCTTTATTCTTCTCCACGTACACCCAGTAGGCGTTGACGCACCAATAGAGCGAACATCGGGCTATAATGGCATTGGAGAGCTTGGCTTTCTGGGAAATTCGGCTTGTCATATAATTCACAAAAGAGTTTAATAGCGTCTTCCTGTATTGGAGGATCCTCTTAAGATCATAGCTGTGATGGCGGCGGAATGTGGCCATTGGGAAGCGTATAATGGTATTCACATTGGTATAGACATTGACTGACTCGCGTCAACGGGATAAGGAGCTCGGGTGTAAGGTCTCACCCTTCTTGCGGTGGAAGCGTATGAAGTGCAAAAAGGAATGGTCCCGGAGAGGCTCGAACTCTCGACTTCTGAGTTATTAGCTCAGCACTCTAACCGACTGAGTTACGGGACCAAGTGTGCCGGGAAGGCTGCAAATGGTGGATGGACTTCCAATTGTAATAGCCAGAAGAAAGCAAGCTAGGCAAAACATTGTTTCTCTCCGTAAAAAGGACGCATGTAGATGATCGCCGTGGGTAAGGAAGGATTTGTGGTTTTCACGGGTTGGATTGCAAGATAGACTTTCAATGCGCTCTTCTGCTAGCTCTGAGATCGTCCGCGCCTCTTGTTATCGTACTGCTGTACTGGTTATCGGCAGGTAGGTCTTGTGTTAGAATCGTTTAGGTGATAAGATGCCTGACTTATGCTTGATTTATTAGCCGGTGTCTCATTTCCCGGGAGTCGCTTTTTATGGCGACCACATGGAAATATACTCCCAACAGAATTTCGAAGCCTTAATTGCAGGACTATTCGTGAACGGGAGTTGTTTTGGAAAACATAGTGTAATTTGTATGCGGCGTTGGTCATACTGAACTCATCACTACCCATCTGTACTTGCTGGTGATCTCAGAAGAGCATCATTAGAGACGTCGAGGGAAAAAGTAGACCAGTGAAAATATAAAGAGCGTCTACTTGATCCGTTGTAGAGAAAAAGGCCGTAAAAGCAGCGATTCCGTTCAAGCAGTGATTTTAAAACACAAGTGACAGTCTCGCAGCTTGAAGTCGCGCCACTAACTAGTACGACCCGCACAGCAAGGTGGACAAGTGAACGAAGGATGCGTTGTCACCTTGGCATGTGTCAGTGGTAACCATAACAGGTATCCGCCTGACCTCTGTCTTTTACTCTACCAACCCCCTCATTACACCCAACTCACCCGCTGCGAATCATCGTGATGGACTGTACCATATGCAATAAACCCATTGACTTTAGGAGACGGGGCTTTTGGTTCAACCCTTTTCGAGCCGGTATGACCTCCAATGACCAAGATTTAAGGCAGTGAGAATCTTCACATTGCCCCTTACATTGTATATCTTAGATCGCAACTGATGACTATACAGTGTACAAGGTCGGGGAAAGCATCTGTCTCTCTGACATACCTAGCACTATGGACAGGCAATCAGAATGGCTAAACTAGGTGTTGGTTTAATCCCCCAGGACTAACTGAAACATATCAAAGTTGCGCCCATTTACTATCATTCTTTGAGTTTTCTTCTTATTGCCCCTTAGTATCATCTTTCAGCGGAGGGTGCCAGCCTTTGCCTAATAGCCGGGAATGAACAGTGCTTTAGCACCTATCCTATACTACTAAGTGCTTCTGACATTTCCTGTGCCTTTAGACCAGCTCCGACATTGTAGTAAATGCGCATATGAAAGAATATCTCTGGACAGGTATATCAATTGGCATGGAACCATTCCCATGAGAAAGTTCATACAACTGTGTGAGCTGATTGGAAGTTATGATTGTTTCTTTAATCGTATATCTAGTGAATATATTAGGCTGGACCGAATTGGAGAGTTAATTGCTACGAAAAGTAGCGGAAGTTGATCTGGCCTGGCACCAAGAAGCGCGGATCTGAATCTGCAATCCCGAAAAGGTAAATTCCCGATGCGCAGATTGGATTTCCCTCCAATCGGCACACCACAGACTACAACGTCCTGCAGAACATGAGTCCATCATGCCTCCGTACCCGTCGGTGTGGGGGTGGGGAATCCTAGCTTGCCATAAGTCAGTCCGCCGTAATATGTTGCGGCAGAGTATTTCTACTGCGGCTGACCCCAAACCAGGGTTTTACACAACGCTTTACCAGAATGGTACCCAAGATATTTTTTCTGTCATTGCTGCCAGTGGCGCTGGGATATCCGCGCCTGCAATCACGGTTGGACAATGGGCTCGCGCGAACCCCTCAGATGGGGTATGAGTTGCTAACCCCTATTACTTGAGTAAAGCTGACAACTCAGGTGGAACACCTACAATCACTACTCATGTTCACCAAACGAAGCTATTGTGCGCTCTAACGCCCAGGCCTTGGTGGATTTAGGATTAGCCTCGGTAGGGTATCGGTATGTCACCACCGACTGTGGCTGGAGCGTTGCGGATCGACTGCCTGACGGATCCTTGACCTGGAATGAGACCTTGTTCCCGGAAGGCTTTCCCGCACTTGGGCAGTACCTTCACGACCTCGACCTTCTTTTCGGGGTATATGGGGATTCGGGAATCAAGCTGTGCGGGAGTCCTCCCGATAATGTCGGCAGTCTATGTGTGTGTTTCCAAGATGCTTAATCGCCAAATACTAATGGCTTTTGGATAGACCACGAGGAGCAAGATGCTAAGACCTTTGCAACTTGGGAGGCTGACTCGCTGAAATGTGCGGCAATCTCCCTCTTCGAACCGTCAACTACTAATGTTCTCTGGATGTAGACGATAACTGCTATTCCGACGCCGCGACGGACTATCCCAACGTAAACTACGAACCGAGCACGTCGCCACAGCCAAGATTCGAAATCATGTCGCACGCCCTGGCAGCACAGAACCGCTCCATCCTTTTCCAAGTTTGCGAGTGGGGCCTTGATTTCCCAGCACTGTGGGCACCCGCGCTAGGTCACTCGTGGAGAATTGGCAATGATATCATCCCCCACTGGAGGGCGATCTTCAGAACGTTGAACCAAGCTGTGCCTCAAACTAGCTTTGCAGGACCTGGCCAATGGCCCGACCTGGATATGCTCTTGGTGGGCAACGGTATATTCTCAATTCCAGAAGAACAGACGCACTTTTCCCTCTGGGCGATTCTCAAGAGTCCCTTGACTATCGGAGCTGCGTTGAAGGACGACAAGACTTCCATAAACGATGAGTCCGTACAGATATTAAAACAGGAAGACGTTATTGGCTACAATCAGGATTCACTGGGTGTGAGCGCCACTTTCCGGCGACGCTGGTCAGACGAAGGCTATGAAGTATGGAGTGGGCCCTTATCTGGTGGCCGTATCGTGGCCGCCTTGATCAATTGGAAGAATGAGTCGAGGGACCTTACTCTGGATCTCCCAGATATTGGTTTACAGTACGCTGGCGCGGTGAAGAATATCTGGGATAGTTCTACTGCTCAAGATGTTAAGACGTCCTATACAGCAAGGGTTGAGGGACATGGAACAATCCTACTCGAGCTTCAAGATACTACAGCTTCTGGACACTATCCGGGTGACACGTTCGCTACGTCAACTGGGTGAGTGATGGCTCAAATACCTTGGCTTCTATGCTACTCTAACACTACTATCAGTTCTTCGACCACGTTTAAATCGATCTACGGTGTCACCACAAGTGCCAAGTACAACATCACAGTAAGACTATCCAACGGGGGCTCTGAAGATATAAGAATACAGTCGACGGCAGGTAATAAGACCATTACTGCACGGGTCTCAGCATCAGGTATAGAAGCATCTGCACAGATACCCCTAGTAGCCGGATCCTCGAACTCTATTACTATTGCGTCCTCGCAGTCCGTCGAGTCCATCACGATCACCCCTCCCAACGGTACATACTACCCGAACACAGTCTTCACAACAACTGGAGATGCAGAAGCTGTCTCCTGTGGCGCAGGATATTGTCGGCCAATTGGCTCTAAGATAGGGAACATCAGTGCGAACAGCACGGCTCGGGCTGTAATCCCCGCGACCGCCGGCAAGAAGTATTTGGCAATCGACTACATCAATAATGAGGTTGCATTTGACTCGGCCTGGGATTGGGGTTCCAACTCTCGAAATCTCACTGTGAGCATTAATGGTAACAAGCCAGTCAGAGTCGAGGTCCCCTTGAGTGGCCAGCATAGTGAGTTGTTTGGGCCCGGTAAAGGGTGGTGGGATGCTGCGACAATAGGGGTATTGACGGAGGGATGGAAGGATGGAGACAATGACGTTGTCATTGGAAACGAGGGTGGCGAGAATGGGTTCACATCGTACGGACCTGACTTTGTCGGCTTGAGGGTGTTTTAGTTAGACGTAGATATATTCTTGCTACCGTTGTAAGTTAGAAGATCTATTAAGCCTTACGAAGTGTGCTAAAACTTACCACATCTCATACAGAATATATAAAGGAGCTACCTTGGCTTGTTGATTCGTTATCACCCCCAAACCTCAAAGCCGCGAAAAAGGAGGGTTAAATCCAAGTCACTAGCTACGGGAGCGTGTATAGATCCTCCAAGTCCCAACTGGAGATTCAGTTCTACCTTTCTTGAGACTTCTGCCCAATTTTAATCCTTAATCAATGCCTCAAATCCATGCAACAAGTCTCTCTTCAAATCCTCCAAATACTCCACCCCAATACTAACCCGAAGAAGTGTCGGCTTCGCCGACGCATCCACCAGCCTCCTCCATTCAATCTGACTCTCGACACCACCAAGACTAGTTGCATGTTGGAACAGCCGCAACAAGCCCACCAATTCACGACTCATCTCCTCCGTCTTCATCTCAATAGCAAACACCGGCCCGAAGCCATTCGGCATCTGTTCCCGCAACCAGCCCAGATCCCCCTTCTGGAGACTCGCATGTCTCACAGCAGCGACAGTCTTCTTAACCACATTATCCCTCTCACTCTTCAAGCACGTATCAAGCCAGCGAACTAAAGCCGTAGCATTCTCACTCTGCCGCTGTACCCGCAATTCCAGCGTCCGAAGACTCCGCAGTCCCAGCCACACCTCGATGCTACCGAGCACGCTACCAAGAATAGTCCGCTGTTCATGTAAAGTCTTGAACCACGCTTCTTCTCTGGCAGGCGGGATCGACAACGTCCCGCACAGAAGATCATGATGACCACCGAAGTACTTAGTCCCACTATGCATGATGATGTCTGCGCCCAGCGCAAACGGATCCTGGAGACCCGGTGGACCGAACGTCGAGTCGATTACTAGGTACGCTCCGCGCTTGTGTGCCTCGTCTGCGAACCGTCTGATACTGAGTGCTTCTCCCGTTGGATTGATCGGCGTTTCGAGGTGGATTACGTCGCCTTCTTGGAGGGCGTCGAGCTGGTCGAATCCCAGAATGTCACAGCCCGTTAGCTGGTGGTGCAGATTGGCTACCTGGCGGCTGCCGTAGTATCCATCACCGATGGCGATGCGCTTCGGTTTGAGGAATACGAGAGATGCATGCACGGCGGCTAGACCGGAGGCGTAGGTTAGTGTTGGGCCGCGGATCAGTGCCGATAAGACTGTTTCTAGCCGGGTGCGCGTTGGGGCGCGGTCTCGGGAGTAGCAGAAGTTCCCGAGCTGGATCAGTTAGTACTCATGTTGTTGTGTTGGTTCATGGGTGATGAAGCATTGCTACTGGGTGACATACTGCTGGCCCGGGTAGAGATTCATCCTGCTCCGTGTTGTACAGGTACCGGAACGTTGTGCTGAGATGGATCGGCGGGGCGATATCTGATTCTCCGTCTAGCCCATTGTCGGCATGGAGTGCCTGGGTGGCCAGGTTGTCATCGGACATTGTTAGCAGGGTGTTAACGTAGAACTGGGATGCGGCATGTCGTAATGTGAGGCCGTAAGGGATATATCATAGTGTGGGAATTGTAAAGCTTGCGTGGACGGAGTTGGCTATCGTCGGTTTCAAAGATAAAGATGATCATAGATAAGGTTATGAGTCAATTTCATGGCAAAGAAAAGCTTAAAGGTTCTCTCGAGACGGGCGTCGATATTCATAAAGGGGGTTGAAAAGAATTCGAGCCTTCTCGTGCGAATACTGTCACAACAGGACCTCTAATGAAAGATTCCTAACACTCCAAGGGTTATTTCGTACAAAATACACTTTGAGATTGACTACATTGGTAGTGATTTAGATTTAAGGAATTATAGACACGCCGAACTGTGGATCTGATAAGTCGGTGACTTCGGCATATGCGCAAACGCCGAAGTGGTCCCACCAGACGCCGACCCTATGTAGGTGATGACCTATAGTGTCATTTTTGTAAAAGTCCCAAATGGAGACAGCGATAATGATTTGCACAATAGTCAACCCACCTTTAGCTACCAAACCATATGGACACAATGTTGCTGACATATCTGGTAAGGCATTTGTGGAGCTCGCCGATATCTCAAAAAACTTTCCAAATGAGGCACCCGGCCTAGAGCCCGCATAGCCCTAACAGAACGACTTGTGGCACAGCACCAAGAACAACATAGGAACAGACTTGAGGAGATAAATAGTAGGTTCAGCCGTATGAGTATAATACTTGTCCAACAGCCATCAAAACAATAAGTCTATCCAAGCAACGTGCCTCCACGAAAAACATCCTGAAAATGCAGCCCATCATCCTCTACTCTCACCCTTACGGCCCAAACCCCTGGAAGGTAGCCATTATCCTCGAAGAGCTAAACCTTCCATATGAAACTCGTTTCGTCAGCTTTCAAGACGTCAAGAAGGAACCTTTCATCAAACTAAACCCAAACGGCCGTCTGCCCGCCATCGAAGACCCCAGCAAAAACATAACCCTCTGGGAATCCGGCGCGATAGTGGAATACCTTCTCGATAACTACGATACTGAACACAAGCTCAACTACACCGACTTCTCGGCCAAGTACGAAACCAAGGCATGGCTGCATTTCCAAATGTCAGGCCAAGGCCCGTACTACGGACAGGCTGGCTGGTTCAACCGCGCCCATCCAGAACGTCTTCCTAGTGTCATCGAGCGGTACGGAAATGAGATCCGTCGGGTAACTGGTGTCCTGGACTCTGTTTTGAAGAATAGGGATTGGCTGGCTAGGGATAAGTGCACTTATGCCGATCTATGCTTCATGCCTTGGCAACGCTGGGCGTCGAAGTATGCGACGGATGCGGAGAACTTGGATAGGGATTTCCCTCATGCGGCGGCGTGGTTTAAGAAGTTGAGTGAGAGGCCTTCTGTTAAGAAGGTTTTCGCGGATCAGGACCGGGCGATTGAAGAGTCGACGGGTTTGTAAGGAGAATATACATGTGGGTTTGGCTTTTGGACAGGAGTCTACATTAGATATAATGTATTACTCTGATAATCTTTGTGCTGGAATCATGCCTCCTGTAGCAGCCTACGTATTATGCCCTGACTCTATTTGTTGTTTGATGTTTTACAGAAGTCTTCCGTATAATCCACCAGATGTGTGGCTCAACATATATGTATAACACGCTGGACCGTTTCAGAAATATCATTCAGCAGCCGCAATGGAGACATTGAAGTAATATTGTCTATGGTTCAAGAGGATTTCATTCGAAATAGGGTATATTCCAGCTAGACAAATTGAATCAAGTTTGTATATAGAATTGATCCGCAGAAAATCAGATTACGCAACAAGGCTAAAAGGATCGCTATAAGTCTGGTTCATATCTCCCTCACTCTATCCAAATACGATTGTCCTCACTTCAATGCTTTCCCTCCCTTTGGCATCGGGAGCGGTGCGAGGATCCACAAAGGCAGTGTGAGGCACACGTTCTGCCATGCCCTCTTCCGTATCCGAGCACTTTAGAAGCAGTCTTTCATCATCGTCCACTCCAGAAAGATACTTCCACTCAGCATTTGGATTGTATCTCACGCCCATAATCTCGCCACTGAAGTGAGGATAGCGATGTTCAACTTTGGCGAAGTCCGCGTCGCCTAGAGTCGCAGCGCTGGCAAAAGCCAAGGGAAACGATTCAACCGCGCCATTTATCGGCCTCCAGACGTTGATAATACGATACCGTCCGCGAAGCAGCTTTTCGGCTTCTTCTGGATCAGTAACATGTCGCCGGACCCGCTGAGCTGCAGACCATCTAGTCTGGTCCCCATGTGCTCGCTGGACGGGTTGGCGTGACGCCTTGGGGTCGGCTCGTCGGATGGTGTGGTCAAATATGATGATTTTGTGGGCCCCGGGAACCTTATCGAGGAGTAGCTTTTCTACCTCGGGGTAATATAACTGTTTGACGGTATCGTCGGAATTGAACGTCTCGTAGGTAGTTTCCGAGGGGATGCCTTGTAACACTTGAAATGCGTCGCGGTCTAAACTGAACTGATCTTCTTGCCCTCGGATATCGGCAATGCGAACTTTACGTAAGACTTCACCGAAGTTGCGTTGGGGCTGTCCCTGCGGTGGCTCCTCCACGTAGTTGAAGGGTGCGGCGCCATCCGCGGGGTCTTCGAAAAAGACTATCTCAGCCTCGACCGGCCCGCGTGGTACTGGTGGGTTGTTTGCTTGTGAGGACATGTTGACACTGTTGGCTATGTTGACAATGTGGAAAGTGAAGTATGACGAGTAAGATGGTCCGTCTAGCGAATATGATTGAATTAACCGAATGCTAGACGGCTGATCTCAATATAAATAGGCATTGCTACAGTTGATACATCTTCTAGAAGCGTTGTATGGCATTAGTAAGTCCTGCCAGTCGGCCGACGTCATAGCCAATGGAAGCCCGACGGCGATTGCGCCATGCCGGCGTGATTAGTAAAAGTCTCCGGGCTCTTGCTAACTCGATGGCCCGCGGCCCGCGACTCTAATAGCCCTTGTTACTTACTATAGGCCGTGCTGTTGTGTATTGCGGCAGTAGTGCAAGGGAAAAAGGATCAAATCTTTTAGGTAAAGTGTCACTCATATAGGAAATTATCTCCATAAGATGCTGTGTATGCTGCTGCATCGGTAGTTTCCGACAGAGCGGCAGATATGCCTGCATACGTACATATGGGCAGAACTGCAACATGGCATTTATTGCAAGCCGCGCCAGAGAAAATGATGAGGTTTCCCAAAAACCGTTGCCCTTCACTGTCAGGCATAACTCTTCCTATACACGTGTATTCGTGTCACACTTGATACCTGGGGGCAGACAACCATCTATGCTTTTGGCACCTCAATAAATTGATCGCCTCGTCGAGTTGACAGTATGCAGCAATCTTTATCTGTACAATTTCACGTGTTGGTCACGGTCACTTCTCTTTTTCCATCGTCGAAGTACTCACCCGAAGGATCTAACTCAACAGATTCTCCTGGATTGAATAATACATTTCTATCGAACTTGTACTCTGTCGGGCCATCCGGACGAATAATAGTAATTGCTTCGACCACGTCGTCAATCGCCACTCGACATGGGATCTCATGCCTGCCAATCCTGGCTCTCTCATCACCCAGTATAATGATAGGGTTTGCCGCAAAGCGTGCACCGGGCATGGTGAGAATGGGCTAGTACAAGGGATGGGATTGTGTGAGTATAATGATATTTCATTCACAGATCCACAGTTGTGAGGATAGGACCTATTTATTATAGCTAGTTATGGTTCAGGAAAGCGTTGTTAGGAGATCCATGCTCCCGCTTTGTAGGGCCGTCTGTTGCCCATGTTGGTAGAGAAAGTGCTTTGTATCTTACCGCAAGAGGATTTACATGATTCACTACTAAACTTAATCCGCTCTAAGCAATGAGTCCCCAGGGTTCGTTTGTTGAGTTCCGCTGTTGACACACGCATATCGACAGTAGAGAGCATATGACCCAATGAGAAATGGGCTTCGGCTCCACCGAGCCAAGATGTAAGCGTCAGTGGAAATGTAACCCCGGTGTCGATGACAATGACAAACTACATGACTAAACAATGCCAGCGACAAGCATTGACGTATGTAAGAGCCGAGAGATGGTCTCTAGAGTCAACGCGAACACGTTCCACCAAAACTTCAACTCTCTAGAGTAGCTGCTGTTGCCGTTTCCGCCGTCCTTGTTAAGAATACAGTCCGGATCACACTTGTTCAAATTTCCTACAATATGTTCCTTCATGGCGCTCTCGATTCATGAGCGAACATAACACCATGTGGCTATGTTTTACATATGTTATAATCTTACAGTCATCAGTTCCTCAACGTCCTCTTCGTAAGCCGTTTTCTAAGCTCATTGAGCATCCTCCCGAACTTAGGATCATCAATGTCCCCAAGAATCTCAAAGACCTTTGCATCTGACAGAGACTCGATATACTCTCCGTACTCGTCTGCGAACTTCTGAAACAGACTAATAAACCTCCCCCTACCAGGATCAGCTCCGTCGCAAAGAGATAAGCCACCGTACTTCACTTACTCAGAGTAGCATCCATCGTCACCCAAATCATCCCCAGAGCATCGTTCATATATATCCTTTAAATGCATCAGTACCAAACAGCTACCAAAAAGCTGACCGATGTCATCTAGATCCTCGCCAGCACGATCAGGCACGATGCGGAAGCGGTGTTCTTTGAATGTATGCAAGCCAACGAGCTTACTGCATAGTTGACGAATGGGAAGCTCACGAAGTGAGTCATCGTACAGCATGCTTTCGTGCTCAAGATTAATCTGACATTCGGTCGTTAGTTGCCTTCTCTGAGGACAATGCAGATCTCTCGCGGTTCCTTTTATGGGAAAGGAGCTGAGCGAGTCGGGACATTATAGCCATACATGAACAGCTGTCTGTGCTGGTCCTTCGTAATTTTCGTCAATAGTGGTACGCGTACATGACCACTCACGGTTATCTCTTCCGTACGACCTGGATAAAAATTCGTCGATATCCGACTTGGTTAAGGAGTATTCTGGTGATTGACATAGTAGAATCGCGGAGACAGAGAGACGATTCGTGGATGATTTGAGGAAGAGTCCGTAGACAGCCGCAACGACGGTTGCTAGGGTAGAGTTATTCGTTAATAGGTAGGTAACGCCGTAGCTTACGAGAGTTTCCATTTTCGTCCTCGGACGCTAACAAGCATCCAGGACAAGGGAAAAGAAGATAAGAAAGAAAGAAAAAAAGAAAATGTGAAATGAACGGACTGAAGATGCGACAGTAGATGATAGTCAGATGAACTAGCAGATACGAGGAACGTGACCAAGAAAGGGTCATTTTTCGTATCCACATTGTGCAGGCGTGCGCTTGCGTGGCCTTGATTGATTGGCTTCAAGTTACGGACGAACAGAATATACGCGTTGGTGCGCGCTGGCGAGGCTGGGGTTCAGCATTTTGCTAGCCTTGTTCTTCACTCAGGGCACCATGATTTGCCTCTAACTCTATGCCATCGCTGCAGATGTACGGGAATTTAGGGCTAACTCTTACTCTTTCTCTTCTTCTATTTTCTCCCTTTGGTAAACAGAGCTGATTGAATGTGTTATTAGTAAAAGCAAAATAAATCGACATCGATGTGTGGCCAATACCACAGCGCGTAATTTCTAGAGCAAAATTATGCCGAGGTAAGGGCTTGCATCACTATCTCTTCTCCTATTTGACGCCCATTTTTACGATCTGTACCCATGCAGTAAAGGCTATCTGACATACGCTTGGCACGGCCATCTTGTTTCAATGGACCTTCACCCCGAAGATGAGTTGGAATATTGTTTCCACAAAACAAGGAACAAGGACTTATACGAAGGTGCCAGTAGTGTTGGAAAGTTTTGGATCAAGCCAACTATCTACTCTCCTTCTTTTTAACAGTTAGTATTTCGTGCCATTTAGCGCTAATAAACATTCTGCAGCCCCGGTCTCTAGACTGCATGCCCTAAGTCCTTGCGCTATGATCTAGCTTTTACATGCGTATAGGCCTCTCATTACCTCTAGGTTTAGTAATTATTCTGCTGGGGATTAAGATCATCTAGAAAGCGTGAGTCCTAATAAGCTAGTAAGTCCGGGCTCGGGCTGTTGAAGTATGCAAATTTCAAGCCGGCTCCTGGCCCTTCCATAAATCTACAATCCTAGTATAATAACCCAGTTACTGCCTTCTGAAGCAACCAACGAAGGGTCCGCATCATGTAGAGCATGGATTGGCGGCACTCGAAATCAAGGATCCACAAACAGCAAGCCTTCAGAGCATGGTAAAAGGGGGCAGGATGATATATACCTTGCTCAGTTAAATGTGATCAGATTGGCTGTCCACACTATGGAATACACTGTCATTCATAATATGGCCCTTGGTTTGTGACTAACAGAGTCATTGTGGGTAAGGTTGTGTGTTCAGGCCAAGCAAGATGTTGAAGTCAACTCCTGGCTGATTTTGCATCCAATCCGTGGAAAGCAAACAGTGCAAGCTATCTTCTACCTGGTTTCACCCAACATGGGGTGCATTTGCAGCCCAAGTCGAGGAGAATGCTTCAGGGGAGAGAAAGTACAGAGACCGAAACGCCTCAGCAAAAATGAACAGTCGACATAAAACAATGATCGATATACCGGTGAGAACCAATGTAAGATACCATGGTTTGTGGATATCTGTTTCGCGCTTGCCACGGTTTGCCAGCAACCATACTATATTGAGAGCCATTGGCAACAGGGCCGTGAGAAACGAAGCGATTCTCCATATAAGTTTCTCGACATCTGTCGGGAATGGAAAGTTCCACGCAAATAGATGCACAACGCCAAAAATAAGAGCGCCAACGCTAATGCCGAGGTAGATATAGTTTTGTGTTTGGCGATTTACCTTCAAAATATCCTTTCTCGGATCTGCAACAAATGGAAAAGAATTATATTGGATGCAAGGGAGTTGAAAGTCAATGAACGGCAGGAAGTGCAAGGGACCGACCTCAACAATGCCTTTAAGTTGACGGATATCGTATTTGAGTTTACGCGCAGAAATATAAACGGGCGTATATGCATTCTGCGGTTGGTAGATGAGCATATAATAGGTAATGCAGGCACAGACTGCGTAAGCCACAGTCATGATTTCCAACTGGGACGCTGATTTATGGTATGCGAACCGCAATATCAATTGGACAATCAGCCAGAGTATTTGAACAACTGCAAGGACTTTGATAAGGGAATCGCCCTTATTTTTGTCATCGATCTCCTGGCATGTAACATTTGGTAATCGTTCAATAATACCATAATGTCGGGCCATAAGAAGCTGAGGCGCATTTAAAACCCACACGCTACCTTCCATGGCGAGAAGATTATAGTGTTCGATAGATGATGCGTTGTATACACTTGCTCCACGAACCATATAGCTGAACCGGGAAAGCATTTCTTCACTTATGGTTGTATGATGGCTGTTGGGCTCCCAGGTCATCTCCCCAAACCAGCGATTAAAACGCTGGATTCTCCGGCGATATCGCTCCGAGTGTTGCTAAGGTCACCAGGGTTCGGTTTTTTGGCTTTGCTGTTTACGGAGTCGGCCTTGTCGGTTGAGTCGGTTGATATATGACTGATACCCCGGCTGGTTGCTTTGTTATCACCCACTATATTTGCTCCCGCATTATCCGGCAGTGGCTTTGTAAGTTCTTCTTTCCCTCGTGGTGGATGGCCAGACTGGGCATCGGGCTGGGACAAGATGCTGGTCTCTGGGTCGTTTCTGTTTGGCTCGTCGTCCTGGGGAAAGCAGATTTGAAAGCCTCCCATATTGGCGAAAAATGTATGTGAAATACTCCAATCAACTCCATCTTTTTCTGCGAGTTCCTTCAAGGGCACTTGGAGCGCCTTGGCAGATGTCAAGTCTAGCATTGCCTTGGTCATGATCATCTCTGGAGCCACTAAGATAGTAATCACCCATCTCAGCTTTTGAAAAAAGAGGAATAAGTTTCGCCGAGTATTGCGCCAGCCTTTCTGTGTGGACTTGAACTGAGGAGGAATATTCGGATGAAAGATGGACCAGCAGGAGAGAATGAGAATCGAGCCACAACTCCAAACTATGTCTAGGGTTCCCCGGATATCAGGAGCTGCCACGAACCTCCCCGCAGTAGGAGGTAACGTGCAGTTCGGGGAGAATTGAATCATTGTGGAAGACGCACTAAAGTACGTGGGTGGTTTGACATGAGCAAAGAGGGACATCGGGCACAGCTGGGCAGCTTGCCAATTTATAACTGCGCTCCACCCATAGGAAACTACTAGTAGTAATTCGCTAAGTCTAATAAAGGGTGATCGACTGTGGTTCGTACATGGACGATCATTAATCAAGAGCAGCCAGTAAATATCACCATTATTTGCTCGCTCTATCTGATTTGTTGGTGGTTACTGCATGCACCCTCCTACTAGTACTACTACTAGGACCAAACAACAAGGACATCCTGTCGCGCTGTGGCTAGCTGAAAAGTCGCGGGAGGGAAAACCCACCACCCCCACAAGGCCAGATACTGTAGGTGTAACGAATTTTCCTCAGCGAGTGGGGCAACAGGCGGTCGCTTCGAAATTCGTTGCGTGTGTAGGGACAAGTGGCCGATATGACCTGTCCCGAAATTGATTTATTCATTGTGATACAACCAATGAGGCATCTGGACTAGAGCCACAGTAGGGCTGGCAATCCTACTAGGAACGCACCTCATGCACGTCACCGCGAGGGATGGCATTTGTCCGGTATGGATCATCATCGTGCAGGATGTTCATTAGTCAACTGATTGTTACGATCTTTCAATCTCTTTCAGCTGTGTTTCCTTTATTCGCGCGATATTCTGTATGGGAGTTTATTATCTACGATGTGCTTTCAGTTGGGTAAGACAGCGGTTTAAAAAAATATTATTCAATTGCTGGTAGAATAGCCAGTGCTCTACAAATGAACGTATATATATGCCTGCAGTAGGTGAATTTTAAAAATAGATATTGTAATTGTTGACACCACCATCGGCTATACATACCTCAGGAGATAATAGACTATTTAGACTCTATCTACGGAGCACATCCCACAGACTTTTAAGCTACATATCGGGTACATAGCTGGTATATAAAGTATTGCTATGGAGATTCTACCGAATAAATTTGGAGATTGATATTACTTACATTGGTTCAGAAAATCGAGTTTAAAGATGTTACATCTTTGTGATTTTTTCGGGGGTTGACTCACTAGTTTATATACTGTTTCGGTTGAACTATATCTAGGCAAAGGAAGGCCCTTTTATTTTGGAGTATTAATATGTTCATCAGTCTATTTGGGTCTACTAGATCGAACAGTTTTATACATTGACGATCGTCCTTCTACATCAAAATTCTGCGTAGATGTACGCCCCTGCCATTGATCGCTGGGTAATATGCCTACTCCATTTGACAGCGTGATTCTATTAACTAGATCAGAATATAGAGATACAAAATAGATAGTAGATATTAAACAATATGAAAGGCAGGATATACAGTACAGTCATCATACAGAGTCAACAACGGATCTGTGATATAACTATCTCCGGTGCATAAAAAGTAACTTGGGTAAACCGTAACATGGGAAGTTCTTTCCAGAATCTCCCCGGTGATAATAAAGAGAAACCCAAAAATCAAGGGAAAATAAGCTACATTACGTCAGGAAAATGTACCTTGCTTCTGAAGTACTGAATATTAAAGATATTTCTCAGATTAAGATACAGCATTGAAAAGTGATTAGGAAGCATTGTTTAGAAGATGATTCGGTCGCTTAAGGCCTCTTCTAAAGGCATGCTGCCATCCCATAAGGATTCAAGACTTCTCGCATATAGTGGCTCATGGGGGATCTCCGAAACACTCTGTTTCAGTTGTTCCAAACCCTTGCTGGCTGTTGTCTCAGCATCCCGAAACCTTTGCTTTTTAGCGGCTTCGGCCGCCTCTCTGAGATGCCAGTGTGCGGCATGAGCATTCGCCAGCGCACTTTCCCATTGACTAGTAGATTCCCGTTTTTTGGTATGCGATCGTTTTAATGAGCGATGCCCGAATGATCGAAGGCTATTAATGTAACCCATGATGAACCAATCGAATAGGTATTCACAAGTTCTTTTGGTAGAAATAAGGAGATCAGCATGGTCACCTAGCTCATTGGTTATAATACCTGCAATACGACGTGATGAGTATATCTCTTTGGCTGACGAGTCAAAGACAAAGAACTCAAAGTCATTGCCATTGCATAATATAGCAAGGATGGGCACCCAGTGCCCTTGCTCCATGTTGGCATAGTCTCCCGCCGCACACTCAGCTAGAATCTGGCCCTTGACGTTGAGGCCTTGCCTTCCCATTGACATGCTTTTTTTCACCTCGATAAAAACGATGCTCACAGAGCCCAGTGTAATGAAATGGTGCTCTACACGGCCTTTTCGCGTAAATTCACTCTCCAGCAGTGTCTCTGGCTTATTGACAACAATACCGTTGAATACACAAACAATGCGGGTGAAAAGCGAGGCGATGAAGCGGGATCTGGTTTCTTCGTTCTCGTGGCAATCAAGGGGACCGTACTGTATGAGAGTATCTTCAACATCACATACAATATTACGAAACATATCGGTGGCAATCCGAGATCGAAAGACATCGAGTCGTAACATATCTTGACCTGCCTCATTAGGATCTAACCACACATATGGCGCAATTTGACGGTATGTCACATTGGAAAAGGAGGCTTCCAATTTCTTAGCTGAGATCTGCGAGAAAGTGGACAACGGAATATCATAGGTTGTTAACAACTCAAGAAATACCTCCTCATCTGTAAGGTCTTTGTCTGCTCTGACCTTAGCAAAGGCCTCGAAGACGTCAGACCCCGGCGGAATTTTGAAAGGTGGGCCACGGTCACGAGTCTTAATTTCGCCTGGGCATGCCGGGCTAGGTAGCAATCTCTCTGTCGCTCGAGAGCCTCGAGTTTGAATCTTCCTTGGCGATTGGGTCTCGTCACTTGGCGCGCCTCTCTTTCGGGATGTCATTTTCAGATATGCACTCCCGAGTCCCGGCAAAGAAAGCGTGTATCGTGCGGTGTTTTCGGACAATCGTCGATCTGGATTTGTCAACCAAAAGGTCTCGACAAATGTCGGAGATGAGATTCTCCTAAGACCGGAAAGATGATGCTGTATATGGCTTTATTATTGGATGAGAAGATGTCGTAAGAACAACAACGTGCAAGTGGCGGTAAAGTGTGCGGTGGAATATTGCCACTCCACTGAGGAGTATATGTTTCTCAATTGGCTTTCTGCGCTCAACCACCCAGCGGTATATTAAAGGGTCAACTGCAGATATCCTTAAAATAGAAACGAGTCAGTAGATAGTCTTGCTGTTACTAGTAGTATTGTAACCAAGGTTTAATATATATATTTCAATACCAGCTTATGTTGACCTCACGGTGTGAACAGTAGTATAACACAGCTCAACGGTCCATTGATTTGCCAATTCTTGGGCTGGACTGCGGATACCAACAAGCACCGTACTGATTCCGGTGTATAGCACAAATCAGTGACGGGAAAAACCTACTGATATTCTCTAATAGAGGTAGTAAACAGAGTCAAATGAATGAGAAAAGAGAGTGGAAAGAGACTTAAAATGAGCTTATAATTCTTTCCCTTTAGAGAACAATTTGAAGTATTAGTAGACAAGCCAGATAAGACATACCAGGTAAAATTGTATGTAGAGAAGATGATTGAATGTGGCTTGTTGTCTGTGGGACTGTTTCCTTTGAAAGAAACAGTGAGTGGTTACTGAAGATAATGTCAGTGTGAACAGATCAAAGAATAAGAGTGTTCGGCATAAGATAGTGTCTGACACTATTAAGCTAGGTTGAAGGGCTAAGGACGAGTAGAGAAAGGGAGAAGAGGTTGAAGCTTGAAACTTGAAAGTATATACGAAACAGGAGATAAGAGTAGAATTGAGATAGAAACAGAAGATAATACATCTATCATATGAAGAATGATAAGGTAGAAGATAAATAGTGGCACAGGAGGGTCAGAATATCTATTAATTTTATGTCTATCGAAATTATTTTTTATTATAATTTATTTAATAGTTATTAAAAGCTTTTACTAAATCAAATAGTTTAGTATTCTTAGCTAGGATACTAAAATAATTAATCATGATAATAATATTAAAATATACTAAAAATCACATTGTCCTTATCCCTCATACGCGTTAGCTGTTAGCGGATTTTAAATGATCATATGGACGTCACTATCTCACCAGTAGGATCATTGAGAAGCTCTGTCAACTGTTGAAGAATGTCCCGGCATCGTTCTGTGACGGGGTCACCAGCGACGAGCTGAGACAATACTGCAATCGCACGGTCAGGGTAAATCCCTGCCTTTGTTGCCACCTGTTCCATGGCCAGACCCAACACATAGTTTGATTTGCAAAGCCACAGCACTCCTATGATAGTCAATGCCGCGTTGAAAACTATACTTGGATTAGCTTGAAAAAGCAATGGGGACTCGACGGGTTTGACAGTGCGCACACGTACCATAGTGCAGCGAGAACCACCAGGCTTCTAGAAGTTTAGTTCGCCAATCAGTGGCATGTACCAATTCGTATATCATGTCAATAGTGGCGATTGCTGACTCAGTACATATCTCCAAGCTGTGCAGTCCAACTAAGGGAAGCGCTTCCGAACCGTGTTTGTCGACTGTCTGACGGTCTGTTTGAATCATACTTGCCAATGTGGGACGATGTAGAAGCGTACGGATGCTGTAGTATCGTAGCGAAATCATAACAGAGAACTTTCTTGAGAAGAATTCCGCATTTGTTATCGGCTCCTGCTGCTCATCACGTAATCCTGTTGCCGCGAGAATGGTCAAACCGTGGGGAAGTAATATCTGCCAAACACAAAGGTTATCCTCCATTGATGAAATATGTGAAATTATCTCGTTTATACTCAAGGACGTGCCAGAGTCCAGGTTGTGGTCGAAAAGTATGTCAATAATGTTTGATAGTTGTCTGTATAAGGCACTAGATGCTTCCGTTAATATGACGGGTATAGGCAGCTACATCGGCGAACTTACATTGTACAATTGAGGCAAGAAACGCTCAGATCGGCCGTTGTGTTGTCCATGATGGCGGATGTATCGATGCATTCATGGTTTGCAGGCAGTTCGAGCTTTACGTAGCAGTCTGGTATTGCGGCCGGTCGTCCGAGTGTCATACTCAATAACCTGAGTTGGGTGGATGCGTTAGCCTGCTAGAATTGACATCGAAGAAAATAGATATCAGTCGGGAGTATATACCTGTCGATCATGACACATCCATACCAGGTACGCTTACGCGCCTCCTTTGCCAGCGCGGGCATATCTCTCAAGGCATTTTGGGAGTGCAGGCCAAGTTTAAAAGCTGCCTTAACAGCCAAGGTATGCACCGTCCATGCCTGTCCAGGCTTATGTCTCCCATGGAGATACTGGCCTAGGAGGAGAAGGAACTGGACTGTGGTGGTCTATCAGCCTGTAACGTGCGATTTTGGGAAGGGGTGATAACTCACCATCTTCGATGTTCTCACCGTTAAACATTTGCTCGCCATATAGTTCCAGTGCCCGTTGATAACAAGTGTCGGATTGGGCAACATATGTTGCATTGAACTGCTGGTTGGGCATAACAGATAGTTTAACCATGGCGAAGATCAGGTTCAGCAGTGCCAGCCATTTCCGGCTCACACTTAAGCAACCATTCTTGAGTAAATGACTGTAGGTCTCCAAAAATGTGACCGGGTATATAAATGGAAATAAAATTCCAATTTCGAAGAAAAACTTCTGCACAAGCTCCGTCATTTCGTTGGTTGACGGGAGTGCAAAAATATTTACTTCTGAGGATTGTACCCTTTCGGAGGCTGGGGTCGGATATTGAGCTTGGGATAAGTCCAGGTAAGACTCGACAGCAGTGGGAGTTATAATAGGCACGTCCTTTCCCAGTGTAATGGCACGACATAAACAACGCAGAAAGTGGTCGTTGGATGAAGGGCCTTTTGCATACCCGTTAATTGACCGGCTTTTGCAGGGAAGGAAACAGCTATACCAAGGAATCCAGGTTCTTTTTCATCAATAAGGGAGTGTAACCCTATACGTCGGACGGGGTTGTTTGTGGTGTTCATAGCGCGCTTGGCTTCAATTTCGGACATCTGCGAAGAAGTTGACACTGACCCTAGATCATCCTTCATGGCAGATAGGGTTTCTTCTATGCTCTTCACACGATCTTCCAGCGCTTGGAAGTACCTATGACATGATAAGCCCCACAAACCATGGCCCCACGGTTGGACTGATGCTAGTGTTACGAACTCTTTCTGAATGATAACATTCTGTGTATGGTTTGGGGTGGTGTATACACACTCAAACCCTAAGCGACTGCACGCAGAGCAGCTGGGGCGGGTTCCATCGCACTGAGAAGTGCGACAAGTGTCAGTTTACATTTCGCAGTTGAGGGATAGGGGTATATATTTACCCGCGACTTTCGCAAACGACAAATATCACAGGCCAGGGCTACCCGAGATCGCCTGTTAGGCCGATTACTCTGAGTCGCCTGGTTGCCACCAGATGTTCTCATATTGACCATGATCATGAACAAGGCTTGGTTCTCGCTCTGTGGACTCTTCTTTACCAAGCATATTTATATGGAGCCAGCCGATATAAACTAGTGAGCCAGTGTATACAGAGTTCCTGGTGGAAGCACGGGCCCTGTGCCTAAAATAGGACGGAGAAAGATAACGACAACTCAGCCACTGCTGCCTATTCCACTTTCGGGCGGAGAGGCGGATCATTGACGCTTCATCGAGATCCATCCAACTGCATCCACGCTGCCGAAACTAAATAAAGCATGCCAAGACATCCGTGTGGAGAGCTAACATTTTAAGGTACGGGTTGAACCCACCCCCTTAGGTATAGCCTCAGGTACAGAGGTTCGAGCGTTCTTAATATAGATCAACCGTGTGGGAGGTCTACCATATGCAATGGGATGATTGAAAATGGCAATAACTATGGCGAACACTCCTCACATCAGTCCTCGAAAAATAGTTTCAGAATCAAGTCTTGGTGATATTCTGGAACATCACCAGGACTACACGGGTCATTGAAAATGCAAGGCTCCGATGTTAGTTGATGTATCGTTTGTATCTCTTGATCACATGTGAATTCATCGCGCCATACTCTCTATACATAATCATAATAGCTAAAAACTGAAACATATAACATGAATCGACTAACGCGCCGACTCTATCAGCATAACCTGGTCATTCACCTTCGGGTTTATTCCCTTGTACAATCCGGCACTCAAGAAACATAGTAAAAACAGCGCTAATATCATTGCATCGCTCGTGAGGATCACTATCATTACAGAAGGTTCTTCAAGGGCTTCTGGAACTCGGGTACCACTGATGGGCCATCAGCATGTAGTCGGCTCATTTGCGGGTCGTACAGCGGCTCTGCTGTGACCGTAGCTGGGATACGCCGCCCAAAGTACTCGATCTCAACTGTCTGGCCCTCTGCTGCGCTGGCGGGCAACCAAGCGTACGCAACCGGCTTTCGAACCGTGAAGCCGAATGCAGCGCTGGTGACATAGCCAACAGCTTTACCATTCAGGAATACTGGCTCTTTACCAAGCACCATGGAACGGCCATCATTGACGGTGAGGCAACGCAGACGTCTTGTAGGTTCCTGTTTTGAGAGACGCTGGATAGCAGCTTTACCCACATAGTTTTCCTTCTTGTCCGTCTTGATGGCGGAAGCAACGCCTGCTTCATACGGGTTGTGTTCGGTGGTCATATCGCTGCCCCAGGTTCGGTAGCCCTTCTCCAGTCGCAAAGCGTTAAAGGCAGCACGGCCGGCCGCGATGAGCCCATGGGACTTGCCTGCCTGCCAAATTGCATCCCACAGCCGCTGGCCGTATTGGGAGCTGGTCTGAATCTCCCAGCCTAGTTCCCCGACGTATGACTTCCGGAACGCCGTGACTGGGATGCCGGCGATAGTTGCGCTCTTCACACCGAAGTAAGGGAGCCCCGTATTGGAAAAGTCATCCGTGGTGACGGTTCTGATGACATCCCGAGCGCGGGGACCCCACAATCCAATACAACAGGTACTTCCAGTAATTTCACGCACCTCTACCCATCGGCTGGGAGTGTGCTGTCCTTGGCGGCGGCCCTCTCTAACTAGATAATCAAGGTCGATAGCTGTGTTTGCCCCAATCTGGAAGACATTATCACCGAGCCTCGACACGAAAATGTCGCTCCGGATGCCTCCGTGATCATTCAGGAGCAGAGTGTAGGTGATGGTCCCAGGCTTGGCGGTGATATCGCCTGTAGTTAACCGTTGGAGCAGATCGATCGACCCGGGGCCGGACACCTCAAATCGGTGAAACGAAGTCATATCGTACATGGCTACTGCATTGCGTGTCTTCCAGGCTTCTACTGCAGCAATGGGCGAGTAGAACTGTGCCGACCAGGCATCTCGTCCGACAGGTTGCCACTGAGCTGGGAGATACTTAAGCAGCTCTGCGTTCGATTCGTACCAGAATGGACGCTCCCATCCCCCAAGCTCGAGGAAGAACGCACCCAGCTCTCGCTCCCTGCTATAGAAGGGACTAACACGAAGATTCCGGGGCGACTCCTTCGGTTGCATGGGGTGTAGTATATCGTAGATCTCGACGAAATTCTGCTGCGAGGTCTCGCTGACGTAGTCACGGCTGAGTTGGATTTCTTCAAAACGAGAGAGCTCGCACTCGGAGAGATCGACCTGGGACCGGCCCGTTGTGAGCACCTCTGCCACAGCCCGTGCGACACCAGCGGAATGTGTTACCCAGACCGCCTCGGCTACATAGAAGCCCTCGACATTCGGCGCTTGTCCAACGAGGGGACCACCATCCGGAGTGAAAGAGAAAATGCCATTGAAGCCGTCAGCAATTTCTGTGTCGCGTAGAGCGGGCAACAGTTCCTTTGTCTCCTTCCAGGCTGGGTCGAAGTCTTCGGTAGTGAACTCCAAGCGGGACGGCATATTCTTCTCATCGACATGCTTGGGGGTTAGTCCTAACGACGCGGCGACAACCGGCATGGGACGATGGCCGTAGTAGCCGATGCCGTACTGGCCGCCATGCTCGCGAAAATATAGATCATGATCTTGGTGGCGTAGGATAGGTCGTATAGCGTTTTTTCCATTTGGAAGCTCATTAATGGGTCGGCCAGCGAGAGCCGGCACAGCAGTTGTTTTCGCATACTGATGCGCGAGGGGAAGTAAAGGAATCGGTACACCGACCATGGCGCCAATTTCAACACCCCAGAAGCCAGCACAAGAAATAATGATATCGGCAGGAATGACACCGCTGGGTATCCTCACTCCTGTCACCCGGCGACCACTTCGTTCAACGCCAGTGACAGGCGTAGATTCGAGATAGCGGACACCAGCATTGCGGGTTCTTTCGATGAGCAATTGTGTCGCACGGGCAGCAAGTGCCAGACCGTCACTCGGGATGTGCAAACCCCCAAGTACCTTTTCTTTACTCAAGAGAGGATAAATCCTAAGGCATTCCTCGGCATCGATAAGGCGTGCCTCTATCCCCCACGACGAGGCATAGCCGTGCTTGCGCTTAAGGTCTTCAAGTCTCTCAGGTGTCGTCGCCACTTCCAGGCCACCTACCTGATTAAAGCAATCGAGGGATAGTAGCTTTTCAACGGTGTAGCGGGCCAAATTGGTCATGGTCTTCGAGGGTGTAGTCTGGAACACAAGGCCGGGGGCGTGTGATGTCGAGCCGCCCGGCATATGCAACGGGCCTTGCTCAACAACGGTGATGTCCTTCCATCCGCGCGAGACCAGCTCGTCAGCGATGTTGGTGCCCACAATACCAGCTCCAATAATAACAACTCTTTGTGTCGGCGCCATTGTGTAAAAATGCTTGATTCGCTATTCCCAGCTGTCGAGACTAGGCCATTATTTATTCGTCGTCCATAACCATCGACGGAGGACGGAGAACACGGCTGTGACGCCGCTTCCCCGCCGCTCTTTCGAAGGTATGTGCAAGATAAGGTATAACCTCCATGAAGATAGAAGTGAAGCCGCCGGGCCGTATGCCGACGGATATCAAGATGATGTACGGAGTAGGATGGGTGAGTATACCGGTCTTGGTCATGGGGTCCTTTTTTCTCGTTTTGGTCTAGCGTTATCTTAGTCACCGTCCAGATTCTGGATAGGATTACCATTTTCGGAACGAGCCGATCACGTGAGTTCCGCCTTTCGGTCCAAGGTGTCTGTGTGTGTCCGGATGCGGTTTAGGCGCTGATGGACTGGATAACCCCATGGGGCGTTGAGCAATTACATCCCTGATTCTATCTTTATCAGCATTTTAGCCCAATGCTCAAAAGTCAAATGACAACGGTAAGATCTGGCCAGACCCGGCCATAGATAGTGAATGATCTCCAGAAACTTAATTCTGTGGCCCCGGACTACCGATGTTCACATCCTCCGTGGTATAACGACCTATCTCTATCCGATATCAATGATTTACTTGATGGTATAAACGTAATGCATCTCTTATAGGACTAATGAACTTCATAACATTCAAGTTGTTACGTTCTTCTTGTTTTTCCAATCCTCAAGGGGGTGTTGTACAGTCTAGCTATCCTGTCATAAAGGTTGCCTATGTTGGAAGAGATTCCTGTACCGTTGGTCCGCCCGTTATCAATTTGAGCGGTCTGTTAATTGGCTGTCAACATGATTCCATCTACCTGCCGACTTTGCAATTTATCGTGAGAAAGTTTGTATGAAAGCCCCACCTCTTTAGAAGGTTAAGTTCTAAGGAGGTCACTTCTCGAACATTGTCACCGTCAACGGGCAGCAAAGCTCTTACCAATATTTACTCCATGCCCAACGCCGCGCTAAACAAGATCACTGGTAGAACTTTGCTGTTCTCCAGGGCGTCAAGATGAACAATCGCAAGCTACCCGTCACCAAAGTCGACCAAGGTTACGGATAAGTGAGAGGAAAATTAACGCCGCAAATTCAAGGTAGAGATATTTTACTTTCGTGACCCATAATTTAAGGCATCATCGGTTGTACGGTAGACGTGAAGTTTTCTCATTTTACATTTTACATTTTACATGAGTGGGAGTCACAGGACTGTGGATGTCCACCGTCTCTTCGACTACTCGGTGGTTTGTGTCGATTGAGACCAACTAATCAATTGTTTTGGCCAGCCCCTGACAGAATCTTGTTCATTAGTACCTACAAAAACAGAAGTTCACTCATTCTGGATTGCCTAGTCCATTGCCGAATAAAATAGAGAACTCGCATTATAATATACGCACAGCGCCCTCAACTTGTCTCTGCACATATATTTCCAATTTTACGCCTTAGCACCCATATCCTGGTTGAAACATTCATACCATCCTACCATGCCCCGAAGCCATCTTCCACAAATACCAGTCACCTTTACCACTTAACATCTTTAACCTTAAGCGGAAGGTGAAGCATCCGATGCCCGGCTTCGGTTGGCTTCGGAAGTTGTCCCGCCCGGATATTTATTTGGAGTGACTGGTGGAGCAATCTTGGCTCTGCCAACTTTGCGTCTCGCTCTTGCCGCAGGGACACAAACTCATCCTGAGTGATGCCATCTCTCAAGTGTTTGTTCTGGCTCTTGTGGTCCTGCACGCTCATCCAAGGTATCGGGGCTGTACGACCCTCGGGTGGATAATCATGGCCTGTCCAGATTTTTACATGGTTCGGCAGGCTAAGAAGTTTCCGTCCGGAGTTGAAGAGGCTGTGTGCACTTCCGCCAGGGAAATCACAACGTGCAGTACCGATATCCGCATGGAACAAAGAATCCCCGCAGAATACGTTATCTGAAAGGTGTCAGCATATCTGGAACTCAAAAAGAATGCTAGTGAGACCCTTACCTCCAATTTTGTAACCTAAATGGTCTGGAGTATGCCCGGGAAGGTGCATGGCTGTGGCTACCAAATTTCCAATCTTGAACTTCTCATCGTCGTCAAACAATGTGTCAAAAACAACATTGTATTCATCTGGTGGAACTGCATATCTCTGACCGAATAATTTCTGCACCTGCCCGATACGCTTGCCAATGCCGATCGACGGCTTGTGGCCATGCTCCTGCGTAAGGCGATTTTGGAGATAAGACGCTGCCGTGAGATGGTCTGCATGGGCATGAGTCTCCAAGATTCTGTCTACCTTGTAACCCTTTTCCTTGACCAATGAGAGCAGTGAGTCGGCGGCAGAAGTGGTAACGGCTTGGGTGGCTGGATCATAATCCAGGACTGGGTCGATGATGACAGCAGCCAAATTGGATGGGTCAGCAACCACATATTGCCATGTACCTGTCTTCGTCTCAAACAGGGCGTGGATGGTAGGCTCCCCGACCGCCGTGGCTTCTGTGCTGTACGAAGCTGGGCTTTTGGTCGCAGCTTGTGGGATAACGGAACGTATAGACCGTGTATTTTTAGATGACAAGGTACGTCTATCATGCAACTTGTTTAACAGTGAAGCTCTTTGCAAACGAACACTAATGGGTGAATAGTGGGTTTTAGTGGTATAGGTGGCCCTCTTATCGGCATGTTGGCAAAGAGAACGTAGCGGCCTCACAAGAGTTGTGGCTCGGATCGAGTTTGCCATTGGCCCAAGTGAGCCCAAAGCAGCCTGGGAAGTTTTAAAAGAGCTCATACTGATGCTATTTTATGATGGAGATTTAGAAAGCATGGTATATGTACAGAGAAGGGATGTTACGATACTTAAGGTTGTCCGAGTTAGGGTTCCCGGGGTCCACCCAATCCGGGAGGTGGCAAGCGCTGCGACCGTCCGATTCTTCGCCGACCGGTCCACGTGCTGTCAGGTACATAAAGAGCAGTCGGCGATCAAACTTGTCCCGCCTTTCTTTGATAATCTTATCCATCGCTCCCTGGTGTTACTCCAATTCACCACCGACGGCCATTCTTTATAAATTGATCTAGCCGTTACTCTTCTCCATTTGTCTACAACCTAATTATCACTTTTCATCGCGCACAATTCATTTTCTAGACATGTTTCGCACTCGAGTAACGTCGGCAGCTTGCGCTGCTGCCCAAAAAGTTCCAGCTGCACGGAACTTCGCGACAGCTTCACCAGTGAGCTCTGCTTCTCAGAACCACAAGGTCGTGGTAGTTGGTGGTGGTGCTGCTGGTCTGTCCATCAGCCATCAGCTTCTCCAATCTGGCAAATTTACTCAGGATGATATTGCTGTTGTCGACCCGGCAGCGTGGCATCATTATCAGCCCGGATGGACTCTGGTTGGCGGTGGTCTTAAAACCAAGGAGGAGCTGCGCAGACCCATGAACAGTCTGATTGATCCTAAGCTCAAATTCTACAACGACGGCGTGTCCGCGTTTTCCCCTGAAGAGAACCTTGTCACTCTCAGCAATGGCGACAAGGTCAACTATGAACAGCTGGTTGTGGTGCCCGGCATTAACATTAACTATGGCAGTATCGAGGGTCTGCCCGAGGCTCTGGAGTCCCCAGACTCTCTCGTCTCCACTATCTATGGCTATGATACATGTGATAAAGTCTTCCGCACCGTTCAAAAACTCCAGAAAGGTGTTGCTCTTTTCACACAACCTGCCGGTGTGGTGAAATGTGCAGGCGCGCCGCAAAAGGTCATGTGGCTCGCATTGGACCATTGGAAGCGAGCCGGCCTGTACGACCCCAGCAACCCTTCTACTTCCGCTATCAACATCAGCTTTGCTACTGCTCTCCCAGCCATGTTTGGTGTGCCTAAGTACAGTGCTACACTCGAGGCTCTGCGGAAGGAAAGGGGCGTCGAGGGACTCTTCCAGCATGACCTCGTCGCTATTGAAGGCAACACAGCTACTTTTGCTCGTCCTGATGGACAGGAGAAGGTCAAGAAGCAGTTCGATCTGTTGCACGTTGTACCCAAGATGGGGCCCCATGCGTTTGTCAAGAACAGCCCTCTGGCGAACGAGGCTGGCTTTGTTGATGTCGATGACGGCACCATGCGTCACAAGAAATTCTCTAACGTCTGGGCTGCGGGTGATGGCTCCAGTCTTCCCACAGCCAAGACGGCGGCGGCAATTACTTCCCAAGCACCCATCCTTGTTCGTGGTTTGCTTTCCACGATGGAGGGCAAGGAGCCTGAGGAAGCCTATGACGGTTATACGTCATGTCCTCTGTTGACTGAGTACGGCAAGGTCCTTTTGGCTGAATTCAAGTACGGCGGACAGCCCAAGGAAACTTTCGGGAAGTTCGGTCTCGACCAAGCCACTCCTCGCCGTGCATTCTATCATCTGAAGAAAGACTTCTTCCCTTGGGTGTACTACCAAGCCATGGTCAAGGGCAAATGGGGCGGTCCCAAGGGTTGGCTTAAATAGAAGAGCCTGGAGCTCGTGTGTACTATACTTCTGTTCTTAAGATATCCAAATAATGGAAGCTTCAAAATTAGCGAAAAGTACGATTTACAACCCATATACATTCTATTCTACGAAATGGTACAGATCACTCCTGTAGTCTTCGACAATGAACCCCCTTTTTTTGTTTTACTTTTCCCCTTCACCTTTGATGTTTGACTTTTCTGTCCACTTCAACTTTTCAAATCACGTCATTTCGTAGCCGAGATCGGACCTGTCTCTCGGTGGGTCCACTACGGCCGAGAACCCTGGACGGCTTCCCGAACCACATTAAAGCAACTTCCATTTTCTCCCCCCGAGCCCTCACATTCCCCGCGCACTTTTGCGGGGAACGGAGATTGATAGCTTAAAAGACCTACATACTGTTTCTTTCTTCAAGATATCTTCTTTTGTATTTCCCGGCATTTATTCTGTGATTTAAACTGGCAGTTATTCAACCATGACTGCCCCTCGGGCGACAGATGATCTTATCGTCCGAGAGAAAAGCTCCAATTCAATCGGCCGAAAGGGAGCATTCACATTGACATCTTATTATGTCATTGTCACGTTCACATGGATGCTCACGAACAACGCCATAATCAATCGCCGATTGAATCAAGGCCTAGGTTATGCCATAATGGCTCGGGATATATAGGGGATGTGAAGTGGATGTGGTCTAGAACGCGGTGGTGTTCAAACTGCCCGAGCTGTGACACAGAATGTAGCGCCTGTTCAGTTAATTAAGCTCCAGCTCTTTAGGTTCCAAGTAAATTAATAAGGTATGGTCCATGCTAGTCAGCAGGTTAATAAGCCCTGCCAGACTGTGGGGTAGACTCGGAGGGGGACTAAGGCGGTAGAGCTGATCAAGATTGTACTACCATGAGACTTAATAAGGGAATTCAGACAACTATATGGGGCATACTGAGGTGACTCTATTTACAATTACTTAGATTCGCATTGAAAAATATCATCAAAGCCTAAGTATAGGCTATCTTTCTATCTATATACTGTTGGGTATGGGGGCCACACACGCCCTTGTGCGTCTGTTTAAATGTAATATACAAGGGGTTGTTGGCCGACTGCCTGCTACGTAAATCATATCATGGTCACCAGTCGAACTATGTTACCAATCAAGTGGATTTTGAGAAGATGCGGTCTGCCCGTGGCACCAGCTCCGAAGGGGTCAGGACTTTCTGACACAGTTGGGGCTCTACGGTTTTCGTGAAATAATAGAAGTTATAAGAAGATATTATATAATAAAGACTTTGATAAAGTCAAATTTTACCATTATTTGTATTATCTTTCCAAAATCCTAGTATAGAAAAAGAAATACAAAGACATAAGATATAGCTGTAGAGATATAGAAAGTAGTAATATATAACTAACCTTATAGAGCTGCGCAAATTCTCACACAACCAATATCTAGCTGGATAGCAGTTCAGCTATTTATAGAAAAAGTAAGCCCGCACATAATAAATTGTTGTCTTTTTTGCTATATAGCTAGAGCAAGTGCCAGATTAAATCCAGGTCCATGAGGAAGTGGGATCCAAGCTGAATGAGAACTCTCCTCAAAGCAGCGCAGCATTATCATCTCTCCCTTCGACATTCCGTGACTGCTCCAGTGAGACCAAAAGACGGCTAAGAACTGTGCGGGAGACAATATTTGGACTCCAGAGTGAGAGAATCAGTGCTGACGATGGTTTTACGACATTGGTGGGGACTCGCTGCGAATCGTCAGCCTCATGAGATTCGTCCAGAAGAATTTTGGTACACATTTAGGGTTGTTGGTGACCAACCGCCGCAATACTACCATTGCCAAGATGTCCGAGTTCATTGATGCAGAGTCAGAGGCGTGGCCAAAATTGGACTTGGAGGAAGAGATAGGAGCCGCAATGGTCTTCGACCTGAGTAACGGCAACCTCTCAGTCATGGTTTATGCCCGCCACGCTTGGGCATACACCTGCTACTGTATTCCTCACGGGCGGAACCGGGTTCCTCGGGACCCAGATTGCCTTCTCACAACGACCGCGGTCAAACGTGTCGTTGCTCTTGTTCGTGCCACTTCTGCTGCTCAAGGATTAGAGAGGTTAAAACAAACTGCGACCGCTGTGGGGTGGTGAGAGACTCGACACACATCGAGATCTGGAACAGAGCAGGCTAAGTGACTCGCAATGGAGTCAGTTGTCCGGCACCACGACCATAGACAATATTGACGCAACTATTCACAACGGTGCTATGGTGAATTGGAACGTGGACTATGATAAGCTGCGGCCACTAAATGTGCGATCTACTATTGAGCCCCTCAAAGTGACCGTCCTGTCTCCTCATTCTCCCCCGGTTTGTGTTCGTGTCCGTCGGCGACGTCGCTGACTTACATGCCAATGTGGACAACCATGTTGTGATGGATCAGATCAGCCAAAGTAATGGGTACTGCCAGAGTAAATCTTTGCTGAGTCTATTGTTCGACGCTTTGCCCCTCGATTGCTGGTGTCTAAAACCGGTTTTCGGTCATCAAACCGGACATGATCATCGGAACTGCCGACCACGGGGTTGCCAACCTCGACGATTCCTCTGGAGAGTTGTCGCTACCGCTTCACGGTTATCAGTGTACCTACCAGTGACCGATGAGAGCTGGGTGCCCATCACAGACGCGGGTTATATGACCTCAGACTGTGACTGAGGTCCTTTCCAATGACATCTCGTCATTTGTCTATGGGGCGAGCAAATTTGGCCTCAACGCGTCGGACCTTTGGGACCAGGTCAACTCCGAGTTGAAGTATCCATGCGAACCAGTCCCATGCGGTGTTTGGGTCAAACGAGCCTTGGATGACACCAATGGAGTGGGTGAACGCCATGCGCTATGGCCGGTGTAGCAATTCCTTCGAGGCAGAAGATCGGGTGGCATTTCTATCCCATCGCCACTCATCCCCCCAGATCGCGAAGAGCTATGCAAGGCTGTCAAGGCTAATGTGCGTCATCTGGGGCGGGTGGGCTATCTTGAATGCCGACACAGTCTAGTCTCGATGAACAGCGGAGAATTTTTATCGGTCAACTGCTATCCCAATATTTAATCTCTAGACACTAACCCTCAACTGAATCATTTCAATTTGGCAAAACCACTGACAGAAGAACTGGCAGTTTGGCAAGTTGGATCAAGCTGACAAAATCCTGATTCGTTGACTCCTTGTTGTCTTAAAATTTAACATGAGAAATTGTACCTTGTCAATTACTAATATGCTCATATTACCTGCAATAGTCATCATTTAAAGCCCTCTGTGAAGGTATGGAATGTTGGTTGACGTGTTTTGAATTTCCAAGGTGAATGTTGCTGGCCTATAGACTAATTTCCAATATATGACATAGTAACAATGAGCATAACTAGTCAAATTGACCCTGGAATTATATTAATGATTGAAAGATGATGTTTTAAGGATTTAGGTATTTTGATTTGGTATAATCCTTACTCTGGGTGACAATGCATGACAACTCTGGCACTTCACTGTGATCTCAACATGACTGTAAGATTGCAAATTACATCTCCTGGAATTTACTCTGACCCACCTCACCACTCCTCATCCCCAGCAATCTGTTTCCTCACTTTGTTCTTACTTTTCTCTCCCTCTTTTTTCTCACTTGTGGTTTATATTCATCCATCGACATGGAAACCGCCTCGGCTTCAATATCACGAGTCCTCCCGTACCTGCATAAAATCAATGGAACTACACACCAGTCAGACTGTCGGGAGGCCATCTCGCTAAGGTTTTTCCACCAGTGGACGACATTTAATCAGGATGTTGCAGATGCGTGTGCATCGTTGGACCTCACCGGCCTAGTCCCCATTGTAGACGAGTCGACTGAAGAGTTTATTGTTGGTAGTGAGCTCGGACTCACTGGGAGGTTCGCAAAGCAAGTATGCGATGTTTCGTCCAAGGCCCTCTCCACCACGGTATTGGCAGCATACAAGTTTGGTGATTACAATGCCATTGAGGCCACTGATCATAATAATGTCCCAGACATTGTGATGTTAACTATCCCATCTGCGGATGCAAGGGCCGTGGGGGAGATGAAAACTTACTGGACAGTAAGATTGGACAGATGCTCCATTAACGACGGTTATATGTCTCTCTTGCCTCTTCAATCACATTTGGGTACAGTACCATTTTATTTAGCCATTCCCTCTTCTTCTAGAGCTGACTCACTCGACTAAACTATATCAAACAGCGCAACTCGTAAGGTATATGCGAGGAAATTTCTTGCGATATGGGTTTCTGTCCACATATAACGCGACGATATTTGTGCGTCGAACCGACCCATATCGGTTCGAGGTGACTATGCCCATCAAGTCCCAAGGAACGAGCCCTACCATCCGGCAATGCTTTGTGGCGCTCGCTGTGTTTGCATCTCAAGACTGGAAGTATAATGAGCCAGATGGTTTTTCCTTGGCACAAGTGAGTCGTAATATGGCCCGACAATGGTGGCGAGGACTGGGCTAACTAGATGGTAAATATAGCTAAGAATACCAACCCAGCCTCATACGCAGGCTTCGTTGCGCCCATCCCCGTTGCGAAATCAGGTGGCTGCACCGGGTGACATTAGGGAGCCCATCGGAAATCAGTCAATACTATTTGCTGACGGTGATGGTAATGATACTCGCACAGCCATTACCGTGGTGAACTGCACCAGCGTGGTCCGTACTATGGGCGACAAAGCGATATTCGAAGTATTATGGGATGGGAGGCCGGCAATTGCTAAGTGTTGGGGGGAGGATCTCTATGAACGGTTTGTCACGAACGTCCATCTTACTGCTGTACTTGGTGTTAATCAAGCATTTTCCAGCTATCGAGACGAGTATCTTACCTATCAGAAGATACAGACTCTGAGGCCAGGTGGATACGAATTCTTTCCCCTGATGTACAGCCATGGAGCTATTGCTTGCTCATCAATCTTTCCTAAAGGATACATCGCCATAATGAGTAGGTTCGACGGAGTCCGCCTAGACATGGTCTGGGATCACCTGCGTGGCTCTACGAAAGAGCATGTAAGACTCGTTATTCACAAGGCGATAAAAGTTTTGAGGGAGATTGAGGTCATTCAAATCGACTGTGGGGCCCATAATGTGTTATACAATAGCAACACAGAATCAGCGGTATTATGCGACTTCGAGTTAATGCAGGCATGTGAAAGTGATACCAGAACCCCAGACCTCCCGGAAATGTACGCCATTTTTGGTGATATGCCACCAGTTGCTCGTGTTCGCCATGATGGAGGGTAGCAGTGATGCTTTCTTACTGCGATGGATTTTTCTTTCTTTGCTTTTCTTTCTTTGCTTTGTTTTTAAATTGTAAAAGCATTCGATTAATTAGCTACGCAATGGATGCAAAGAAATACCATCTCCTCTGGTTCACTCAAGCATGAATCATTGAAATTCTGCATTATCTTATGATACTAGTGCTTACTTGCGGCAATACGCACAGTAACCACCTATGCGGTTCTACAGTAGTGAAATATGTATAGTTCTTTCTTAGGAAAAATAAAGTACAATAGAATATTTTATCGTTCGAAGCATAATTTTCTATTTAGCATAGACTAGATAGAGCATTCCGATGTGCCAGGCCGGGTGGAGAAAGAGAGCAACACCATGCACTCTACAAGACAATCCAACCAGATAATTAGCGATTACGACTCAAGGTTCCCATGAATTCTCGTATGATTATTTACTTCTGTCCTTATGCATTATCGCTCCTTCTGCAGGGTGGTTTGAGGCCAAAATGCCAAGCTTCAAAGGTGCAAGTGGCTATCGGTTCCGACGTTCATCGTCGCTCCGCTGTGACATTAAATTCTGCTGCGGATCCGATGCCACTCCCTCGAACTATTTATCCCCTCTCGTCGCCCTTTCGAGTCACCCAGCTTCTCATATTTCTACACACCCAGCCATACTAAATCATATCTTCCTTTTTCTTTCAGGATATCGAAATGTCCAACACGCCTACTATCATAATCGTGCCGGGCTCGTGGCATTGCCCAAAACATTACAAATACCTCATCGACGGACTGGCAAAGTTCAACTACGAAGCTGTCGGTGTTACATTGCCGTCTGTTAATTCAAGTCCTTCCCATGCCAGTTGGGATCAAGATGCGCAAGCTGTCCGTGAGGTTATCATGAAGAGCCTTGATAGTGGCAATGATGTCATTGTGGTCGCTCACTCGTTTGGTGGCGTTGCCATGTCTGAGGCCGTGAAAGGGTTGGGCAAGAAAGCGCGTGAGGATCAAGGTTTAAATGGCGGCGTTGTGCGACTGATCTACATGTGTGCTATGGCGTTGCCTGAGGGTCAGACTCATGTCGGTCAGATCCAGCCCCAGACACCCGAGGAGGAGGAGCTGGAGCGGCAACGCCAGGAGTTACAGGCGAAATGCGGAGGCATGCGTTTTACAGAGGTATGGTGGATAATTTCTAGATCATTTCATTATAATGTACATCTTGCTTTGAGTGTACGTGCTGATCACTGGTATTTTCTTGGTAGGATGGAGCTATGCTTTTAGATAAGGATGTCATTCGAGATGTCTTCTATAATCGCTGCGATCCCAAAGATGTGGATGAGGCAGTGGATCTCCTAGGATCATTCCCAACGGGCCCTCTCACCGTACCTGTGACTTACACGGCCTACCGTGAGATCCCAAGTACGTACATCGTCTGCGAGAATGACAAGGCCCTGCCGGTATCGTATCAAGAGAGAATGATTGCACAGGGTGATGGTGTCTTCCACGTGGAAAGATGCCAAGAGGGACACTCGCCATTTTTGAGCAATCCGACATTTATCGTGGATTGTATTCGTCGGGCTGCTGGAGAGAAATCATAGTACATAATAGAACGTTTGACCTACGCTGGGGCATTTCACAAGAAGCGATGGTTATCTAGATTGCTGTGCAATATATCTGGGAACACACCTCCGTAGAACTCTCTTTCTAGAATTTCTGAGACATTTACAAGACAATGGAGAATCCATTGCAGATCTTTCCAACATATTGATGTATAGAAAGTGGCGATAGGGCATGTCACCTGACTGAATCGGTCAGATGCCCGGTTTGTTCCGAAGGAAATTAAATCTAAACTTTCTTCTATACAACATCCCGCTACTGCAATATCACCATCTGCACGCCCTCAGCAAAAGATAAGCAGACAAATATTACCAAGTCTATATCATTGGCTCAGATGACGCCTTCTACCGCATCATCGCGGCGCCAGTATTCAAGTTGTGACGCATGCCGACGATCAAAGCGACGTTGCTGCTTGCTACCTGGCAAAGATGGAGAGCTTCATTCAGTATGCACTAACTGCAAGCGCACAGGGTCACCTTGCACTTTTGATTTTGCCAAATCCCACTCACGCGTGACAACGCGAAGGAGCCGAAGGCGATATGCAACAAGGACTAATTTGTCTGGAGAATGCGATGGGTCAACTAGCACCTTAGAAAATGCCGTTGATGCATCCCAAGAAAGCGAATTACAAGTGCCCCCTGTAGCAGATCAGGATATTTTCACGTCTTGGCTTAACATCGACCTTGATCATTGTGTGGATGACAATCCCACACCTTTTTTATACAGCACGGATTCCCCTGACACACTTATGGATACCGCAAGGCCAGCACGACAGCATGATGAGAATATCACTTCACTTGTTACACATCGCTCGGACACGATACAACGCCCTTTTCCGCGTAATCCTCAGCTTAGTATTGGGGGCTCGCCTAGCAGTCCTGTCTATCTTCTTAATTCTAAACTGAACGCAGCAGTTCTTGATGGATGTCTGGCCCGTATCCATGATACTATCGTTACAGGGTGCGCGTCCAGATTCATAGGCTATGAATGCAATCTATACAAACCTGGATGCCACTATCAGCTAGATGATAGCGATTGTGAAAGCCTGCAGGACCAAAAGCCCCTGCAAGCAGACCCTGTCTCAAAAGAAACCCTAACCAAGACGCTCACTTCAACATCTCAACCAGATGTGTCTTTGATCACTTCCGGTCACTCATATCGACAACCAGGATCTATAACACAGGATACTAGTCACAGAATGACTATAATTGGAGCTGTTCGTTTCCTTGATCATTTCAGCGATCTTTATGGCAACAGACTGACTGTCTTTGCTCGGAGAAAGTCAGATGCCGTTCTGAAAGCGGTGCTCAGAACATTCTCACTTCAGTGGCTATCTCCTAACGATTCTTCCACGGAGGCTCAATTGACCACCAACTACAACACTACGGTTGGCAGAGACATGCCGCGCGATCCACCGATCGACGCTTTTTATGATAGTTGGTTTCAGGCGCGATCACTTATTCATAGTGCGCTTTCTGTTCAGTCCTTCAGAGTTTTATATGCCATCTTCATGTTCGATGGCATCTCTATCCCAGCGAAGGCGAGCGGTGAGACACTCTTGGCTCATGAATTTCTTGAAGTGGGGTTGCAGAAGCTGAATTGCTTGACTGAGCTAGTTGAGCAGTACTGCATGAACCTGGGACCACATTCTACATATGGCGCTATGATGGAGGCTAGCCTGAGCGTTGTTCGATGGTGTGCTCACGTTCGTGATATAGGGGCAGCACTCACAGCAGATCACCTATGCAAGCTTTCTGATGCTTCAAGTAACAACAAAGGTAATTGGTTAGTATCTTGAACGCCAAGGCTTTGCTAAGTATCTCTTAGATCGAGAGACTTCTTCCACACATGAGCCAATGTCATCTTATTCCTTTCATCAAAGCTTTAATCGAGACTTTGATGACAATGTTCCGGGTATATGCCGTACAGCAGTTGCGGAGGCCTTCCGTGTCTGGAAACAAATAGTTGCAATAAAAGGCTCCCTATCAAGCCCGACCAAAAATGACATTGAATCATGCCCACAATTGTCTACAGACATTACCTTAGCGATCACGGCAGTTGGTAAATTTCGGGAAGTGTTTGGCTCTTTTTTGGACTTCTGTATAGGAAACCTTGAATATCTTTCCATGCGCTCAAGATTGTCTGCTGGTGCGTCACGCATATCATCATAAGTCCCTACCATATGGTTGATTTAATCGCTATTCTAACCAGCATCAAACAGTGTCTATTTTGACGTTCTGGAACCTTGGTGTATTTGTTCTCACGGAGACTTTGAAACCTACTATGACGGCAAGAGACCCAGTTTGCAGTCACAGTGTCTTTTCGAAACTACAAGTATACAACGAGGAGGCGGCTTTATCAGTGACGCAGATAGTAGAGTACGTGCTCTCGCTGCCTTTTGAGGAGATCTTCAACCTCCAGAACGGCGTTAGTGCTGAGGCTTCGGTACTCTCGTACCATATCACCCCTACGCTGGTAGCGGCTACCTTCCAAAAAGCTATCGAGAACATACTCAATATGCAGTTATATTTGCCTTGTGGTGTGGGCACACTGGATGAAAGGTCGCTAAGCTACAATGCCGACTTCACCTGGAAACAACATATCGATACCATACTGAAAGGTCTTGTCTCGCTTGATGCTACGATCGGTGGATCACAGGCCTCGGCTGTAGCAATACGAAGTCTAATGCAAAGTCATGGGGATATTATATCAGAGTGTTGGTCTTCCGACTTTGAGACTTAACCACTATTTGAACTCAACAACGGACTATAACATATGACTCAATCAAAACAGTTGGAGCTCTCTGGTTTACCCTCCTAAAGGCTCACTTGGCCCAAGAATTATAATCACATCTTCTAGTTAATTGCGTTCAAACCAGCGGTCCTTTCGGTTGAAAGCAAAGGACAGGAGATGTTGCTTATCGGTTTCAGCCATCCTTCTCAGACCACGCTGACTAAGTTAACCACTATGTCAATGCTGTATCTGATAAATGAAGTCAGTTCTGCAAATCTTCAAGCTTCAAAATCAGGTAGCAGAAAACAACTGGACGAAGCTGCACTAGGTTGATGAAACACTCAAGGCAAGCCACTTTGCGTCAGATACTGCGAGAGCCTCGGCCGCCTTTTCGGCATGTTCCACCGCATCAGGACCGACTAAAAGTCTCAGAGGAGGCTCCTTTTCCTTCGACAACCTAAGAACAATGTTTGCAACCTTGCTTGGTATGGATGGTTCATTTCCTAAATTCTTCCGATGCAGGTCGGCCACATAGCCCACGGTACTCTCGTACGGTCTGCTCACCGGAGGAATTTGCATTGATGAGCCAGCCCAGTCAGTCCTCATGCCACCAGGCTCCAGTACGGTGACTTTGATGCCGAGCGGTGCCACTTCTCGCGCGAGCACCGTCGAGAAACCTCCGACTGCCCATTTTGCACTTTGGTATGCCGAGAGACCCGGCACACCGAGTCGTCCGCCAACCGAGGAAATTTGAAATATGTGGCCGGACTTTTGCTGGCGAAGGATAGGTAGGACCGCCTTCGAAACGTAGACAACTCCGAAGAGATTCGCATCTACTTGGGCTCGGAAGTCATCGATGTCAATATCCTCGACAGCGACAGAGTTGGCGTACCCCGCGTTATTGACAACGATGTCGATTCGGCCAAACCTTTCGTGTCCAGCCTTCACGACTTCGATCACATTGTGGTTGTTGCTGACGTCTAGGGCTAGGGTGAAGACCCTGTCGCTGCCATATTTTGCCGTCAGGTCTGCGAGCTGCTCTGGCTTTCGGGCAGTTGCAATAACAGAATCACCAGCAGTGAGCGCAGCTTCAGCTACAGCTAGGCCGAGGCCACGAGAGCATCCAGTGATAAACCAAACTCTCGTCATTGTATGTCAGATAATAAGAATGAGATGTTAGAATGCGTAACAATTAAGGTGGTGAGGCTCAAAAGAAATTCTGATGCTTCAGAATACCTGGCCAACAAGCAGCAGCACGAACATATTTATAGACTCTCATCTTGCCAGTGTGGCCATGGATGTCAGCAGGAGGAAGAGCGGGAGGCCCAGGCGGCCGCCGCAAAGTAATATAAATGCGGCCGCCAGAAGGCGGAGATAAGGAGCTTAATTCCACTTGCGGCCGCACACCACAGATCGGGTTTTTGTTACATGATGGAAGATGGCGATAAGTGAAACATTATTATGGTTCTTCAGTCTTGTTGTCATGCAGAAAAAATAAGCAGCAGTGTGACGAAAGCCTTCTCACCTGTTAATCATCTCTGACATTGGTTATTTCGCTTCCAGGGGTCTTCCGTAGGTACATTTCCCATTATCATAGTAGGGCGGCATTGTTCTTATTCAGATTATTCAGATTATTCAGATTATTCAGATTATTAAATTAGAGATCTGCGGAGATGTATACAGCTGGTCGAAGTGCACGTCCTGGCTTCATTCTGTTATGTGCCATTGTATGTCCAGCATCAGCCCTTGCCAATGACCGGTACTAACGGGTGCAGTGTGGTTTGGGATGGTACGTTTCTGGAAAGGCAATCGGTGAGGATGCGAAGGGGGCCATTTGGTCCTGTGCGAATAATGCTTAGCAGTTTTAAAATATTCATAGCTGCCATAGCCCCATTATCTTAGAAATCATACAGCATTCAGTAACACCATTCGCTATATTTGGAACATCTCCCTCGCAGCACTTTTTCCATCATCGGACGATCAAAACCACTCTACCTCCCTTGAACGTATACTCACTTGACGGCGAACAGTACAAACATACAAACAACACAGCTTCAACGGTCAATCACCAGCTGGGCCCCCCTTGACCCCCAATATTCGTTTGCTGCTGTCCGCTGCTCTGTTCCATCGCATCATTAGCATGCCATCCCCCCTGTGATGCCTCCGGTTGTCCTCCACTATCCCCCGTATTAAGCCAATCGGCATCAGGAGACGTCGGTCCTCCAGAACTCCCCACAACAGCCTCATTGCCAGTCTCCCACTCATTATTATTAGGTCCAGGCTGTGACTGTTCATCCTGCGGCCCCGTGTATTGTGTAATATCCTGCTGGGACGGGCCTGCACCCCACTCATCGTCTGCAGCTTGATTAGAGCACTCTTGCTGCGCCGGTTGGCCTGCACCTCCAGAGCACGCCACATTACCATCACCCCCGGTCTGCCCTGTTTGTTGTCGCTCATTCTGTTTCTTTCGTTGTTTCTTCGACATCCGGGACTGTTCTCTCGATGCCCCCGGCCCAGACCCCTGCCGATTATCCTGGCGCTCATTCGGTCTACTCCTCCCCCTCTGTCCCTTCTTGGACGTCGTCGATGCCGCGCGTGGAGGCAGAACCGGAAGTTGAGGCGCAGACGGCCGCGGCGAAGGACGCCGTGAAGGCGCACGGGAACGACCACGCACAACAGTGACTTGGATCGGGGTAGTAGCTTGAGGCTGCGGCTGGGATTGTGGCTCCGATATCCGTCTTTTCCGTGATTTTGCTTGCGCAATGAATAGTTGCGCTCGTGCCTGGGACCGCCACCGGATCGAGTACAGGTATACGATCCCCGTTATCCCAAGCAGGATTAACACTATTATGGCTATTCTGATGTTGTTGTTCATTTTCTGTGAAGTCTGTTCTTGGGGTCCTTTGTGGAGGGGGGTTGTCTGTCAGTTTGCTGTGGAAGAGGGGTGGAAGAGGGTTTTGGGATTCGGATTGCACTTTACTCGCTATGTGCCTTTTCCTGGTGTCAGGGTGATTGTTCCTCGCGGAGAGGTGAGGATGGATGCTGGGTTGGGGTGAGACTGTTTAAGGGTGTGGCATGTTAGATTTGGAAGTACGACTGTTGTGATGAAAGTCACAGAGCTGGTTGTGCTCGGCGACCTTCTTCCAGTGAATGGACGTGTGCAAATGTTTATATTCTGCATCTGTCATTTACGAAGTAGATGGAATCATGTAGGTAGAAGGAACAAATAATTGGTATTAAACATGTCTAACTTTTATCTATCCTAACCCTCAATACCCAATGCATTCTGGATTCTCGCAATCCAGTTATCATGCAGCAATGCCGTTTCCCCATTGGCAAGTAACTTCTGCAGCTTCTCCTTAAGAGCAGTCCGGTCTTCATACAGGTAGCCAGAAGCTGCAAACTCCTCTGACACCAACACGGCCGCGAGGCTAATCAGTCTCACGCCCAGGGTGAACGTTTCTGGCTTCGAGGCCCAGCCGACCAGTCCGTCCTTTTCGGACTCATTTGCCATAATATCTGCGACGTAAGAGAGGCCGTCAGACACCCATTTCGAGGTCTCCTTGACTCCACGCTCGCTGAAGGCAGCTTCTCTCAGCCCGAGAAGTCTACAGGACCAGATATCGACTTCGCGGATTTCCTCAATGAACAGGTTTTGTCTCTCTTCTTCGAACAAGGTCGTGCTCTCCTTTCTCAGTTCGGCAAGTTGTGCTTCTACCGTCGCAAGCTTTGTGCGTTCGACAGAGCCGCTGAGCTTCGGTTCTTCCCCCGTGATATACTGGATTGCTTTAGTGGACAAGAGTTGAGACTCGGGGTAGTTATCGACCATGAAGTCGGCAAGGAGCTGGCCAGCGTTCAAGGGAGACAAGGCAACCGTCTTGGAGGGGGCCACGGAGGAATATGACAAAACCCAGGAGGCAGTTCCGGCAGCCATATCACGCAGCTCTTCGTCGTCGTCGCTCAGCATGTCATATAGGATAAGGTAGATCTCCAAGTACACCTTGTCCACAAGCGGGGCCTTGCCTTTGCTCCGCAGTACGCGTGCAAATGCTGTTAGTGAGGTCACTGCCGCATCTCGAGTGGTAAATTCCTGGTGTTGGTTAGAATCTAGCTTGAGCGACATATGGATGGAAAACACCACTTACTGTTTCTTCTTCCATCGCGAATCGGAGTTTCGTGGCCCACCTGCGAATGTCTGTCTCGGAAATCTGACCTTGCTTGGAAATGGCCTTCGCTGCGAGAAGACATCCTTGGAGACGTATCCCGGCGTCTGATCGGTCTCTACCCCACACTTCGCCATTCGGGCTGCAGTTGATATGTTGGTTTAACTCCTCCCATGGCAAGTCCACGTCCTTGAATTTATCATGATGGAAGTCAAGTAGATCTTCCAGGATGGATGCTAGGGATGCGATAGCTGAGCCCTTCACACCTTCGGAGTAGTCGCCCAGGATGATAGAAGGGTACAGTTGCAGCAAGGTCTTTCGGTATTTGTCCTTTCTTCCGATTACATCCTGTATCCGCTGGAGCAGCCATACACCAGCATTGGGATCGAACGTCGAAATGGTCTTGACGAATGACGCAAGCTCATCCAATTCACCGGTCACAAACATCTGCAGTACTCCAACCCACGAAAGAGATCTCCGGAGCATAGAAGAAGCACGAGTCGTGCTCAGTGAATTGTAATTAGGATTCGAAGAATCAAAAAGATACTCCAGGATATCCTGGAATCCGTTCGAGTCGTATGTGTAGCAGATAGTCATCAACAATTTTTCTGTACCTTTGTTTAGCCTCAGATGCAAGTTTCCAAGGAGGGTTCAATTTACCTTCCGTCCCTGACTCAAAGCTCTTCTCCACCGATTCTCCCAGGATCTCCAGCAAAGTGTTCGCAACGAATGGAGATTCTGCAATTGGGAACAATGTGGCAAAGATCTGTCGCAAAGCCGCAGATACTTCGTGGATATGTTCTGTAGCCACGTCAGCCGATATGGTTCTCTACATGTTATGCCAGTATTACTTACCATTCCAGAACGAAAGCGACGCAGATCCGAACCTGCGCAAGGCATACTTGATAGACAGTGCCTTTCCATGAAGATAGTCCTGTGCCTTCGAATCCCGATCAATATCAAGCAGTGTTTGGATATCTTTCAGAATGTCCGGGCGATTCAGCAAGGATGCATAAACACGAGCCGCGTGCTCTCTAATGCCCCACACCGGACTCTTGAGCTGTTCCCGGACTAGTCCTAGCAGCATCGCGTCGTCTGTATCATAAACATTCGGGACTTTCTCCGCAATGAGTTCCAAAGCTGGGAAGACTCGCTCAGTGACCATCGCATGATCACCCTGTTCAGCGTTATTTCTCGCATCCGATGACGACAGAAGGTCAGATAGTAGCTGGATGAGACCCGGATATTTCTGGAAAGAAATTCTACCGCCGGGTTCCGATCCGGAGCTACCGCCGAACCCTAGACCAGTACCCCTGCGACACATGCGCGTTAGTAAAGCTCGGAAGAGCATCAATCCAGAGTTTCTCAGGTTCCAACTAAACAGAAATTAGTCTCCTACACTCATGACTTGGTTAAAATGAGCTGTATCACTCACACTGGCGACCCCAGCTGCTCAGCCGACAGATTCAAAGCGGGCATGATAAACGGCTCTGTGTGAGCGCCAACCTTGTTATTGGTGAAGATTTCTTTCAGACAGTTCAGAGCATGAACTTGAGGCAACTCCATCTCCTGGTTATCATCATCTTGTTGTACTGGAAGGTGAGATATCTCGACAAGATCTTTGATGACATCTTGGAAGAGCTGCCTCCGGGGTTAGATGAAAGAATTCCAGTGGCCAGTGCAGGAAGCCCGGCGGAACGACGCGTTAGCTTTGATGCTGTCTCGAAGATAATCTTTCTAGCTTCCTATATCGACGAATAAGCATTTTACTCATCTGAACTCTGTCGTCTGAAATACTCACCTGATACCATCTATGAGGTAGGCTTGCAATCTCAGGATCACTCGACTGTCCGCAACGCAAACAACAGGTGGCAAAGGTTTGAGACACCGTCGAGAATGCACCCCTATGGCGAAGCTCGGCCAGCTGTGTGAAGCTTGCGACTCCTACTGTCTCAAAGTCGCCCTTCGTTAAACCTAATTCTCCCTTCGGACCGTACGTCCTATTGGCGAGTGTTGCGTAAAGCAGGAGACTGGAATTGTCAGCAGAGAAGGTGAATTTAGAGAGCAGAAATTACCTCGACTCCCGAAGTGCACGCCAAGAATAAGAAAGGATGTCCTTAGGGCCGACGGCTAGATCGTCAATGGGCTCATCGGTGTGGCCTTCTGGCGAATCAATACAGAGTACAGGTCTCACTTCAATCCAAATCTTGTCACAAACAGCCACTACCCTCGAGTGTACGGCTCGCCAGGCCTGGTAACTTGTCTGTGCGTTCGAGATCAAGACATGGAAATCAGGGGTCAGGACAATATATCTAAAGCAAAAATCAGCTTCAACGCATTGAATATACACATTATGCAGCAGTACCTAAGAGCAGAGACGTAACCGTGTAGGGGCGCATCACGCATAGAAGAGTTGAAGAGACCACCTGTAAGGGATAGTTTCTCTTCCAGTTTCTTCAGGAGATTATCGACAACTCCTTGTTTGGTTTCCCACCAGCTCTCCGCCACTTTCGAACTATCATCGTCTGCTGCTGTAAAGAATATGTGATACAAGCGAGCGACAGTATCGGCGTGGTCAGCTCTACTAGTGTTACTTGCCAATTGTTCTGCTCTATTCAAGGCGTCTACGAGCTGCGGCTTCTCATGGTTCCTCTTGCTTCCGGATTGCACATAACCACTTAATAAGACGTCCCGAGGAAACAAATTAAGCAAAGTGAGGGATGTGGCCCGCACTTCCTCATATGGATCCAGTAAAAGGTCTACCAGCAATCTGAGCAAGCTCGGCTCAAACACATCCACGTTGAGTCGCCACTTTGTCACGTTTCCCGCCTGTTTGGCAGCAATGTGACCAGCGTACCGGGCGTCGAGGCCAGATTCAAGTAGATGGATCAATGTTTTCAATGCCATGATGTGACGCGGGTAAGAGGCTGTAGATCGCAGGTCATCTTTCAGTAACTCCAGGTATTCTTTCAAGCACTCTTGCGTCTCAGAATCGTCACGGGCAAACTTCGGCTGATGCTTTCTGCTATTTGGAACATTTGTCTCGGCCAAGTTTTCATGTTCGCTCAGAATACCACCTTTGAGACGAGGAATCAGTTTGCGTATCAAGCTCAGGATCTCTCCTCTGGCGTATGGGTCTGCAGATTCAGAGTGTATAGAGGGCAGGCCTTTCAATATAGCTCTTATTGTGGCTGAAGAAACGGGCTTTGTTGTCGCGGGTGCCGTAATCAGGAGTGAAAGTGCTGCTATCCTAATACTATGTTCTCTATGGAATAGGAACTGGCCAATCATTTCGCTCTTGAGAACGAGCGCATTCTGGGCGTCATTGGCCGAAGACCCCACTTTGGGAATGTAGTCTAGGAGCAAGGTAAGTAACACGGACACGAGCAGGCTCAAAACCATCCCCACTTACTATCCTCGTGGACCAAGCCAACTTTCTTTGCCATCTGCAGCGATGCGAAGAGAAGCGTCAGCTCTGGTAATGGCGCTTCACTCATATCCCCTGCGAGCAAGTTCTTCAAATGTAGCTTGTCTAAAAATGCTCTAAAGCCAATATGGTCAAGTTTAAATAAAGGCTGAAGGGTGTAATTAGACATCAGCTCTAGATTATCCAGGTTCTGCAGCGCAAGGTGCCTAACTGGAGTCACCCAAATTGATGACAAGTTCTGAGAAATCTCTTGAGATGATGACGCGGACGTGTCAAGGCTTTTCACTTTCTGGAAGAATGCAGCCATTAAATCCCCTGATGAAGCAGCAAGTTCTGCTGTTTTAGCTTGGGTTAGTAATCTCAAAAGAAGGATCTCGGCCACAATTTGTTTCGACTCGGAGCTTGGAGCACTTCCGAGGAAGCGAGTGATATCTATAGACAGAGATTTGCAATCCTCCTGAAGGAGTGAGATCCATCTTTCACGATTCTCCAGAAGCCAGCTCTCTACCATTGAGATAAACTCAACGGGAGAGATTGCGCCCTTCCGTAGTAGAGTCTCCAAAGAGACGAAAGACGCCTTAAGTCGCGAGCGAGGCTCGCCAAGGATAATGCTAGGGATGGTTGTCTCAGTAATCTTGGATCTGATTAAATCTTTGTCGGTTTCCTGGGAGTTTTTGTTAAAGAGGCCGACCAGGCACTCCAGGACTTGTCTCATTCCCTTTGGATTTGCATCTTTATAGCGAGCCATGTAGACCTCAAACACAGCAGACCAAGTCTCATTGGAACAAGCCAATTTTCTTGTTCCTTCACATTTTGAAGTAAGTGCAGTGTCAAGAAATGCGCTTAGCGTATTGCATGAAGCCACGGTATGGGTGTTAGAAGTTGAAGCCGTCGAAAACGTCTTCAATAAGCTCTGCCATACTCGGTTCACTTTGCTTTTTTTTAATAGGTTAGAATACGGTAGGCACGAATGAACAGTACAGTCTTACTCGATGTCTTCACATGACAGAACAAAGTTTACCAACAACCCTTTGCTAATTTCCTTGAGGGTCGCTTCCGGAAGAAGTTGTATATCTTGCGATATCGCCTCCATTTTTTGATATCCGGCGTCGCCCGAAGCGCTAGACCCTGCTTGAAGATCCATTGCGTTATCGGGTCCGTAAACCCCGAGCAATGGAAAATCCGGCGGCAAGGATTTTATTTTAAATTTCTCTAAAAAAAAAAAGAATTGCTATCCAGATGCCCGCCCCCCGCGCTGGGGAATCACTTTTCGTGGATTTTCGAGGCGGGTCCACCCAAAGCGGTTAGCGTCGGCCAAAGCTTTTCCCGACACCGGAGAACTGCCCGTGATTACTCGTGACTCGGCCCGTCACGGGGTTGAAGTTTTTGTTCTGGTTCCTTCGAATTTCCAGACTCGCGACGAAGACCAGCAGCGCCAGAGTGGCATACCAACCGTTGTTCATTTCCTCCCGTGTTTTATTACCTTCTTAATTGTATTCATTTTAATAAAAGTACTTCTTTCCAAAATGTCTTTCTGGGACTCACTCAGCGGCCGCAAACAGTCCAAAGGACCCGAATTCGACCCTTCCACCGCGCAAGATGCTACGTCGTTCCTGTCGGAGGTCGCCATCCCTGATCCTACCTCGCTCCACCCCTTGGCTGGCCTGAATCAGGATACCCTCGATTATATCACCCTCGAAGACTCCGCCCTTGATGAAACACCTGGCTCGCGATCACTTTTGCCATCCCGTGGATGGTCCGATGATCTGTGTTATGGAGCCGGAACAACGTACCTTGCTGGTTTGACTGTTGGAGGAGCATGGGGTCTTGCTGAAGGCATGAAGAAGGTGCCTGTGACAGCACCCCCCAAGATTCGCCTCAACGGTGTCCTGAACGCTATCACAAGGAGAGGTCCTTTCCTCGGAAACTCCGCCGGTGTGGTGGCAATGGTATATAACGGCTTTAACTCGGGAATTGGATATGTGCGAGGAAAGCATGACTCTGCCAACAGTATTGCTGCGGGTGCCCTAAGTGGTATGCTCTTCAAGAGCACCAGGGGTCTCAAGCCCATGATGATCTCTGGCGGTATTGTGGCTTCTATTGCAGGAGGCTGGGCTGTATGTGAACTCCGTTCATTCCCTAAAGTTGGAAGCTTCGCTAACTCGATCATAGCTTGTGCGCAAGACCTTCCTGTAGATGCCGCTCATTCCGTTTCGTTGTATTCTAGCACTCGAACCGAGTCGACCTCCATTCGCCAACAGTTGTCCGAAATGATTGTCCATTATGGGTTTGTTTCAGCAAAGCGGGAGGGTGTTGTTATTTAATTTTTTTTTGGTCCACGCTGTATTAGAACGACTTTTCTTGTTATTCCTCGAATCTCTTCCCTCCGGCGCTCGAAGCATTTGCATTATCCATGGTTGGGACCGGCATGGTAATGGGTCTGAACTTTCCTGTACATATAGCGGTCCCCTGCTTTTATGGGTTCTTGATGGCGAAATGCAGGTTTTATTTCGTCCTGTCTGGTGATCTTAATTCTTTAGGAACTCACAATGAAAGACTTGATGCCAAACGAATCATTCCCTTCCGGATCTGTCGCTGTCTTTGATGCTAGCACTACAATGAACAATCCCCACTTTGCGCGTCTTCCCTGGACTTCCGGTGCAGTTTGATTGAAAAGGCACGACATCCGGGTACTCTTCGATGCCGCACCGGCAGAGTGTGTCGTGTGGCGCTTCACAGCCGGTGGTCATGTGACCATTCCGATTCAAGCAGCATCAAGAATTTTCGGTCGATTGAATCCCCATTGGTGGGAGATACACGCGATGGTATCGCAACGCATATTGCGCAGTTTCCAACCCTTGTTATGCCGCGGAGCCGATCAGGTGCTAACACATGGAGTCATGTTCACTGCCACTCTACTGATAGCGGAGAAACCAACCAACCCCCAGGTTACATAAGGGTGACATTGCTAATCCAAGCGATGCGGGATTTGGAAGTCTAATGGCGATCTGCACGACCATGGTCGGATTTTCCCCGATCTGTATGGATCCAGCAGTGAGCTCAACCAATCTCTCAAACATTGCTCTTGTTAGTGCCGTGCGGGGTCGCGGAGTCCAAGCTCCTCAATCATTGAGATAAGCGTTTAACGCCAGTATTATCAACATGCTTCCACTCTGGGAAGAGTGAAATGATGGCAGTCACCGAATCTTTCCAGAACAATCACGGTTGGTTTGTTATCTGTCAGATAGCAATGTCCCAAAATACAAATCAGATAGAGTCCGACAAAGTCCGGTTATTTCTATTCTCTACTAGTAATAATCGCCCATGTATACTAGAGATATGATTGAGCCCCCGCCTCTCTTCTGCTGTGAAACGTCACTCCACGCGAAGATCACTAGAACAAGTCTAGGGTGACTTCTATTGATTAATTGTAACCTTCCTTCTCTGCCGATATATCCAAGCGAAGTGTTGATAGTAACAGTGCACCATGTTACATGGTTTAGATGCTACCAAACTTACAACCCGGACCTTAAATAGCGAAGAAAATCATGGAGGCGTCTTTAAACTTACTACTTTCACGATCTCCACTCAAAACGCATATCTGTATTGTCCAGCAATATGTTTTGGGGCCAACTTGTTAATATAGGTCTTTTCCTCTCTCTTTCTATAGGAGGTACGAGCCACAAATCTATATTATGACAACGTCTCACAGACAGCAGGGTACACCCGACTGGTGACTATACCAACTACCCCGTTCACTGGAACGAACGACACCTATTCCCTGACTCAACTCACCGGTATTGTGGTTGATGCGCGCTATGCCGATGCCGTAGATAACGATGGCGCAACCCAAATCCCACCTACATTGCAACAATTCGCCGAAACTTTCCAGAAAGACCTCCAATCCACGGTAGGGATTAATATACCACTCACATCCAGCAAGACGGCCGTAGCCAACTCAATCTTCTTTACGCTTACCAATGAGACTGGATTCCATGACGCTGCCGGGAGATATACCTCAGAAGCATACACGCTAACAATAAATGAAAATGGTGTGAAAATCTCTGGAGCCAGTCCACTGGGGGCTTGGTGGGGATCGCGGTCGTTGATTCAGGAGGCGGTTGTCAGTGGCCACACTCTTCCCCAAGGAACGGCGGTGGATGCGCCTGGGTGGGCCAACAGAGGTGTCATGGTATGTAACTTGCTTGCCAAACTACTCCATTGCGTCGTTACATACCTTAACTAAGACCTGTTCAGTTGGATGCTGGGCGCCACTTTTACCCCCCTGAATTTCTGATCGAAATGTGCGCGTTCCTGTCCTTTTTCAAACAGAATGTATTTCACGTGCATCTGAGCGACAATCTCTACAACAACGTAGATCGATATTCCGCTCAACAGTCGATGGATCTGTATGCAGCATTCCGCCTATGGTCGGATGATCCTGCGGTAGCTGGTCTCAATAAACGCGCCAATGAATCTTATACTAAGGAACAATTTGACAATGTCCAACAACAGTGTGCTCGACGAGGTGTCACTATTATCCCTGAAATTGAAGCCCCAGGTCATGCACTGGTCATCTCCCAATGGCGTCCTGAGCTGGCGCTTGACGATCTCAGCATGCTCAACATTACTCATCCAAACACTATTCCTACTATGAAGGCCATTTGGAAGACCTTCCTGCCGTGGTTCCACAGCAAAACAGTTCACATAGGTGCAGACGAATATGACACAGATCTTGTGACTGACTATACATCCTTTGTTAATACTATGCGTGACTATATCTCCAGAGAATCAGGCAAGAGCACGAGGGTCTGGGGCACCTTCACCCCATCGCAGGGTGCCAATGTGTCCACGGATGTTTCCATCCAGCATTGGGAGTTCTTTGAGGATAACCCTTACTTCGACTACATCAAGAATGGATATAGCGTGCTCAATTCGGACGATGCGTTTTACATTGTGGGCAAGTGGTCCGGTAGCTACCCATCCACGCTGAACAAGACTCGTGTGTTCCATGGAAATCCCGCCGGCGGGGCGTATGCTCCCAACGTCTTCGACACCAAGAATGCCACCAACAATCCTCCTCGAAATGATCCACACGTGCTTGGTCACATCGCAGCTCTGTGGAACGATTATGGCCCGAATTCCACTACGGTTCTTGAAACATATTATTCGTGGAGGGATACACTTCCAGCCTTGGCCGACAAACAATGGGGTGGAAACATCCTAGAGGAGGAATATGATGCAGTGTTCGACAAGATTCACGCCGCAGTCCCTGGACAGAACCTGGATCGCCGAGTGACGAGCCACACTGATACCATACTACATTACAAATTCGATAGCGACACCGACACCGTCATTGATCATTCAGGAAACGGCTATGATGGAGTCATGCGGGGATGCCACGTCCAAAACTCTGCTCTCGTACTTTCCAACGGCTGCTATGTGGACACCCCGCTAGGTAGCAAAGGGAGAGACTACACTTTATCATTCTGGGTGAACCCCACGTCACGGAACCCCGGCACCCTCTTTGCCGGACCTGACTCCATCCTTCTAAGTGGAAATGGGTCGATTAGCAATATGACCCTGATAAGCGGTGGAAACCCATATTCGCTAAACTATAGTCTTCCCCTGGATACGTGGACTCAAGTGCATTTGGTTGGAAAGGGCAATCAGACTCTGCTTAGTGTCTCCGACTCAAGTGCGGAATCCGCAACGATGGAGTTTCTTGCGCGCCTAGGGATCAATGGTGAAAGCCAGGTTTGGGCACCCATTGCAATCGAAGCCCCACTGGCACGGATTGGGGAAGGCTTCAATGGGATGATGAAGGAGGTTGTTCTACGAGGGAGTGCTGAGTAAAAGGGGTCGTGAACCTGCTTCCATGGACTAGGTAGCATGGGGCATGGTTTCCAATATAATACCTCGAGTTCTCGATTATAGAACAGCAATTATATACTGGTCCGGTAGAATCTAAGATATACACTGTCATGTTGAATAATCTTACAATAAACCACAATAACCACAACAAACAAGATAATAGCACCAAAAAAGCACACCGAATCCCGCACTAAAGAACCACAGGCAAAGTCGACCTGGCTCTTCACCCCTATTCAAGCCCAGCACCCCTTAAAATCAATCTAGAGATGTGTCTAAACCAGCAGGCCAGCAGTACATCCAAACAGCAAGAGTGCAAGTACACCAATCGACTTCTTCGCCCCAGCAGCATTGGTAGTAGAAGTCGAACTCGCACCAGTAGAGCTTTTAGTCCCAGTCGCAGTTGAGTCAGCAGCAGAGGCAGTAGCGACGATAGTGCCAGCACCAGTTGTAGGAACGCTACCGGTTGCCGTCGCGTTGGCGTTGGTGTTGCACCACACCTCTCCGGGTTCGGATGCTTTGATGAGACATTCCGCCAGGTCACCGACGTTCTGGCCCTGGGCCAGACAGTAGTAGTCGCAGTCGCTGTAGGAGACGACGGAGGCGGAGGAGCAGCAGCTGCTCATGATTGCGGAGTTGTTTCCCTGCATCGGCATTGCGCAGGCGGCATCTTTGACGGGGATCTCGTAGAGTTTTTGGTGGCAGGTTGAGGTTGCGGAGGCCGCGGTGGTGGTTGCGGTTGATGTAACTGACATTGTGAACCTGGGGAGCGAGTATTTGGTTTCGTATGGATGAATGTTTCAGTAGAGGAATGTGTAAGGTTGCTTATACAATGCTGATGGGGTCAGAGAGGGTCTCTCTGGGTTTTATGGAAGGTATGAGCACCTAAGACCACAAATCCATGGATCTCAGTTGCCTTGGGGCCCGACTCTAAGCCACTGTCGCTAGACCTCTGTTCCTGAATTGTTTCTAATCTAAGTATGCCAAGCACGGATATGCTTGAGGCGAATCACTCTATCAAGTCACCATTGTATAGTGACCAATAGAACATACAGATCGGACTCATAGCCCTTCGCTTGTTTTTCTTGGCTTCAGTCAAGAATAGCCATAGCTGACGCGGCCCTGTTATCGGATAGCATGATACTGCTATAGTTATCTAGGTCACATCGGCTCCGGGGAAGATCAAATTTCAATGTAAGACATGTGGAGCCCAAGAGATCCAGTGATGGGCAGCAGAATTGGGACAGGGCTGTGTCTTTCTCCGAAGTGCTCGGAGATCGAGGTAGCAATGCCGATACACCCTATGGAAGCTGCTTCTTGCCTATTGACTATAGGTTAAGTAGAGCTGCTTACTCAACAGTCTCTGTCGTTTCAGATCTCTCTATTGGTTAATTTGTGGTGGTGCCTTGGACCTATTTTTCAACCTATCACCAAACATCTTAGGGGTTCAACCACGAAGTACTTCCTATAATCCCGAGCCGAGTTCTCGGGATGATCGGGCATGTCGATGTATAGTACAGTATAGCTCAACCGACTTTCCGCTAAGCTTTGCTTAGAGTGCTAAGGCTTAGAAGGCTAAAGTGGGTATATGTCGACGTTTCTATGTCGTGGAGTCCTGTTAGATATTCTTGATCTAAACATGAACTACAATGCCGCTGCGAAAGCGTATTGGGTCCTTGTGGACGAAATCAAGAAGGCGTTACTACAATTCGGGCTCTCACTAGTAACTAGTTAGCAGACCATATAATCCGTTGCCACCACATAGGATATATATAACGCGCAATATGGAACAGACTGTGGGACTATGTGGGTGGATGTGGGTTTTGTGGGGAGGCGGATAAAGACTATTCAGATCACAGTTGGTTGAACGTTGGGCCATCATATAGCAAGAAAGACATGGGAAACAAAATGAATGTATATGTAGGGACAGTTCAAGGGAAGGAGGATGATATATATCTTGGGGTTACAAAATAAAGTAAAAAAGTTGAAGCGCAAAAAGCAATGGTCCCAGAGAGGCTCGAACTCTCGACTTCTGAGTTATTAGCTCAGCACTCTAACCGACTGAGTTATGGGACCAATTGATAGAAAACCATTTTTATAATTGAAATTATAAGCCTACTTTGTCTTTATAAAAAACCTCGCCATACTACTACCTAGGGCACGGTGTTTGTTAAGAATACCTCTACCTACACCAAGCATCTCACAATATTTGGCCTTATTAGTATTAATGCGACGGTATCTCTTAGCATAGATATAAGAAGAGCCATTTTCTATTTCGTTACCTACTCGTAATCCACAATGCACCTTCCTCATGTTCCGTGTTCAAGATATATATATAAATGACGCTGTTAACCTAACCTAGCCATACACCAGTCTACCAGGCTAATGTAATATAATAGAATCAGCTGGACCAGGACAATACAACGGCGATGTAAAAGACAGAACACAATAGTTCCAGTCAGGCCAGAACAATGTAACAGTGATGTAAAGGACAGAACACATTAGACCCAGTCAGGCCAGAACAATATAACAGTGATGTAAAGGACAGAACACATTAGACCCAGTCAGGCCAGAACAATATAACAGTGGTGTAAAGGACAGAGAACATTAGAACCAGTCAGACCAGGTCAATATAACAGTGATGTAAAGGACAGAACACATTAGAACCAGTCAGGCCAGAACAATGTAACAGTGATGTAATAAACAGAATACTGTGACAAGAGAATTAGCTGCCCACTGTACCTTCCCACTTCCAGCTCAATCCACTTTACCTTCCCACACTCAACTCCTCGTGTAATCCTCTGAACACACTCAACCCTCACTCCCTTCACAAGAAAATTCCATAAATCCACCATGGCAGCCACCAGTGCAGACCAAATGAACGCAATAACTCGCGCACAGTTTGAGGACGCGATCGCTCGCGCTGTGAATAATCGCAGCCGGATTTACAACAACTCTTTCGCGCTGAGTTTTCGATGGGAGCAAGACAAGACGAATTCCTCTACAGACACCGATCATTTTCAGGCGATCTTGAGCACACTAAATCTCGACCAAGCTGAAGTTGAGATCTTGGCCGAACAGGATCAGACCCCGGGCTGGACACTGAACGATAAAATTCGGTCCATTTTCCGACTCGCAGCAAATGCACCCGGCAAATCCATCGTGCTGATTCACTATGCTGGGCACGGAGAGCTTAGAGGGGAACAGCTCTTTTCTGTCGAAGGCTATCCCGCCGAAGCATAAACCTCCAAAGAATCATCGATAATGTAGTGGCAGGAGATGTCCAGGACTTCGACATCGCAGATACAGACGCTGTCTTTGTTCTAGATTGCTGCTACTCCCATGTGGCAACGCGAGCGTTAAATCCCACAACTCGCGTTGTCGAAATTCTTGCAGCGAGCGATGATCACAATCCAGAGGCCTTTACACCACCACGCAATACCTTAACTGGAAAGTTGCGGGGCGAGATTGCTCGACGCAAGCGAGACGGTCACCACTGTGTGGTACTTTCGGATGTAATGGCGACTATTCGAGGGAATAGCCCGGTTGTAAAGCCAACACATCATGTCAAGTTAGGGGTATCTGTCTGCTTCCCTTTCGCTGGTGTTACATATATTAACCCGAACACAATTGCCCCTTCGCTACGTGCTGTCTTTTCAGTTCGCATCGTCGAAAATATAAACCGGGAACAGCTGAACAGGTTCATTACTTGGATTGAGGCTCTTCCACCTGGGTTCGCTATAGAACTCGAAGGGGTCTACACCACAACCTCGACTCTCCTCATATTCCAGAGTGCATACGCGCTGTTCAAGAATCTTGCTGGATATCCCGGTGTCACCCTTATCTCGGATGTGACAAGCCCGAACCGCCGCAAATATCTCGGCCAAGAGCAGCAACAAGGAGCTCCTTCATCCACTTTGAAGGAGAATGTCCCATATCTCCAGACCTCTAAGCCATGAGAAACATGCATGAGGACTTACGACCTATCTAGGGGGAGGGGCATAGTACTTGCTGTTTACACTACTACCATAACTTTATCCTCCTGTTTAGCTTCGCTGATACGAGGGCCAGTCTCGGCATATCTTTTTCTGTTAGAACGAGCTCTTCTGCAACCCTTTCCAATTTGCTAACAAAGTACTTGCTGTTTACACTACTATATCTTTATTATTTGTTTAGCTTCGCTGATACGAGGGCCAGTCTCGGCATATCTTTTTCTATTAGCAATAGCTCTTCTGCAAGCCTTTCCAATTTGCTAACAAAGTACTTGCTGTTTACACTACCATACCTTTGTCCTGTAAAATAGAGTATACATTTAATCGATGATCTAAAGGGTTTAGCTTACGTAAACCTGTCACTCAACCTCACCATCAGTGCTGGTTTGTCCCAGATGGTAAACGCCTTCTGTCTATTCCACTCGTCACTTGCTGGAGTAAGGGCTATATCGAAATTGAATAGCAATTTAGTCAACATCAAGCGCATCTCCATGTGTGCCAAACTTTGCCAGATGTTAGCGGATCGAGAACAAAACGAGAACCAAACGCACAGAGTATGGGAACCAACTTTTTACCCAGACAGTTTCTGGGCCCCAGGCTGAATGGATGCATCACGTCCTTTCTGTCAGAGTCAAATCTACCGTCGGTCCCCAGCCATCGCTCGGGAATGAATTGCTCTGGGAGTGCGAAGTTCGCTCTATCATGGTATGATGCATAATGATGAGTGGAAACGGTTACCTATATGAAATCAGTTATTGGGTCAAGCAAGATGCATTAGATAGAATATGGATGTACATCTTCTGGAACGAATTGGCCGTCAATGGTAGTGCCGCCCTTAGGGACCAGTCGTGGAAGGCCTCCCGCCACTGGTGGATACAGACGAAGTGATTCTTCAAGGACTGCGTTGAGGTATTTGAGGTTAAAGCATATGGATGATGTGATTTCCTGATCAGTAGCGAACGCGGCACGGATTTCCTTGCAAACTTGGTCCATGACATGCGTATTTTTACAAAGGTAGTAGAGACATCCAGATAGTAGCGACGCTGTCGTTTCACTTCCTGCAATGGTAATGCTGTCTGTGTCAGCCCCGAACGAAAAGTATGGAAATGATCATATGCGCTTACAAGACTGAGTTTTCATGGATTTCGGCTCTGCTCATGAGAGGTTGGTTCTCGATGAATTCTTCCTTATCATCACTGAGCCCATGTTTCAGAATGGCAGACACGAAGTCTGGGCGAGAGGCTCCTTTCTGAAGCCGGCGGTCTGCCTTTTGGGCACAAAGCTTATGGTTTTCCAGCATTTTTTGTTTGAGATATTTTGGCAAGAGTGTCTCTTGCATTCTCCTAAACAGCGCATATTGATTCAATACTCCGAGAAATGTGATACCCTTGACGTTGTTGAACATCAGGGCGATCCATGGATGCAGTTGACTGTCCTTGAGACAGTTGAAGGTCTCTGCAAACATAAGATCGCCGATGATATCGAAAGTGGTGAAGTTGAACCAGCTTTTGAGGTCCTCCTCTGCCCTGTGCATTTCGTTGACATTAGTTCTCTCTCGCAGTCGTTGAATAAAAAGATCGACGTAATGTACGACTATCCCTTCTTGTTCACGTAGACTCCGTTCGGAGAAGGCATGAGACAGCAATCGTCTGTGTCTGGAATGAGCTTCGCTATCAATATACCCGCCAATACTGTTGCTGATTCCGCCCAACGGCGATCCATATAACTTAGGATCCTTTTGAAACTGTGGCTGTCCTCGACGGAACCCGTAAATGTCCTGAAAGCCTTGGGGGCTGTTGAATGAGAGCTCATTGGGACCAATGCGCACAGCAGAGCCGTAACGCCGATGAAGGGCTAGCATTTTCAAATGGCTACGGCCCCCCAACATACTTATCTGACGAGGGATATTGGACACAGCCCAGAGTCTCGGTCCGGGGAATGATGCCAATGGAGAGAGGAATAAGTTATAGACAGCATCGTGTACCAAGTAGCATAGAATCTTATTCACTGTTAGCCCTGTGGCTCTGGATACAAGAGGAAAGATGTAAATTCTTGTAAAAAAGACGTACCAACAAGGATGCAACCACAGCCACCCAACTGCTACCGCCGTATGACTGGTTGAGAGAGTGTGAAAATAACTCAACTGTAAGGGCCATGATCACTATGTTAATGGAATTCGCTGGTTATGTTTGTTTGAATGAATAGATTTTGGATGTTATTGAAGGAATCTCTACTCTTCCGCACACGAAGGCGACATGCTTGCTCCCTTATATCTCCTCCGCTCCCTATAGCTATGGACAAGCCTTTGACTCTGGATTCTGCATTCTAGCGAATTCCGCAATTAACCCAAGCGGCCAGAACGAGGTCTCACCCTCCCTGAAGACTACTGCTATGGTTGAAAAGGTAGTGATTGACATAGTAGACTCATACGCGGACAGCAGCTAACACTTGGCAGCATAGCATGGTGTAGAAGATCTTGTCCTAAGTTGTAACCCATGTAAGCTAAGCCAGGCAGTATGCATCACCATGCCAGCTGTTACCTTACGGATAATTTCTTGACAGGCAGACTTCCAAAGACTTAACGTAGTGTATATCATAATAATGAAGAGGATGTCGGCCATGATTCAAGAATGGCCCGACAATTTACAACTATCATTATGCCCGTACATGTATTCGTATTGTTGGCGTAATGGAGACGGTCGACGGACAGCATCCATGATGCAGGATTGGACGCCTACCACGATATGAGTGAGAGATACTAACCAGTCGCTACAACATTAATATGGAAGCTATTTCCAGAGTGCAACTAAGCCGGCACTAATGCACCTCTCCAGAGTTTCCGATACTCATAACTGTGGCTACCTGAGTTGACCAGCGCATTGTGGGCTAGATGAGGGGTAATCATGGCGGTTAGAGCCTTCATGAATGAAATATGACCAACACTTGCAGAATTCATGCATAGCTTGATGTCCCAACCGCACCACAATGCTTGTGTGTGTTCAAGTTGGCATCTGGAATCATGCCACCCACCATGGCTGGACATGCTTGGTTTTAGCGGTGGTTGTAACTGCTAAACCTTCTTATAACACACATTTACTCAAGCTTTGTATTCCTATAGATGACTCTGTAAGTATATCTAAATGCTGCTCTGAAGAAACTCCGGAGACATGTTGCATCGCCTCGACAAGGTGTGTGGGGCTCAAGCTGTCAACCCGTTGATGGAACAGTACTACTGCATGATATGAGGGGCATAGCATGCACCATTGCCGAGGACTACCAATCAGAGAATTGTTAATAAGGTATTCTGACCATTGCTGCAGTACTACGGATACCCTCTGAATCATGCTGTGTCAAAAGCACCGTTCTTCCTGATTCATTCAGGCATGTCCATGCTAATAGATAACTTTTAACGTACTCAACAAGTGAAACACACATTGTATTGAGTATCAACAGGAAACAAAAAATACCAATAATTCTAAAAGTATGCCAGATGAAAAGTGACCATGCGATGGCAAGGCCAACAGAAAAGAATAAATATTGTGGCCGACGGTAGAGTTGTCTCAGCAGATTGGTTAAGATCATACAGAAATACTACAAGGCCCCGGTACAGGTAAAAGAGAATTATCCTGACAGACACGGCTCTATCCACGAGAAATGGACCATCTGTTCTGTGTCTAGAACCGATCGTCTGCCCACCATGACGTGGTCATTTGCCAAGAAGGTAGAAGGTCTGAGGGGTCAACTTCACCACTGGGTGTACGGTCAAATTGACTCATACTGCAGATTCTCCTCCCAAGAAGGAAAGGCAGCGAGAGTCACACTAAATAAATTCTCGCTGAGGGACCTGGATGCGAGGGCTACCACAAATGATCGACAAACACATCGTCTTACTCCTAGGAAAAGTTTCCCTTGTGATCTTGGATGGGGTACAATAAGATAGTATGACTTTAGTTGGACGACCTCGGCCATCAGCCATATTATTTAAGTGGGCAGCCTTATTTGTAGTCTCCTCACACCTCCTTTGGTGGTATACATAGGCCCTTAGTAGCAGCTACTTCGTCTGATGGCCAATCGCAGCCTTCATAGTATGAACCCGGCGAGATCAACAATGAGCTAGACCCGAGTCTAATGACAAGGTTCTGTGTTGCAAGTCCCACTCTTGGTGATGGCGCTCACATTTTTTCTCCCCATCACTGGTCTGGTCCAAATTTGGAACGGCTAATGTCCAACCGGTTCAACTTCAGAGCCCATCACTTTCGGGCCAATCGATACCGCTCATGCAGTCTATGCACACAGTGAATTTACGACATTCCAGGGAAGCACCTCTGATCCCATCTGTCCATATAAATCGTCTGTTACATCGGACTGGAAGATCACTCGTAAGGTTGCTCGGAAATTGTCGCGGCAGTAGTAGGCATGACCTAAATCTGCATTAGTGCAGGCTTACTGGAACGCGATGCGTTGGTTCTCACGTTCTACCCGTAACAAGTCACAGCCAATGTGCCTATTAGACTGAAAAGCTATAACCAGGAACCCCTTGTTTCGCAGGTTTAACCTTAATCGAATGCTGCCTGAGCTGTTAAAAGTGCATAGATACTATGAATTGGGAAACAAGACATTATTCTACCAGGACAAACTCTAAAAAGAGGGGGAAAAAGGCTAGAAACCGAGATTTGTAGAAATTACATACTCTGCTGTTGCAGAATCAAGTTGCATAGTGCATCTTATTGCACGACGATATACTCCTAGCTCATCAGGGCCCGGGCCGGGCCCTGTGCTCATTACCACTTTGAGTAAGGTGCTGCACCTGGATACAAAGGAGCCAAACGTTGGGGGCAATCTACCAATCACATCTCCCTTGTGCCTTATAGTTCGGGTGTTTGCGCGTGACACGAATATGCCTTATTCAGACTTCATCGCAGAATTATCGCTTTAGGGGTGGATGTATGTATATATTCGAGTTTATACACTGTACAGTACCATACCCTTGGCGAACTTCGGATCCTCGGATCGTATTGGCTCAGGCAATATATTAGCTGTCGTATTGATGGTTTGCACGGCATTGTCCGGGTTAATGTTTTCTGCAAGGTAACTGCCGGATTTGGACAATTGTTGATAATCGAGGTCCACGCCTCAACTTGAGCCTCAACATTCCTAGGTGCAATATACAAATGTCTGATTTGTAGCCTCTGTACCTATAATGGAATGATTGATCGTCGTCTTTCATTTATCTACTCGATAAAAAAGCCTTTAGAGCTTATTCAGGCCTATGGCATGGCGTTCCATATCTGATCACGCGACAAGGCTAACAAGATCTAGGCTAGTGTGGAATTTAGCTACAGCGATTAGGATCGTAAGCTAGCGTTTTTGTCCTCACATTCCAGTCCATAAGTTGGGTCTGGTCCATTCTTGAATTATTTGGAATCATAAGCTTTGAGGCGAGGTTAGCGATCCTATTGTTGAACATGCTCACTCCCTCCTGAAAATAGCTTTGTATGGAATGTGATTGCTAAATGAGCAGGGGTGGTAAGGTTTATCGTTTTCGAGGACAAAGTGATAGTGTCGTTCGCGAAGGATCAAACCTGCATTCAGCTTCCGTATCTGGAATCACTAGTATGCAACGTAATACAGTAACATCAGCATTGACCCTGAAACGTTTCCAGCACCGGCTTGAACGGAGATTTCCTCTGCAGACAAAGTACTGCAACAGTAGCAGAAGGTGGGTGCTACGGTATCAGGGCTAGTATGAAAATTTTCATCAGTCCCAGTCTAAGGGTTAGTGGCCCCTTCGGATACTCATAAGCGGCCACGCGGCTGTCGGTGGAGGGCCTGAAATTCTGAATATACGACGATGAAAACCGTTAGGGCTGATACCCTGAGTCTGGGTCAGTTGGGTCCGGCATCCAAGTGACCCATCGAGCTTTTGCTTAGCAACGCAATGCGTAGTGGGACCTATAATTACCCGGAAATGAGACATCTGTCGAACTAACGTGGTCTGGACCGAGAACCGAGCGAAGAAAGCCCGGTGAATATTTCTGCGAGGCCATTAGCAAGTATTTATCCTTCCAAGATCCAGGGATATTGGTCTCATAAAATGACGAGATTGTGATCCACGTCATTCGCGGAATCTACAGAGTAGCATCATTGGCAGATCTGCAATCGATTTTGAGTCAGCAACAGAGGTGTGGAGCAGATAATCATAGCATTGACCAACCGGAACCAGGCAACCAGGCATGCCTGCCAAGAAAACGCTCTCCAGCCATTCATTTGAAAGAAATGCGCCCGTAGGCCCGAAATGCTGGGTCAACGGGGCCTTTTCAATAGCTCGTTGTCTTGGCGATCGTCGAACGATCCCTGTTTCAATTTTTCCCGTGACGAATCACAGATCTGAAGGACCAAGAAGCAAACTTGGTGAGTATCAAACAGCTTACGTAGACTTTGGGGGCAGTCGTCGATCACGAAGTAAGTAACCGAGGATAACCCTTCACAATTTCAGAGAAATCGGATTCAGGGTACTCCGTACAATCGACGGAGTTAAATTTGCCCCCTCAAGCGGGCTAACGCAGACACTAATGTAGTGTGGCCGATGATGTGCACTGTGCGTCAAATCAACTCGACAGATGATAAATAACGACTCGTTACGTCGAAAATGGGTCGGAGATTTGAAACCATGGAATGCGGTTTGACCCGAAATTTCGGCATGGGGTCGAGTCCCATCGACCATTGGGAAATAGGAATGCATGAAGCGAGAACATCTGGTCGCTCGCACCTGCAATTGGGGTTGTTTTAGTGTTAGTATTTCACGAAGAACCACTTTCCCGGTCTCTGAGACCTAATACGGCTTAGTTTCACTTAATTCAAGCTTAGCCTGGAAAGGACTGGGTCACTCGTGATCCATGGATCATTTGCCATTCAACGAATGTCATTGCGGGTTTTTTGCTTTTTCCAATCACCTGGGTGTCCGAAACAGGGCACGTTGCCCGTTTGGGATTTCTTGCAGCTCGCTGGTTCCCCAATTGGGAAATAGGTATCTGCGTAGTAAGTACTACTATTAGTCCTCCTAAGCTCTTGGGTTTGTTGAGAGGCAAGGATAGACAATAGCGCCGTTAGAATTGAATGATAAATAAACGTTCTTTTGTGTAGCGCAGTATACTGGTGAATAGGTTGCCCGATCTAGAGGATATGCAAGGCACCACCACTTAAATCAGGCCAAAGAAAGAAGGAAAAACTCATCATCATTTAAATGAATAGATCAATAATACCCAGTATGTGTATTAAAAACAAAGAAAAAAAGAAAGAAAGAAAGAAAGAAGAAAATCTAAAGAGTGGGTCCTGCCAAAAAGTCTCCTGTCAGCCATGATCCATCACATCCAGCCACTGACTTCAGTGTGCCTCAATTAATTGTTGCATACCCCCCTGTACTCCGAACCCTTCCCACGATCCCCGATTAGACTAAGCCTCATGAAGCTTCCATTTCTAGGACGGCCCTGAATTCGAGAGGAACACTACCAAAAAGAACTGAGACGATCTTGATATGGAAAGGAACAGTGGTTCCTCTTTTGGTCTTCCCGCCAACGGCATTACTGGATGCGGGGTAGCGTTAACTGTTGAGTCCTTCACCTCGTGGCCACTAATCCTAAAACAGAGCGGCCATCAGCTGACCCCGCGTGGGTTTTTTTCCTGTAGCGTCATCCAAAGGAGCAGCGCAGCAGCGAAACTTAACGCTTTGCATGGATACTGCCCGGGAGGAAGTGGATTTAGCCCTTGGGGAAGAATAACCATCCCGTCCCCGACCCTAGTTTTGCCTCCTCTTACTCCCCAATTAAAAAAAAAGAAAGGAACCCCCAATTTCCTTTACCTTTTCACCATTATCTTATCTTTCTCCTCTTTGGAATCTCCTCTTCTTCCCTTTTCTATCCTCGCCACTTCCCTCCCCCATCCCAGATGCTTTGATAACACAACCTATTAATTACTATTCACTTCCGGTTTCGACCAGAATTCTAGGCCTGAGGGCCTTTTGCACACCAAGTCCAGCCTGGTCTACTTAGAGTTTAACCAGAGGGACCTTTTCGGTAGCGGTTACCCGCCTAGTTTGAGTGACAACTGCGCTTTGGGTCCACTTTGCGCCGCGACAGCAGTACCCTTCCGGTAAAAAGAGCCATTGGGATATCGCAGCACTCAACCCTCTGACTCGTTCGATGATTTCCCCGGATTCTTCTCAACCGACCGATAGGTCAGCATTGTTTGCCAAACAACCTATTCTGTTACACGAAGCCTCCGCTGCAACGGCATCGAGTAACAATGAAATTTCTTCGGTGCCTTCGGTGGGCTCTGGAGAAGAGGGCGTCTGCTCTCCACTCTCCTTGAATGGAGAATTCTCACCGAGTATAAAGGATGAAATGATTTACCAATGTCACCCCGGGGCTCCACAGCCGCTTCCGTCGCTTCAGATACGAACGGATCTGCCGTGCACAGCGCAACTGAGCCCGTCGAAAGAATCTGACCCTTTCATGCATCACAGCCTCTCGTCAAGCAGCCTTCCGCGAAGAACATCGAGTTTGCGTGGTTTTCTCGAAAGGCCTTCCTCTGGAGGAGGTTCTCTGTCTCCAGCATCGTTACTGTCGTCGCCACAGCTGATGGCCATGGGAGATATCACTCCCTTGCCTTCGCCGATCGGTGGCGTCTCGCCATGGAAAATACCGCGTCGCAATTCACAATCGTTATCTCGGACCCCATCACTCCTCTCGCGCAACGGCTCGAGCCTAAGTTTGCGTTTAAGTGACTCATCTCAAGTGCTGGGGCCCTCGGAATGTCGATCGCGCAGCAAGCAGCGTGGCATGGCGGAGATGTTGGGTGCTGACAAGCATCTAGAGACACCCAGCAAGGCACGCCCTGATGGAGCTCCGAAGCATGCTCGTAACCGTAGCCTTAGTGAGTATGTCCCTCCGACCAAGGCCATTCCGATCAAGCCGCGTCCAATTGCAGTTTCGGGATCGGCCGTACCTCAAGGAATCTTTCATCGTCAAGTACCGACTCGAAATCAAACAACATGCACCGGGAACAACACCTGGCAGTTCATCGCGGCATCGCGTTACCCGCAGTCCGTCCTCCGACGCCGCCAAGAAGTAGTCGCAGTACATCTGATGGTGATGTGGAGCCCGTCATTCTCAGCCCACAATCCATGGATGGCTCGGATGAAATATACTCGGTACGTTCTGTTCGGTCCCAGCAGCCGCGTAAGTATCGCAAACTGCGCGAGCTCGGACAGGGCACATTCAGCCAAGTATGTCTAGCAGTGCGTATGGAACTGCGGGATATGGAATCTGGTTACAGTTCGAGTCTCCAAGGGGTAAATGCCGCTACGCAAAAGCTTGTCGCTGTTAAGGTCATTGAGCATGGCCCGGCGGGTGGAGCGGATGAGGAACGATTGGAGGTATCGCTCAAGCGGGAAGTGGATATCTTGAAGTCGGTCAACCATCCTTCTCTTGTGCAACTGAAAGCGTTTGGAAGCGACGAAAAGCGCGCTCTTTTGGTCTTAGACTACTGCCCGGGAGGTGACCTGTTCGACGTTGCCACCTCTGGACCGAGACCCATGAGCTCCGAGCTGATTCGGCGGATCTTCTCTGAGTTGGTCGCTGCCGTACGCTACCTGCACGCCAACTTCATAGTCCATCGGGACATTAAACTTGAGAGTAAGAGACTCCACCATGGCCTGGACTGACCATAGTGCTTACGAATCGGACCAACTATAGATGTCCTAGTTACTCTCCCTCCTGCTGCTATGGATGAGATAACTGATTGGCGTACATACGATCGTGCGGTCGTTACCCTTACCGACCTGGGCCTATCCAGACGAATCCCACAACCTCCGGAGAGCCCGCTCCTCCACACCCGATGTGGAAGCGAGGATTATGCCGCTCCGGAAATTCTGATGGGCCAACCCTATGATGGGCGGTCCACTGATGGCTGGGCCCTTGGCGTCTTGCTCTATGCGATGATGGAAAACAGATTACCGTTCGATGCTTTGCCGGGTACTCGAGGCGACCCGGCAAAACTCCGTGCTCGTACCCCACACCGTATTGCGCGATGTGAGTGGTCATGGTATCGGTATGCCGACAATGACGGTGAATGGGATCCCCAGAAGGGAAAAGATCTAGAGGGGGCCCGTGAGTGCGTTGAAGGGCTCCTAAAGCGGAATACAAAACGCAAAAGCTTGGATGAGATCGCATCCATCGAGTGGGTTGCGAAAGCGATCGACGTACCGAGTGGGTTGAAGAGAGGTGACAAAGAGGTACCATAGAGCCGGTCTCTTGGTTTATATTCCACCACTCTTGCTGCCGGTTTTCTGTATTGCCTTGCTACGTGATACAGAGATGGGCATCAGGGTGATGCATTGATAGTGTTCCTGTATCTGTCTCTCTTTTCTCTTCTTTTTCTTTACTCTTTTTTTCTCCCCCTCTCCTTTCTTTTCTGTATCTTCTTTCCTCTTTTCTTTCTGCCTGACTTCTATCTTCCCACCTTTCTCTTCTTTTCTTCCTCTCCATAACCTTTTCTCATTCCATTCGCTTGTCTTGGCTAGCCCAAAGGACCGGTATACCCTTAGAACTGTTTTTCCTTCTTCCTAACCACTTTTATCTATATTCGCGTTCTTTTTATTCTTTTTATTTCTATTTTTACGGATATACAATACTCATGACAAGACCGCAAGCAAAAAGGGTGGTAGAAGACAACAATTGCAGGTTCTAGATGGCTTCAAAAAAAAGAGTTTAAGTGTATAATAATTAATTATAAACGCAATACAAAGCATTTGTGCAGATGATTAGAGGTGCATTGTTGCCACCGTCGTTTATTGTATACTCTTGGGTAATTGTTGTAGTCCATGACGCATGATTGGCCTGAGTGCTGACAAACTACGGCACGGGATTGGGCCAACCGGCATCGGGGAGCCTGAGGCCAACTCCGGCCCCCGACTTCGCTGCGGAGGACGGGCGTCACTCTCGGCGACCCGCTCCACTTTCTGTAGAGGTCAGAAGCTATTTATTCTCTTTCAATTGAGTTCTCAATTACACTTGTGCCTTGTTACCACGGACCCCATACCCCTCCAACTGCGATTATGCTTCTTTCACAAACCCGGGGGCGCATGCCCTCTGCTCTGCGGAGCCTCTCCAGGCGGTCCGCTGTCAATGTGTAAGGCGATCGAACGAAATACCCTTTCCCATTCACCGATGGCAGGTTGCTGATTTAATTTTTCTGCTAGTCGTCCCATCTCTACTACCCTCCCCAAGCAAAAGGCCTCTTCCTCTGAGGACGACAACGCTCTGAACAAGGTCTCCCGCCATGTCACACAGCCTATCTCGCAGGGTGCTTCCCAGGCCATGCTTTACGCCACGGGCCTCTCGGAGAAGGACATGGACAAGGCTCAAGTCGGTATCTCCTCCGTTTGGTATAGCGGTAACCCCTGTAACATGCATCTGCTCGATCTCAATCATCGCGTCAAGCAAGGTGTGGAAAAGGCAGGCTTGATCGGCATGCAGTTCAACACTGTTGGTGTCAGTGATGCAATCAGCATGGGTACGAAGGGTATGCGATTCTCCCTCCAGAGTCGTGATTTGATTGCCGACTCCATCGAGACTGTTATGGGTGGTCAGTGGTACGATGCCAACATCAGTATCCCGGGTTGCGACAAGAACATGCCTGGTGTGTTGATGGCCATGGGCAGAGTCAACCGGCCGAGTATCATGTTGTACGGAGGCACCATCAAGCCCGGCTGTGCTGTTACCCAAAACAATGCCGAAATCGACATCGTCTCCGCATTCCAGGCCTATGGGCAGTTTTTGAGCGGCGACATTACCGAGCCTCAGCGATTCGACATTATCCGTAACGCCTGCCCAGGAGGTGGTGCCTGTGGTGGTATGTACACGGCCAACACCATGGCCACTGCCATTGAGACCATTGGTATGACTCTCCCTGGTTCTTCTTCCAACCCCGCCGAGTCCCGCGCCAAGGACCTTGAGTGTCTGGCTGTCGGTGAGGCGATCAAGAAGCTTCTGAAGGAGGACATCCGTCCTAGGGATATTATGACCCGTCAAGCTTTCGAAAACGCCATGGTTGTGGTGAACATCACCGGTGGCTCAACCAACGCCGTGCTTCACTTGATTGCCATCGCTGATTCGGTCGGTATTAAGCTGGATATTGAGGACTTCCAGTCTGTCTCCGACCGTATTCCTTTCTTGGCTGATCTGAAGCCATCGGGCAAGTACGTCATGGCCGACATGCACAAGATTGGAGGTACTCCCGCGCTGCTCAAGTTCCTGCTCAAGGAAGGCCTCATCGATGGTTCCGGCATGACTGTCACCGGTGAGACTCTAGCCAAGAACCTCGAGAAGGTGCCCGGCTTCCCCGAAGATCAGAAGATCATCCGGCCTCTGTCCAACCCCATCAAGAAGACTGGTCACATCCAGATTCTTAAGGGATCCCTGGCTCCGGGTGGCAGTGTTGGTAAGATCACTGGCAAGGAGGGTACTTCTTTCACTGGTAAGGCACGTGTCTTCGATGATGAGGATGACTTTATCGCTGCTCTGGAGCGCGGTGAGATCAAGAAGGACGAGAAGACAGTTGTGGTCATCCGCTACACCGGACCCAAGGGTGGTCCTGGCATGCCCGGTACGTATCGAGAATGCAGATTCCTTCGTTTGACGTAGCTAATCATTAATCATGGGATAGAAATGTTGAAGCCTTCTTCTGCCCTCATGGGCTATGGCCTTGGACAGTCGGTTGCCCTCATCACTGATGGACGTTTCTCTGGCGGTTCTCACGGCTTCCTGATTGGCCACATTGTCCCTGAGGCTGCCGTTGGTGGACCCATTGGTCTCGTTCAGGATGGCGATGTCATCGTCATTGATGCCGAGAAGCGCGCTCTCGACCTCGAAGTTGACGAGGAGACTCTTGCTGAGAGACGCAAGCAATGGGAAGCCGATAAGGAGGCCGGGAAGTTGCCTCCCACTGGTTTGACCATGAGAGGAACCCTCGGCAAGTACGCCAGGTATGTTATCTCTGCCCGATAGAATACATGTGGCTTGGTCTCGGTTACTAACACGCTCCAATAGGACTGTCAAGGATGCTAGCCACGGCTGTATCACCGATGCTCTTGACTAAGTGTCAAGCTGTCGGGTGTATTTTATCATTGCGCGGGATGCCATCACCAAGCAATGCATCTTTTCCCGTCTGAGTTGATTGGGGTGGAATAAATGTCCTGGTTAATATATTGTTTTCTTTATGCTGCTTGGATAGGCGAACCAAAAGGATTGAAAAGCATTTCCTTTAATCTCATGTTGTTATTAGGAGCATTCATTAACTTGATACCTTACCAATTTCATTAATCGAGTTCTAACCGATCTCCAGTTAAGTAGGGGACAGCAATAAGGCGTCTGAATCTTCGGCTCCTATATACCCCGACTGCAAATCTTACCCAACTGTTTTACGCCACTGATCTTAGAAACAACCAATATCATCCCATCACGAATATAAGCCATTCGTAAGACACTAACTGCACTGTGAGAGACCGTGATAGTTTCGTGGAGATTTTCAGAATGCCAATCCATAAATCCATCTTTGTTCCTATGAATCAGTACCTCTTTTGCCTCGTATATGTATTGCATACTACAATGAATAACCGAATATCTTCTAGGTGAACAAACGAACTCAAGTCCCAACTATAACGATGCAGTAGAGAAATTTGCAAGGCTACCAGGGCTATCGGGTTCATTGTCGATGGTTAGTATTGCAGGCCGGGTCAGTCAGCGACATCTGGAAAGAGTTTGTGGCTAGCCTTCGTCGATTGAGCAATCTGGTATCTTGGAGTGGAGTGTTCTTCGTGGGCCCTCGTTTCTCCTTTGTTGGACTAGGATGGGAGTGCGTATTTATTTTGTTACTGTACTGGGAGGCACTGAAGGGATCTAGTTACGGCTTCTACGAGGGAATTGATTGGAGGTGGATGGCGAGGGAGTTGTGGGAACTTTGCAGTGATGGGGATCGGCGTGTTGTTGCGGCTACTGTTAGGGGGTTGGATGGGAGAAGGCTCGGGAGGGTGGTTTGTGGGGCTGTACATTGGACTAATATATTTAGATTTATGAAGTGTTAGTTTACGAGGTTCTAGGTCATGGTACTAGCAGTTGTTGGCTTAGAATGGGATTCAGCTGCATTAATGCTGATAGGGAGGTGGTTGTTGCGACCTGCGGGTGAGGTGCTCTATTCTTTCTTGATACAGGCCCATCCAGTGTTTTATGGGGTCTCCGAAGACGACATCGTGCATGATTTCGTTGGGGATTCGACAGGCTTCGATTTCATCTTTCTGGACGGCGTTTGCGCTGTGCGGGGATTTGAGAAGGGGGTCTTGCGATTGATGTCGCAGGAGGACTACGTTCCCAGCGAGGTGGAGTGTAGCTGGCGGCACACGCCAGATGGCGGGTTTGTTTTGTCTGCTGACGAAGGGATAGGTTCGACTTGTGCCAAGGGAGAACGGCGCGGGCGACAAGTAAAGGTTCAACAATGAGGTGACATAGGATTTCTCGGCCCGGGGCACGGGATCGCCTTCGTTAATGAACGCATAGAACATCGACTCTAGTGATGCCGGGGACTTCGTTGGAAACAGAGGTCTGATAGAAACTGGCGGTGCGCCGAATGTCACGCAATGGATGCTTCCGAAGAAACTAGCCAAGTGCTTCAGTTCAGACGACACGCTCGTTGAGAGCAAATGGCAGTACAGCAGACTGGCCACTGCGCCGCCGGCAGAATGGCCCGTCAGGATCAGCGAATATGACGCGCGATTGGGATCTTCGGTTAGCAGATCACGGAGATAAGCTGCGACGGAAGGGACCATTCTCTGTGCCACGGTGAGGAATCCTGCGTGGCACAGGTTGTCGGGGTCGTCGAGGAAGTTCTGTGGGGCTGTTGGCAGCGTTTTCATGTTCACGGCCCAGTCGCGGAAGCTTTGGGTTCCTCGGATTGCGAGGACGATGCTCTTGAGATCGTCTGATGCGAGTGGCTTGATTACCATTGCCTTCGTTCCCTGACGGATGTTGGCGCTCACGTAGGGGTTGGTCGTGGTGAGCTCTGCAGGCTTTTTGTAAGCTGAGCTGGAGTACTGGGCAGCTAGGCGGATGAGAGCATATGTTTGCGGTAGTCTATATTGTGAGTTTAGATCCACATGGATAGTCAAATAGAGTATATGGTTGATGCGTACATATGCACTGGAGGAAGGTGAGCCGGGAGCCGGGAGTTGTGGTACAGATAGGTCTTCGAGAAGAAACTGGGGCCCGTTGATGTCGCTTTCACCTCTCTCTCCGTCCCTGTCTTCGTGTATGAGACCTCGTCACCGTATACCGTGACTAGATATGCATGTTATTATGCATGGGCGATAAAAAAACAGACCAGACACCAATCGTCACCAGATGATGAAGGGAAAACATACCCATATCTTCCTTATCTCTGAACAATCCCTCGTCCATCGAGGTTATCATATGATCCAACTTCTTCAGCATGGTCCCATAAAGATCCACACTCGAATGCGTCACATTCGTCACATACTCGCGCATCTGTTGCTCAAGATTTATGACAGAGCTCCGCGCCTTTAATTTTGAATCGCTGGCCTTAGCCACAGTATGAGAGATTGCATTAGAGAGATCCGCATAGGACCCATATTTTGCGAGCGAGCGTCTGGCTTTTTGTTTCCGCGAGTTTGAATCCTGAATTCCATATTGGCTAGAGGGTTCGGTGGACGACCCTTCTGTGACAAGGGTCGTCCCGGAAAGACTGAGCGATGTGGTTGTGTTGTTGTCGTGACTATATATTGTTGATACCGTGGACAGAGAATGAACAGTAGACGCTGCCGTTGGGATGGTGTACAGCGAGGTGGAGCGTGTGTGCCCTACAGACGATGCTCCTTGAGCTGGTTGTAGTTTCTCTTTGCGACGTCTGAACCCCATCTTGACAGCTATGTCTTCCTCTTCATGTTATAGGCGTGGTGTGGTTGGTAATTACGCGAGTCTGGGCAAGACTGGAGAGCACATCAAGGATGAATCCACGGAAACTGGATCAGGGATCAGAAATTAAGCCTTAAAGACGGAGCTTTATGTTGTCGGTTAGCGGGGGACTTTTGATCTGCAGCTCCGCCTCGTCGCTGGAGAGTGGGGGCCAAGATTTCACTGTTTAAGGGCGCTTGCTGTGTACTACTAGTAGTAGGCTAAGGGCTGTCTTTTATAATCATCCTGTGATCAGTGCTGACAGTGTCAGGTGATCCCCTTGGTCTCCAGGTGGTTTACTCCAAGCTGTTATTGCCGCTATCATGCAGGGTCATCGGCGAGACCCGGTCGGTCGAGAATATATAGTGACTTTCTCTCCCACGGTCTGTATGTGCTTCGTTGGCGTACCAGCAAGGGTGCTGTCTCACCGCTGGCCTGTCTTTTCTGCTTTCTGCTTTCTCCTTGTTCTAGTCATTGCTGCTGGTGCGAAAGCTAGTATAGACTCAACCTACTGGGGATATCCCCCCATGATGCTACATCAGAATATACAATTTCATCACCACGTCCGTCGGGTCTTCGTCCACATTCGGACAAAATCTTTCTTCTCCGAAACCCCCAATCCAACCCGCTTGACCCTCCCCAAACGCGCTAGCGAATCTGCCACATCGTCCAACAGGGCCTTCTCGGCCCGTGTCAACTCCGCATCCTCCGTGTCCAGGGACCAATATGCACTATCCTTATCCAGTGTATCCAAATAGTTGGTATCATACGTAGACTTTCGGGTAGTGGGACCGCCCTCTCCATCAACTCCACTCACCACCCCCTCGGCAATGCGTACCCGGATACAGTGCGTGGGTTTACTGAGCAGCGTCCACAAGAAACTCACATAACTTCCGGGAAGTGGCGTCACAACATCAGCCGGGGTATACCGTAAGCTAACCGGGTAGATCTTAGTCTTGGGGGCCACGCTCAGCAGCGACGGACTGGGAGGCAGGATGCCCCGGGCGTGGTGGTCGTGCATTCGGGGAACGTGACGATAGGTCGCCCGGGATATTTCTTAACTAAGGTCGCCAGATCTACCAAGCGCGCTTTCGGGGGCGGGCTGGTGTGTGGAGTGGCAAATGCGCGCAGAATTGCTTGGAAGAGAGATATCTGTTCGACCTTTCGCGAGTTCGGGTAGGAAGCGGTGAAGACCGGGTCGAATATGGCAGCCAGGTAGACTGCGTCGATGGGAGATGTAAACGAGGAGGCAATGACGGAACCCGGGCCTGGAAGACGCGCTTGGTGTTGCTTCGATAAGGATCTGTGTTCGGCTCTTAGCCCTGTACTTTCGGTGACGTAGCCTGCAGGCGACTCACCCTTTCCTCACCCCGTCCACTTGAAGATCAATCCACCATATGCTCGGCACCCCGAGAATACACCACAAGGATGCCTTCTTCCCGAGCGATCCAATCGGAAGCCATTGTAGCACGAGGAAGTAGCTGACACAAACGAAGATAAACAGTGGAAGACGGAAAAAGAAGAGGAAGACGCGTAAAGGCAACTGAAAGCCGGCCGGTTGCGGTGGAATAGGAAGGAAAGGCGCAATTCCCGATCCTAGACGGTCCCACTAGTTAGCCTGAGCGATTACAGGGGCCAGTAATCTCACGAGATGCACACACCTCGATCTCGGAACTGAGTGAATTTCTCCATGTTTCAACGGCGGTGTTGTGTTGCGGTTACTGTGCTTTTCATGTGGCCATCCCCTGGACTGATGCACAGCTGCAATATGCGGTTGAAAGGGACTGACAGCAGGCGGCGCTGGCCAGAATCGGCTAGGGTCAAGTAATTGAGCCTCGCTGTCCTTATCGGATGTCGTGAGCGAGGCGGAGATTTCGACTTTCACATGTCGCCGAAGCCAAGCATTCCTCCGTTGCCTGAGGCAGCAATATACCGCTAACCGCATTGGGCCAGGGTTTCATGTCGACTCTACTTTTGATGGTGATACTACTAGTATACTTAGGAAACAAGCATCGTAAATTATGCATGACTCATATGGAGTTATTAATATGATAAAGAAACACCATCCCATCGCTTTTACCTCTCAGACACCACGATACCCCATTCATGCTCGGTCCGCCCATACATGATGTCGCTCAGCCAGCCCTTGATCTTACCAGTAACCTCACCGGGTCCGCCATCGGGTCCCGTAGGGATAGCGATAGCATGCTCTCGGTGCTGAATCGCCGAGACAGGGGTAATGAACCACTATATCAACATGAGCGCATGGACATTTATGACACCTAACTAGCGAAGAACAACTTACCGCTGTACCCGCAGCAAACGACTCTAGCAGTCGACCTTCCGTCTCGGCCTCGATTAGTTCACTGATGGTGTACTTGCGCTCAGTCACTTCAAACTCGTCACTTAGTCTTTCCTTTGCTAGATCCAAACAGCTGCGACGGGTAACGCCATCCAGAATGAGACGGTCATCTAACGGCGCAGTGATGATCTCCTTCTTGCCATCCTTGCGGCGCCAGATCACAAAGAAATTACTACCACCCGCCTCTGTGCACTCGCCCTGGTCTCCATATAGCCAGAGGATTTGGTGAAAGCCACGTTGCATAGCGTCTTGTGTAGCGAGTACTGACGGTCCATAATTCGCACCAACCTTGGCGTAGCCGAATCCACCTACCCAAGAACGCACCATGTCCTCTGGTGAAGTCAGAAGTCTCATTCCACCGGATGGTGTGTCTTGTCGAGGCATGTAGCTCAAGATGATGTACAGGATCGCCTGCTTGGACTTCACGAGACCGATAGTTGGCTGAGTGCCGATGAGTGTCGGTCTCAGATACAAAAAGCTTCCGGCTCTCTCCTTAGGGAGCCATTTAGCGCCGTCGACCTCGAGGAGGGCGTGGATGAGCTTTGTTATCTCGTCGGGATTGGCTTTTGGCAGGGAGATACGACTAGCAGACATATTCAAGCGGGCGGCGTTGCGATCTGGGCGGAAGACTCGGAGCTTACCGTCGTAGCCACGGTATACCTTGAGTCCCTCGAAGCACTCCGTAGCATAGTGTAAGCAGGAGGCTGTGGGCATGAGATTCAATGGACCGTAGGGTTTTAATTCCGGGGCTGACCAGCCTGTGGAGACTTTCCAGGTTGCGACGACCATGTGGTCAGTACAGATGGTTTCGTCCCCAGAATTGGCTGTTGCTTCATCAGGAACATCGCGAGGATTGGCAGTATAAGTATATGTCAGTTTGGAGGCGTCGAGGGGCTGGCCGGCCTGTTTCTCGGGGAAAGCAGGGGCATTCTGTGACTCAGTGGCGGAGGGAGCCATAATATGCGGTAGTAGTTAGCAGGGATGCTTGGGAGCTGTGCACTTGAGAAAGATAGACAATCTCCCATGTTGCAGCAGAACATATTTATAGCCCGTCATCCGACGCCAAGATGGCAGGATTTGACTATAATCCAGGATATCTTAGTTATCAGGTCACATACAACCAAGGCATATACGAATTGTGTAGATAGTATACGGACCCACATTTATGTGGGGACAAGGATGTAGGGCGTGAAAACACGCCCTCGAGAGACTTTGACCCACTTCCTCCATTCGGGGAGTTGCGAGCCCAGTCCGAAATGTGGAGTAAGGGAGTCATTAAGTTATCCTCCAATAACTATCCCGCGATAAAGCTAAGTAAGGTTTATCCAGGCCTCTCTTGGCCTTCAACTGGAAAGCTAGAGCATTTGGATGAAGAGCTCGTGAGAATGACTCATCGGAAGTGGCCAAGATGCGCGCAGGGCATACTTCGATAATCATTGATTATGGTCCTTTGGGGTTTAAGCTACACATAATGTGAGACGTCATACAATTAGCTGAGAGGTGTAGGGTCTGGCCAGATGACTATGTCTTAAGGAGTATGGGCAATAGATACGCTGTTTGGAAGAGGCCGGCTAATTGCAAATACAGCCTAGCGTCTGTTGCATTGAAAACGATTAGAGTGAGATGCGAATACGAGCTGGTCAGGTCGTGGATGAGCTCTGTTTTTCTCGGAAAGCAGCCAGCCACTGTGGGTGATCCGCAATGGTCTGGTTCCAGGGGTCCTCAGAATCAAACAGAAGACGACGTGCTTCCCGTTGGAACATCTCATCAGTAGGAACAATGCCGAGGCGTGTCTGCTCCTCTGCATAGTGGCTCAAGTGACGAGTCAGGACCTGCGTGTACGAATTCAGACCAGAGTCTTGCACTTGGAGTTGACCTAATAAATCAGGTAACTCCAACTTCTCTTGGTAATCGCCAATAGCATTGGTATCACTCTGAAAAGCGGCCCTTGACAACATCTGGGAGAAATGATCTTTAACGTGGCTATTAGTAGCGGAGAAGGGAACCATGGTTCGTGACTCGAGGTCAATCAAATAGGGTGGTACGGCATGGGTAACTTGGGCTGCAATCGAGTCGGGAAATCCATGATCTCCTTGCCAGTCAGCCATTGTTGAGCCATTACGAAAATGCAATGCTAGATGGTCGCATCTTTGAGACCACGTAATCATCTGTCGACCACAGAAGCCGCAACGAGAAGTAAAGTTGGTAGCTTCCACTTTCCAGTCGCTGATTATCGGAAGTGTATCAATGCGGTGAACAAGACGTAGATGTTGAACCAGGTGATCCTTACGTCGAAACTTGCGTTGTTGACCGTCACAAGCCCCATGATTGTGCTCCGTGAGATGCTCAGGCGTGGGATCCAGTATGCTACAATAGGCACAGTGTACTCGGCCTGTTGATGGCAACACCACCGTTCCACCAAACGGCGTGCATACCCAGGTTTCGAGATTCAAGTGAAGCGACTTCTCGTGTCGCATCCAGTCATACTTGCTCTTGAATCGATCGCAGCAAAATGTGCAGCAGAATATTCGTGGACTATCTTTTGTGGTTGATTTGTCTTTCTTTCCACGAGACTGCGTCTTCCGAACGCGATCATTCGTCTTCTTTCGGGAGGATTCGTGGCTACCGCTTGACCTTCCAGAGCGAGCTGACTGTCGCGAAGATGCACTCACACCACTCTCAGCACTAGTCGTCGAAGCAGCTCGAGATCCTGATTGACGGTATGTTTGGAAAGCGTCGACTGATCCAAGATCGGAGATGCCTTGCTGATGCTCAACTGCCGCGAAGCTTTCGTTTGCTAGCCGTTCGGACCACGAGTGCTGAACTGCATCTCTGATGGCAGATAACGGAGCAGGTTCGTCTTCTGGAGGTGATTCCTGCCAGCGCCTGAGGGGGTCTGGGGAGCGGATACTCGTCGGGACGAACATCGGCACAGCCTGTTTTTCATGCTTGTTGATCATGTACCTGCTCCTGCGGCGGGGGAGACTTCGCTGCCCTTCCAGAAAAGCTGCATTGCACGGCGCCTGTGGAGTTTGCAGTGAATATCTCTCGTTTCCAGTTGGAGCTGATAGTGAAGGAACATTAGAGAATGTAGCTGGATGGCGGTCACCATGGGCGTAGTCTTCTGTAAGCGAGCTGGTTTCGCCATTTGGTGGTACCTGCTGACTGATAGAGGTCCCATCGGTAAGATAAGACGCAGTGGGGTCAAAAGCGCTAGGAGTCGTATAATTCACGGTGTTCCCATCGATGAAGAATGGCTCTGCATTGGCAGAGATAAGATAGGATTCAGGTTCAGGCAACACATTTTCTGGAAGGGCAACAGAAGTATCAACGGCCCCAAATGGATTGTTGTTACCGGGAAGCCCCGATAAAGTAAAAAGATCAACCACTAGTAAGAATCCGTTAACTCAAGAATTAACGGTATGGCGCTAGACATACGATAGCTTGTATCTAGGGGGCCCAACGTTCCCACGGTTGACAAGGTCTGACTCGGTGATGGCGGTCTGTGGGGGAGGGAATGGTCCATAGTATCTCTGTGGGCCGTATATTAAAAGAGCTTAGATAGCCACCTGGTGGACTAATTAACTAACGGGATGTGCTGGCCCCCTGGTCCCAAGCGTGTTCGTACTAAAGGAGCAGTCCTTTCGCCACTAGAAGAAAAGTGGGCGGTGCGATTGATTATATAATTATTTCCTTTCCATTTCCGAACTAAACTATGATCTAAAGAAGGCAAACTTTTGGTCTATGTCTAAGCGCTAAATGGTCCAAATCTTCATTACTCGTGATTTTCTTCATCCCTTCATGAGGTAGTATATCCCTGCGCCGCTCTTTGGGCAAATTTGCTGTTTTCACGGATCCAACTCCCGTACTTGATGAACACAAACGGGATGATAGCCATCGCTATGGCAAAGAATCCCAATAGCGAGCTAGCCCAGTTGATGCCTAGCTTGGTGTACATGGGTGTAGTGGCCAAGGGAAGACACACGGCAAATATGGACCGTAATGTACTCGCCGCTGCGGACGCCGAAGCCGAGTACTGCTTATAAGCATCGGTCAGATAATTAAGGAGTGCGATGAAGATCAAAAGATAGCCGAATCCGAAGAAAACTCCGGACATCATGGGCATGACGGGATGAATGGAAGATCTTGACGACCAGCCGAGCCAGAAGAGCGCGATGGGAATTGCGGGCGATGCGATGCAAGCGAGTGGTAATCGGCGATACTCTTCCACTTTGGCCCATGCTAACCCGTTTTTCAAGGCCCTGGTGTGGTACGAGCTGTATAAACAGAAAAGCACAAATGCAAGGATTGACCCCGGCAAAACTGTATATCTTGTTAGGGTTCGCGCATTATGGAATATGTGACGTGGATGCAACATACTTGGAAGAAAGGCTAAACCTGCCACGCCTGGTGTCATCCCATATAGCCCTGGCGACAGACTGCAGTTAGCGACAATTTCTGAAAGGCTCGACCGTGGAGATGTATGTACCTTGGAAAACGATGGGGTATGCTTGGAAGAACAAATACAGGATGGAGTAGATCAAAGCCAAGTACATCGAACAACAGAATACAATCGGCTCTTGAACGATCATAGTGAAGGGACGACTGAGAACGACCCCAATGCTATCCGACAGTTTGGGTTCATACAAGTGAGGTTTGACTGCTTCCGAGTCAATTCGGCTTTGACCCAAAGCCTTTTCGTGTGCACGAGTTAAAACTGGCATGTACGTCTCAGGTATTACAAGTACGAGAGGAAAACCAACACCTCCGATGATGAAGCCTGCCCAGAATGTCCATCTCCAAGATACAGTGGAGACGAACCCCGAAATGATAGGTCCCAAGAGAGGCGGAAATGTCGTAGCGAACATGAATATCGACATCACCATTCCACGCTGGTGAGGATCGTTGTATATGTCGGAGAATAGGCCACCAAGCACCGCATTCGGCGCTGAGCTCCCAAACCACAAAGGAAACGGAAGATCAGAAGAGCTGGGAAAGTTGGGGCCAATGCACATGCCATGGTAAAGAGGTTATATATGGCAAAGGTGGTAACCAAGATAGGTTTCCGGCCAAAGCGCTCGCTCAAAGGACCAAATATGAGAGGCCCGATGGCAAACCCAGCCATGTAGAGTGAAGTGGGGAGCACCATCTTCAAGTCGTCTTGTGGGATACTAAAATAGTCGGCAATAGCATCATGTGCACCCGATGGCAGGGAAGAACCTAGGGAGCTGTTGAAGACGAAGTATATCCCTGCAACGACGATGTGAACTTTGCGAGCCTTAAAGCACGGCACGAGTTAATTTACTGTCTCCTTGTAGAACCGATCTGAAACCCGAATTGTGAAATTACGAGGCTTGGGCTAGAAGAAAACCTATGACTTACCAGAGAAAAGTCAAACGGACGCACCATACTCTTCCGTGAGACTGAAGGTCTCAAAGGGTTCTTTGGAGAGACCTCTGGACTATCGCAAGTCTTGCGCAACTCAGAATCCGGTTGGGAGCCCATATTGCATCTAAACCTGACCACCTCGTCTTTGGAAGTTGTTTTAGGCTCTATTCCCTATTTTATTTCTCAGGAGCCTGAAAAAAAACGGGTGGAGAACTCGGCCTTCGTTCCGAGTTCGCTGGGACCGCTAGAGAGACAGGAGTCACAGGGACATGGTGGACTAATAGTATTCAGCAATTATGACACCATAAATAACATCTCAATTGCTTATAAATACAGGACTTAATATGTCCATGTAGAATTTTCATTGGTAGGGCTCGAGTTGCTTCTACTTATTGGCTATGATCTACGGGCTACACGTTCAAGAAGGATGATTACTTGGAAGAATACTTGGAAGAATACCTAGAAGAAACTCTAGGAGGGCCGGAAAAAAGAATAAAGAAAAAGAGCTTTTTTTCCCTTAGTGAGATAGTCAGACCCATCGAATTAATAATGTAAAAGGTATAGCGTAGGGCGCAAAAATTAAGAGTCTGCTTCTTTGTCCACGCCCTACGTTATACCTGACGCGGTCACTGGTTCAGCAAACCCTGACCTTCTCCACTATCGGCACCGAGTGGAGTCAACCATCAACTTCTCGGTAAAGGCTCAACTTGCCGGGTCTAAGTACCCGGGTCTAAGACTCTAGGTATCCGGTCCGAGTCTGGCATATTGTCCACCGCGAATTCTCGTCCAGTATATAATTCCTCGACCAATGACAACTAATACTCACTGAAACTAGCGCGTGGGTCGTTTGATACGTTCTCCTCTAGGGGGCCGATATTCATGCATACCCCATGGGCCATGGCTTCAAGGCAGGCGAGGAACTACCTCAGGTACATACATACGCCAGCTAGAGCGAGAACTTCGAGGGTCCCATTGGCATATGAGTTACACACTCCGAAACACTCCAACCGTATACAATCAGATTTAACCAATCGAAACCCTATAATATTCCTACATGGATTCCTCGGGTCCAAGCGCGAAAACAGGGGTGTAGGCAAGTATGTCTCTCTATCGTAAACAGTTGCCTTCCGACCACTTCAGTGTAGCGCTGACAATCTTCTCGTGAAGGATATTGGCCCACGATCTCTCGCGGCAAGTCTTCTGCCTGGTATGTTTATCTTTCAAGCAACGCCTGGTGCATGAGCGATTGACGGATATCTAGGATCTTCGGAACCATGGCGATTCCGGTCATCACCCGAAACATGACTATACGGAAATGGCAATAGACGTTAAGCACTTCATCACAACCCATGGACTGAATAATGCAACATTGATCGGTCACTCAATGTAAGGAACCAACCTCGGCAGGTTGCCTTATTCATGCATACCAAGCACATATTAATTCTCGTCTATAGGGGGGCCAAAACCGCCTTAACGCTTGCACTTCAGTCCCCAGATCTGATATCCAAGGTCATCGCTATCGACAACTGTCCCATCCACCTAGACCTAACAGAAGAGTTTCCGAGGTATCTTAGGGCTATGGAAGAAGTAGAGGACGCACGAGTCAAAAGCCATCAAGAAGGGGACAAGATCTTGAGCAGATATGAGGAGGTATGCACTGCGCTCGTTTTGTTCCTCCGAAACGAGCTTCTTTCTAACAATTGCACCTAGTCCCCGTCCGTGAGGTTATGGTTACTGAGTAATTTTGTTCGAGAACGTGACTCCCCACATCTGAAGCTCCGTGTTCCTTTAGATGTCCTGACGACTGCCATCGGTCCGTTGGGGGATTTTCCACACAAGGACAAACCTGTTCAGTTCCCCAAACCCGCGTTGTTCCTTCGAGCCCTGCAGAGTCATTATATACCGGAGAGTTCGTTCCCCATTATTTCGTCTTTCTTCCCTCAGTCGCGCATTGTAAATATAGATTGTGGACACTGGATTGTTCAGGAACGGCCTGAGGAATTCAGAAAGGGTAAGTTGATACCTTGCGGCTCTTATGTGTAGGAACTGCTAACTTTAAGATAGCTGTTGTCCAGTTCTTGCAGGATAAAGACCGAGTTGATTAGCCTGTGAATTGCGATACGAGATTAGCTTCTGATATCCATCTGTTTTCGTCGATACACTTGTCATGCTCTTGATTCAACAACTAATACTATAAGCTTTCAATAATACTATACTTGGGTAGGGTTGTCTATACGTATTACTTATATCTACCATACAAACTCACATAATTTGTTTCCATCTTCTTGCCCATTCACTCATCCAGCCAAGAATAACCCTGTTGTTCTAACCACGAAATGTTGAAGCTTCAAACGGAAAAAGTTCCTCTCTCTAGCTCCAGTTAAACTCTGGCTTAAGCAGCGACCTTCTTGTCCTCCACACTTTCCCCTCCAGAGTCTCCTTTAGCCCCCTGCTTAGTCGTTTCCACTGTCAGTGTTGCTGAGTGTGTCCCCACATCCTGCGGTGCTTCTTGCCCGTTCAAACTCCCTTCGCACTTCCCCTCCTCAAAAGCCTGCTGACCATCTCTTTCTTTAGGCGGAAGGTTCTTCTTCACACTGCACCACTCCATACCAAAAGCGCCCAACACAGAAAGACAGGCCATAATAAGACCGACCTGAAAACACGTGCGCAGAGAGTCGTTATAGGCCTCCCTAGTCATGGCGAGATTCTCAGCTGGGACGCGATTAAGGAACTCGGTGGCGCCCGTACTCTGGATTAGCTGAGGACTGATGCCCGAGATGTCGGCAAGGCGGTGTGCTAACTGGTTGAAGAGTACATTCTGGCCAACCGAGGCGAAAACGGAGCCGAAGAGCTGCTGACCGAAGAACATGAGAGATGCGCCGATGGCCACGTCCTTGCGCGATAGCACCGTCTGTGCGGCCAGGTTGGGTGCCTGGGAGCAGGAGCCAATGCCGAAGCCGTATATGATCTGGAAGCCGATCCATTTCCCCTCAGATGTGTTTATTCCGAGGGTAGTGAGTAACCCAGTGCCGATCGCTGTGAGGCATACGCCGAAGATCATGAAGGGCGTGTAATATCCGATGCGGGAGACTAGTTGGCCGGTGATTATGGATGCCACAACAACGGGCATTAACATGGGAAGCAGGTGGATACCGCTGTCGACAGCCGAGACACCTTTAATGGCCTGAAACCATATCGGAAGATAGTATACTGGCATCTCTGGGGTTAGAATGCCACCATGTTCTTCGTTCAAAAATATCGGCTTACCGAAGAGATTCATGTGTGCACCGAGGCAAGAGCTCGCCCAGAATCCGGACACGATGCTGCGCTGGATGAAGATGCGCGGTGGTAGTATGGCCTGTTCTGGCTTCCAGACCTGGATCAGGACAAAGGCAATCAGAAGCACAAAGGCAAGTACAAGTAACGCTATAATGCGCCGTTCACTCCACTAGATGTGGTCAGTTCTACTGGGTCGAGGCAGGGAGGCATTATGAACAGACACTCACAGCATATATGGTACCACCCCACTGTAAAGCCAAACACAGGCAGATAACTCCTGGAAGGAGGGCGAACATACCCAAGACATTGAGCTGCCGCAGTTTGTCTTTCAAAGGTATCCTTAGGTCCGGACGGTCAGGCACTTGGAGCAAGAGGGAAACTAGTACTAGAACCACGCCTCCCAAGGGGAGGTTGATATAAAAGCACCACCTCCAGGTTACGTTTGTAGTGAAAGCACCGCCGACTAGAGGACCGGTCACAGAAGAGATAGCAAATACAGCACCAAATATTCCCTGGTACTTCGGCCGTTTATGCAGCGGAACAGCGTGGACAATGACGACGATCTAGGTTCCGTCGAGTGAGCAAGCCAGTGAAAACTAACGGGATATCTTATACAAAAACTTACGACACCAGAGAGAATGCCTCCCCCTCCCAGGCCTGCGATGGCCCTGCCAAGTATGAAAGCGACCGAGTTTGGTGCGGCGCCGCAGAGGGCCGAACCAGCTTCGAACAGAAGGATGGATGTTACAAAGATGGGTTTGACATTGAAGACGGTGTATATCTTTCCAAAAACTAGCTGGAAGGCACAGTTGGTGAGTAAGTACGCTGTGCCATACCAGCCAATATCTCTCGCCGAGTTAAACTCATTGGTGATCTGGGGAATAGCGGTAGAGACAATAAGGCGGTCCTAAGATAGTCAGCCTACAGGTCCAGAGAAAACTTGTACTTTGGGAATGCTAAATCACCAGAGAAACTAGGAACATGCCAACAAAAATGGACATCAACAATAGGGCAAGCTTGAGACCCGCGGGATAGGCGATGTCTTCTGTGTTGCACTTGCCATCCTCCCGACTAATGGGAGGCTGCTGCTCGCCGTTTGGTGAAGATCGAGCATGATAGACATGGAATAGGTTAGGCATGACAGAAAACTTATTTAGTGGTCTGGTGGGTGAGAATTTAAAGGGCATGAGAATGTTGCTTCGCTATGCCGATATGGATTCGCTTCTCGGGGCACAGACTTTGTATTTTCGCCTCCGAGCCCCGAGAAAGTCAATCTTCTCTATCACCACCACCACCACCACCACCCTTGGGGTTTCTCGAATGCCTTTAAGCGCGACGTAAATGATGAAAAGATCCTCAGTACCAGGCAACCTTGAGCCAGGTAATAGTCTCAAGAGCTACTCATGCTTGGCTTGTCGGCAGCGCAAGGTTAAATGCGACCGGTGCACTCCCTGCTCTAATTGCGTCAAGGCAGAGAAACAATGCAGCTTTATTCCTCCTATGCGAGGGAAGCGAAAACGAACAAAGCCTCACAGAGAAGGTCTCCATGCCAAACTGAAACGCTATGAGGAATTGTTGAAATCATATGGCGTAGAGTTTGAGCCATCGGGAGATTTTGATGCCTCAAGGTCAGAAACGGCATCTCAGTCTGATGTTCAGGTGGATGAGGACGCTGTCCCTCCAAGCCAACGCTCCAACCTTGAAGAGACTAAACCAAGGCTCATAATTGATAAGGGCACATCTAGATATTTTGATTGGTATGTCTGATACTACTTTTGGTTGTAAAGTAATGGCTACTGAATTGTATTAGTGCTCCGTGGTCTAACCTAGGAAATGGAGTATGTTTTCACTTGGCCTTTCCCATTTCTTTCTCTGACCAGATTACTAGCTTCACCATCCGGAAGTTGGTGAGCCAACTGATGAGTCAAACATTCAGGACAATGAGATGTTCTTCGAACCTGAACAAATTGATAAGCCCGAGAACCTCGCAAACTTTCACCTCTCGCTCCAGACGTTTCCAAAGTTAAAGGAAATCTACCTTGATCGAGTTGACCCTATGATAAAAATCTTACATTTTCCTACTTTCTGGACTGCAGCAATCGACGGGCTGAGAGATCCCCAAAACATGTCCACAGACTTGGAGGCTGTGATATTTGCTTTCTACCTTGCGACAATCTCTACTCTGAAAGAAGATGAGTGCCAAAATCTATTTGGGGCAGGGAAATCAGTCATGTACTCTCGCTATAGACTTGCGGCTCGACAAGCTTTAATGAATGCAGAGTTCTTATCGACGTCCAGTCCGATAACTCTTCGAGCATATGCATTGTTCATGGTGAGTTGCCGTTACCAAGTTTTATTTAATATTCAGCTCACAACAGGAAGACATGTGTAAGAAAGAGCTACAAATGTGACACCCTATTCGTCTTATCAGGCGTTGCCATACGGCTTGCGCGCAAAATGGGGCTCCATCGGGATAGTTCAGCTCTAGGACTGTCTCCATTCGAAACAGAGATGCGAAGGCGACTTTGGTGGCATTTAGCTTATGTGGACTTTCGCCTGGCAGATGTGCTGGGCACGAAACCGTCGCTGGATATTTCCTGCAGTGATAACCCAATGCCCCTGAATGTCGAGGACGAGGACCTCGACCCGGATATGGTCAATCCACCACTGGAACGCCACGGTATCACCACTAATACTCCTTGCTTGATCAAATACGAGTTTATGGAGAGTTTGCGTAAGTTTTCAACATCGTGTCCCAGTGAATTGCGCTGGGAGGCAATCTCCAGCCCGGATATCACGATCATGGAAAAGGACAGCATGATTAGTCACATTGAGGATCGACTGGAAATGAAGTATCTACGGTATTGTGACCCGTCTGACTCGCTTCATACTTTCGTATCAGTCATGGTCAGGACCTCAATATGCAAAATGAAGCTCCTAGCGCATAACCCACGACAATTCGCCAACAATCCCATCAAAGTTTCCCAAAACGATCGCAACATATTCTTTGCCAACGCTATGAAGTTATTAGATTATATCATATTTATGCAGGAAGGATCCCATGGCCTGGAAAAATATACGTGGCATCTTGGCACGAGCGTTCTCTGGAATGTGATACTCTACGTGCTCATCGAAGTTCGGCACCGAAAAACAGGGTCTGACGTTGATAAGGCATGGAGACTGATAGGAACGGTATTCTCATATTACCCTCAAGTGTTTGAAGAATCCACGGGTCCTGTATATACGGCACTAGGCAAGTGGACGTTGGAGGTTTGGGACGACTACGTTGCGGCCTTGAAGGCAGCCAGCCTTCCGGAACCATGGGCACCCGACTATATCAATGCAATCGGTCGCTGCCGACGACCAGCAATAGAGTCGCCATCCAAAGCCAAGGTTCGAGCGGTGGAATCTGAACCTACCACTCGGGAAACGTGTGACCCAGACAGAATTCAATCTCCGAGCCACGAAGGCAATCTCGATGAGGAAACTCTCGACTTCTATAACTTCCCTAGCCTCCTGTCTTTCGAGATGGACCCGAACGAATGGGTCCAGTGGGAGCAGTTAGTTGCAGAGCAGGGCAACTTCGCTCAAGGTAATAGCATGTAATACTCTAGGGTTGAACGCGATCCAGGAATGGTGAGCATTATCATTGAGAGCTTCGAAAATCATGATTTCATTAGTGTAACTCTATGCACTTCTGAAGGTTGTTGTGGGAGTAATTTCATCTCGTTTTGGGGGTCATCTCATACTTCCAAATGTTGTTAAGACTCTCAATTTTAGAGTTTAACTGCCTCATTCGGTAAGCGTGTCGGGAACCTGATCCGGAATAGTTGTTTTCTTCTCCAACCGAATATATATCACAGTCGAGACCAAGGCCGTTCTAGTTCATCCCATCAGTCCTATATTATACTTCAATATGTCCTCCATACCAACCCAAAATATCTACGATGACCCAAAATTCTTCAAGGCATACAGCACACTTCCCCGATCCCAACATGGCTTCGACGCAGCCCCCGAATGGCCGGTGTTGCAAGAGATGGTCTTGGAGAACAACAAACCAGGACATCCTGGCATTGAGAACGAACATGTTCTGGATCTAGGTTGCGGTTACGGTTGGTTCACCCGCTGGGCTCGAGAAAATGGAGCCAAACACGTCAAAGGCATGGATGTATCGACAAAGATGATCGAGAGGGCTAAAGAGTCCGAGAAGGACCTGCAAGCAAAAGAAAATATTCCACCTTCTTATGGGACACTAAGTTATGAAGTCGGCGATCTTGAGACGATATCCTTCAGCGCATCTGAAGCAGACGTATATGACCTAGTCTACAGTTCGTTGACATTCCATTATATCGAAGATTTCTCAAGATTGCTTCGGCAAATCCGACTTTGTTTGAAGAAAGGTGTCCCAGCGGATGGTTCTAGGAAAGGAGGAAGACTGGTCTTTTCAGTGGAACATCCAATCTGTACAGCCCCAGTTAATCCAGAACCTGACTGGAAGGTTCTACCAAACGAGGATAGCGATGGAGTGGATAGAAAGATTTGGCCTTTAAATTCCTACAGTGAGGAGGGTCCGCGTGTGACAAGCTGGCTGGGTGTGGATGGGGTCAGAAAGTATCATCGAACTGTGGAGACGTATGTTACTGCGTTGCTCAAGAATGGCTTCGTCTTGACTGGATTGAGGGATTGGGTTCCTTCGAAGTATGACGTTGAGGAGCATCCCGAATGGAAGGATGAAAGGCATCGGCCGTATTTTCTGCTCATCTCTGCTGAGGTTCATTCGGATTATTAAAGATGGATGGATTTCCTCATATGTATATACCTTTTGGATACCCATCGAAATGCTCAATGAGTTTCACTCCATCTTTGGCTCAATGTTCATATGAAGGACGATCCCGATGATAATATTAATATACGTGGTTGTGGTCACGACTGTTGATCTTGCACACAAGAAGGCTAATATCAGAGATACGATGGTGCAAGAGGTCCGGGAAAGGGATGACGATTGTCGTGGCGCACCGTCTAAGTACGCTCCAGCACGCGGACTTTATCTGCGTGTTGGAGGTAGGAAGGTTAGTTGAGGTAGGGAATCACCGGGAGTTGATGAGAAAAGAAGGCGTGTATGCCGGGATGGTGGAGATGCAGAATCGAGGAACAGTAATTTAGTAGGAGGTGTGGGTTGATTTGGTATGGATCTTTAACTATTCTAATGTTGCTCGGATCTTCGAAAAGTCATTTTCAACATTGGTGTGAAGCACTGTTGTCGTTGTACAGGTGTATATGCAGCTTAGTCCGCATTCTCTTTCTCCATGTCTAGACGAGTCATAAATGTACAAGTACAGAAAACCCATTTTCTTTAGGTACGAAGAGCACCAGCAAGAGAGCTCTGATACAGAACCCATAATCAGTCCTTGGGAGGCCTGTTGGCATTGATGTTGTTTAAAATCTCCCCTGCACCAGCATTGACCATTCTTGACGCGAGTTCTTTTCCGAGCGCTGTAGCTTCATCGGCAGTTTGGACTCTCAAGGCAATGGTGTCCTCGACACTCTCGGTACCGTCCAAACTAACAACGATAGCGTGCATGCTTAACTCTTCAGAAGACATCCACTTTGTTTCCACCCCAATGGGGACACTACATCCACCTTCAAGGGTTCTCATAAGAGCCCTCTCGGCGAGGCAAGCAAGAGTGGAATTTTGGTCAGCTAGTTGGCCCAGCAACTCCTGCATCTTACGGTCTCCCTTGCGAATTTCCAAACCTAGAGCGCCTTGTCCGACGGCATGGAGAATGCCCCCATCCTTAGAGCCCAGATACTGGTTGATCCGATACTCGAGGCCTACCCGCTGAAGGCCTGCAGCAGACATTACCATACAGGTGTACTCACTATCCGGGTCGTCCACCTTAGCGAGACGAGTCTCTACATTGCCGCGGAGATTGGCAAAGCGGAGATGGGGATAGAGACGGCGAAGCTGTGCTGAGCGCCGGACGGATGAAGTGCCTACCACAGCGCCCTCAGGGAGGCTCTGCAAGTTCGTGTAAGGCAGGCCGGCCTTCACAATCAAGGCGTCCCGAGGATCATCACGGGGCGGAATAGCTGCGAGCTCACAGAAGTCGGGAAGGCTCGTCGGCATGTCTAACCCCGGTCAACAGTTGGCCTTTGGTCTGCGACTTGAGCATAATGGCGAAGGAGGGAAAAGGATAGTCACCTTTCAGACAGTGCACAATGACATCTACTTCGCCGGATTTGAGCTTTTCCTCCAGCTCTGTAGTCCAGAGATTCTTGGCGCCAAAGTTATACAGCGCCGTTAACTGGTCTCGATCACCCTGTGTGCGGAGGGCTTGAATCTCATACGATCGATCCGGGGCAATCTTTTGCAGGCAATCCCGGATGCTCTCCGCCTGGACCATGGCCAGGTTGGATCGTCGGGTGCCGATCCGGAGTGGCGGCTGAGGTGTCGGAGATGTTTCCATTTTATATTACCGGACGATAAAGGGGAGGGTAAGAGAAAGGACAAGCAGGGGAGAAAGAGAAGGAGGGGTTTCTACCAAGGCCGTAATCAAGATTGTGGACCCTGACACCACTTCGGAGTAGTCAAGCTCTCGCAAACATCCGAGGTGGGCCATTATGCCGCCGCGTTCCAACGGAGCATTGCCGCTGGTACTGTGTAATGGCAATAATAATAATGATGAGTGGCGGGAGTATTTAGTCGGTGGGCCTTTGGCGAGATTCGCATCTCACTTAATGTTTTCTAATCATTTAGGCGAAGGGGCGGAAACGACCGCCATCATGGAGAGTGGAGTTAGGGTTGCATCCGGAGAGTAACCTATACCTTCCAACTTTCAATAAGAGCTCTCCTAGTGTTCGTCTAGGAGATGGATGCTACAAGCTTCAAAGCAAGAAGAATTTCTCCATTAGTTTATCTTTGGGTAACCCATCCTGATTAACCGTAAAGCTTTTGATAGACATCTCTGGGCAGCGAACTTATTGTAGCTACTAATGTTTGTCCCACAAGGATATTACTTCTGGGCGGAGCTGTTCCCTATCACCACAAATCATGCTATAGATTCGATTTTAGTATGGCAGATTCGTTTCACGTATCCATGAATTGGCCTCAGGTGGCTAGACAGGTCAAATATTTCCCGGGCCATAGCAACCGGGGGATCGCAACTCACATCCGAGAGACACATAGATGAACTTGCGGAATAGACGCAGATAACGAGTGGCGAAAATAAAAGTCACGACAGTCGTACACCTAGCAGTGGTTGTTCATCATTTCCAACAATGACAATTTAACGAGCGTTCATGCTTTAGGACACGCAAATGTCCTAAGCTGAAGAAAGGTTGAGAAATGTACATCACAATGGTCTCAGTATTATCAACCGTCCGGACAGTTCACTTGCGTCTATACATAAGCCGCGATGAGCCGGGTATGGAATGACTGTTATCTTCTTGACACAGTTCCATTGAAATGATACTAATTCTTTTTGACTGTCATCCAGCCTCTGAATTATTCGATCTAGGATCTCTTCCGGTCTCAAACCATTCGTCATGATGTCACCATAACAACGTGTAAATAGAACTTGTATGTGCCTGTCCACATATTCTTAAGTGGCCAATTTGGCAAGGAAATCTTCAAGAGACAGGTCATATTGAACAATCTGCGCAAGCAGTGGTTTGCCGTCAAGCTGCTCAATAACAAACCGGAGTGGTGTCTGAGACATGCTCCTATTCAGAGTGATTGATGACTTTTTGTACAGATTGGGGGCTCTCAAGCATTGCAGCTGTTCCTTCTCTCTCTCTCTCCCCTATGTTGACTCTAAATTGGATAGAAGAGCACCTGCGTTCTCAGTTGCGAACTGTCGCACTTGTGCTTTGTGTCACAGCCACGAGGATCTGCTGTGTGATGTGCCAAGCAGAGGTACGAACATGAATAGTTGTATATAACCATTTATATCAGCCTTGGGTCTTGCTTGCTTGGATCCTTATTATCGCAGTGGCTCATGCTCAGAAGAATTCACCTTTCTTAGTCTCTCTTCCTGTTTCGTCTCTCTGTTCTTGTTGGTCTAAGTTATGATACTCTTGTAAAAATAATATGTGGACATATAACATGTCCTTTCCAGATCACCCTGCCATTCATACAAGGCTTGGACTCTTGGAAAAAGCCCATGGCCGTTGCTGACCAACCAAAAAATTTGCATTTTTGACGATGGGCAGATCTGCAGTGATAGGGATTCGGGTAAGCATGCGGAGAGTATATAGGCAAAGCAACACAGTAATGTCATGAGAGATGACCACGAGATACGCTAGGCCAGCGAAACTGACACGGAGGATAATAAGAGCAAGGCGAGGTAGGACGTGAGCGAAGACGAGTAGTAAAGGCAAGCTGAGAGGAGGTAGATTGGAACAGATGAAAAGTAAAAGTACCACAATATATAGTATCAGCATTGTGAGGAGTGCAAATGGGTAGAAATGCCAGGTAGAAACTGGTAGGAAGGTCATTCGAGGGTAAGTTAAGAATCAATAGTATATATATACCGGACGAAGCGGAAGGCTCTGGTAATACTTATATATACATAATCTGTGCAGCTGATCTCAAGATGTACAAAGACAGTGAATGACAGGTATAGTCCTTTGTTTAGCCCCACAAAATCCTAGACTGGATGCTGATGTTGGTGGTGGGAGATTCCCTTACATTTACGAGAAGCACTGCAAGATTAGAAGGGTGGTAAATAGACAAATGCATCTCAGTGGCAGTACAATTTCTAGCACTAGAAGGAATAGCAAAGACTACAGTCCAACGAGACTTTTTGGAGCGATATCTGAAAATATTTCCAGCACGAACAGCATTGAAAATAAATGCAAAATGTACAATGTCTAGACTCATACATACATCCGGTTGTAGGGACCTGCCTATGTCATGGGGTAGTTGGACAGTTAATAATATCAAACAAAAGTTAACAAATCACAACAACTATTCGTCCAGCGGGCTACTCCAGCCTACCCCGGGGTATCCCGCTTCTCCAAATAGAGTGCTCCGCGCTTGCACCGTGGCAGAAACCTCCAGGAGGAATTCGTAGAGTATGACCACGTTGGTTAAGACATGCCCCAGTGTCGCTGACCGCGGCTTCTCATCAGCAATCGCACTCTCAGCCTCTTCTTCTGCCACGGCATCTGCCATCTGATCGGGTTCTTCACCAGTCACTGTTGCTTTGTGTGGATGGTCCACTTGGAATGGCTTCGCCAGTCGCTTTCGAAGCTCCTCCGCTGCGGTCGTCCGAGGCGAGGAAGACTCCGAGAATCGGGAGAGCGAACTGAGGATCCACGAAGCGGTGAGCTCACGGCGGCCTGTCGGGAAGATGGTGTGCCCGGAGGGTCCTGCACAAGGGAGGACCTCCCTCGGGGTGACCCAATGTCGGAGTCCATGGGCATCTTCAGTGGTCGTCGTTCAGAAGGGGGACGCGTTAATGCTTCGAATGGTTGCTGAAGGCGGCCAGTGTCTTTCGTAGGATCGTCCTGATGGAGTAGGTCCCGCCGAGCCGCAACTAGAATGTCAAAATCTGGCACATCCTTCCGCCATTGCTGGATTTGCCGCACAAGCTTTTGCAGTGCGGATGTGAGCGTTGGTGTCTTGGAGCTCGACAATGAGGGTTCTTGATAGGCTAGCTTTATTTGATCTAGGATTTCCATAGGTCCATCCTGAGCTGTAGTCGGGCCATCGTATATGTATTTAGATGGGTCCACAAGGAGCCAGCTGTCAAGGGATATAAGGTGTGAAGATGCGATACTCATGAGAACCTCTGTTAATGCTAGGTTGACGATGACGCTATTAGTAAAGAATGTCTCCATACAGTTCAATAATTCCTGAATAATAGGGTCCTCCTGGCGAATCTCTAGAGGACGGTCATCTTCCAGGCCAGTTTCAGCCGGTGGGATATACAAATGTGATTCTAAAATAAATGAAGCATCCTTGAGGTAGTCATCAAAGGAGTCATTCAGCGTGGGGTCATCCACAATTGACATGGCCATTCCCGTGAGCTGCTCCAGTTCTGCATTCAATTGCCCCACGGTTCGTTGCCCAGCATATTGACCAGGAACCGTTCGAATCAATGATCGAGCAAAAGTATGATGCCGTTGGAGGATGACCGCCATCAGCCGTAGCGTTGCCAGAACAGTCTGCCGATTAGCAGATTGCATCCCTAGGAGAGCAAGGTCTCTCAGGTTAAATAGTGAAGGTGACGGTTTCGCAGCTTCCTCCGAGAAAGCTGCTAGAACATCCAGGGACTTGCGCCGGCTTACTGACATGTTCACTTTCAAAGTGGGTGAAGTTTCCATGTCGGAAGGCGAGGCTAGTAAGAAGTGAAGAATCCGATGAACCAGATCATCCTGGTTGATCGACTCGAGAATGCGATACAAGTAGGTAAGCACGGCAGCGGTAGAACCACCTTCAACATCCGAGGACTCGAGCAGTGATGGGTATCTGTTTACACAGAAGGATCATATCAGCAACTACTTAGCTAGTCCACCTTGGAATTCGCTTACAGAAGTTGTTCGAGAAACAAGACCTGAAAGTGGTCCAGTAGTGTGCCGTTGACTTCCGCCGATTTGCAATGGTCAATAGTGTCCTGCCAAAATAGTAGGTACGACATGAAGGAGTCTACAGTTGCCCCCAGTGCAGGGGGAAGAGCAGTCTCCTGTTTCGCATGATCCGATAGCGCAACAATGTGTGGCATATTCTCGTCGGAGGTTTCATCGAAGGACAGGCTTTCAGCTTCAATCAATATAGCTCGGGGTACACAGGATTCACAAGATACTCACCTGCCTAACTGACTATACAGTGCGCCCAGTCCCGTTGCCATTAGTGTGGCAAGGTCGCTCTCAATTAGCCATCTCTCTAGATTCTTTGAGCGAGATGCCGTCTCGATCAGATAAAGAAGGCCGGTTCGAGCAAAATCACCCGCACGGCCTCCATGGTGAACATATTCCACTAATAAGTAGAACAGTGGGAAGTCATCCTTCCGAGTCGCGCCCGCAAACTCAGCTCCAGTATTGGTCTGTTGCTCGCGGTCCTGGTCTTCGGATCTCGGAGCAAACCACGCGGGGAGAATATCAGGCTGTAGACGGATATTATTGGCGACGCCAAACAACAGCTCGACAAGTCTTCCTTCCACATCTTCTGAGTGTTTGTCCGCACGTCGGACGAGATCCACCAGCGCCCGCGCAAATAACCGGTTATCGACTACACCATCCACCTCCGAATCGATCAGGGTATTGAAGAAGACAGCGGCGGAACGGAGCATTCCATCGTCGTAAGAAGACAGCGCGAGTTTAGTGACGGTCACGAAAATCTGAGAAGATGCAGCGTATGCTAAACACGGATGAGGAGCCGGGCCTCGAGATTCATCGCTGAGGACGGAATTTAGTCGGTCAATGCAGTTGCGCGCATGGGTTGTCGCAGACTGATCTCCGGTCGGCGAGTTGGTGGAGCGCCAGATTTGCTACAAAGGAGAAATTAGTCGAGCCCCGACAGGCGGTGCAGTGAGAGGAGAGCATACTTGCAGAGTATTACATGTCCGCTTGAAGGCCGCCAATCGTTCGGTAGGAGAGCTCGCCCGGTACGTCTTGGTAGACAGCGAACGGGATCCGCCGATTAAACGAGACCACTATCGCAGATAGTTAAATCAATTCCAATGGCTATTGAGGGAAAGTGCATTTAGAGTGCAGACGCAAGAATCAACTTACAAAATCCATGATTGCGTGAGAACAGCATGATACTATTCAACCGCATACATGATTAAACAGTGGTGTTTATGGTCGCACAAGGGACTTCCACAGGGATGAGCAGCAGTGAGACTGGCACAAATGCTATTTGAATAAAACAGTTCAAACTACTAACTGGTGCTTCCTCACCCAACGACAAGATGGTCGAGTCAGTTACGGTGATGGGCCAGATGCTTTCCAATTGGCCAGATTTTGGCATTGTATTAGCGACTACGGTATGAGAAGCCTTACTGATTGAAATCTTCGAGGTTCGAATCCCGGTCTTAACAATCATTTTTTGCATTAAGTTGCGATCACATGACCGTGATCCATGTGATGTATCTAGTGAATGCTTGATTATATCACATTAAGAGTATATAAAGATTATCCATTGTTGAATACAACCACCTGCCTTCATTCTGCTAGAGTGTCACTGGCTTGGGGAAGCATATCATATCTTTATTGTCCGCATTGGCCAAAGTGCATCAAACACCTAGCTCGATGTAACTCAGTCAGGTACAGTCTTTATTGGAAGGGTCAGGGAAGCAGGGTTTGCTGGTTCAGACTTGGTTATCCACCACTATGGAACCTACTGGTTATGAAAGCTGAAAGTGAGCGTTTCCAGACATCTACATCCACTACTAGGGGGTCTATTATAGACAACATGCCATACGGTATCGATCACCATTCAAGCCCACGGGCTGGAGATCGACTCATAACTGAGTGAATTGTTCGAAAATGTGCTGAATCAAAAGCCCAGAATCAAAAGGAAGAATACCCAAGGGTACATATTCACATCGCGAGATGCAAATCAAACCATGCCCGCCATCAGAACGCCGAGAGAGTATGCGCCCGCTCTCCATCCCAGTCTAAGATATCGCCCATCAAAGTCGTTTAAACAAAGAAAAGAGGTAATGATGTTAGGAAGTATGAAGCACGAACAAAAAAAGGGGGGGGAATAAAAAAGAGGTAACGCCGACACCCATTATCTATAGCTAGTCGCTGTCGTCTTTCGGCCGTCGTCCTCCGCGCTTTCGTTTCGGTTGTTCGTTTTGATCACTTCCATCATCGTCGTGCTTTCTTCCAGCCGGTTGATCGGGTACTTTGGCAATAATGTCGGCCAGAAAATCTAATACTTCGTCTTTCACGACTGCTTGCTTCAGATGCGACGCGGTGACGCGTTTCGAATTCCGGTCTTTGGCTTCTTTTGCGGCCTTGGTGACAAGAGAGATCATGAAGAGTTCTAGAGCTTTGGCTATAAATGAAACAAAACGCGTCAACATCGCGTCCGAAATAACCTGGAGGTATAGACGAGGGAACACATCACATACAGACAGCGATTGGAGTCACCTGCGCGACCTTACCGACATCTTCGTCGGCTTGCATAATACGCTTAATGCGCGCGACAGGGAATTTTGTCTTCACCTCGACACTAGCCGCGGGATTTGGCTGGGGAGGCTCTTCCGGCAGCACCGGTGTTGGTTCGACATATGGTGGTTCCACATATGATGGTTCGACATACGTTGGTTCGGCATATGTTGGTTCGACATATGTTGGTTCGACATACTTAGTTTCCGGCATGGGCACGACCTCGGCAGCGCGCGCGATCCGAGACGACCGACGAGCCATGTCGGGATCTACAATCGGGTCTGCGAAAGGAGGGATGTACTGTTGAGAGGCTCGACGGGGTGGGGGTGGAGGAACAGGCTGGTGGTACTGCGGGGTGAAATAGGGAGAGGCGTCGTAGGATGCACGGTGATGAGCCAATGGGTTCGCAAAAGAGTATAAGGGCTGGGGGATAGAGGGGGGGATGGGGGATTGGAGGGTGGAAAAATCGGGAGATCGAGGTCGGTAAGAATTATCCTGATCTGTCATAGCTGATGTGGGTTATTAGCGATTAATATTCCTGCAGAAAAAAAAATAATACTAATAAAAATAATAATTAAAAAATAAATAAAAAGTGGTGATGGGGATGCGCGAGCGCGAAACAGGAAGCCACTAGTGTGGATAAATATGGGGTTGAGTGAGTTTAGTTACTGTGGTTTTTAGTGGGCACGTACCTTTGAAATTGAAGAATTCCGGTGGTCAAAGGGATTCCAACTAGACATGAAAAAAACGATAAAGAATGTCCTGGGGGAATGGTATAGGCATCGAACGGAGTACTAAAATATAGGTGTATAAGAAGGACTCCTAGACAGTTCCTTGGTTGTGGTATTTCAGATCTGAGATCAGATTGTCGAGGGAGTCAACAATCAATAATAACGGTAATAGTGTAATAGATGGGTATGTAATTTTTCTTTTATTGGGTTGTTTTGATCGATCGCGCCACGGATGGCCCGAGCTTTTGTCTTGCTTCGAGAAGAGAAAACGAAGGCTAAGTGCGTGGGCACAAGGGACTTCGGGCTGTGGGCACAGCAGCCAGAAAATCTGAAGGGTCCCGGCGTTCTTTTTTCATCCGCAGAGCAGCGGTCGCCCTTTTTAACCCTGCGCTCCTGGTCCACTCGCACGCTAAAAATATGTACTAAGCCGTCATTTGGTTAGCCTTGGATGAATTTAGCTTTTTCTTTTTCTTCTTCCACCACCAAATGTTTTTCTTTTTTTTCCCTTTATTTTTTTTTTCCTTTTTTGCTGCAGTTCCTTTACTCTCTCCCCTTTTATTATTTGATACATTTCCTGATGATCGCGAGAACTCATGACGACATGGGCCATGACTCTTATTGCAGCCACTACTCCGTATGGACCCCATATTACCTTCCTATCGTTACAAGTTACATCCTTCTATCTCTCCCACTTTCTATTCATGGATAGATACCCTTTTTATGCTTCTATCCTTCCCCTCTTCTTGTGAAGGATCTTATACAGGTTATGAAAGCAATTACTGATTCTTTCCTCACCTCCATCATCATGATGACCCAACTGGTGGCTCTCATCTGACCACTCGCCACCACGACCGTAAAGCAATTCACTGTGGATGAGGCCGTGATTGGGTCCCAATCCTGGTTTAGCCTTACCGCGCGTGATCCGTCTGTCGGCTCGGAATTTTCCATACTAACTGAAGACAGCTTTGAAGGGCCAGACATTGTTTACCTTCTGCTTTGGCGTGTATCTTTCCCTTTCTCGTCAATTGTCGACACTATATTCCAAACAGGGCCTACTAATGTTGTTGTCTCGGGATATCGTTGATCACACCCTTTGCTATACCTTTCGTTATTGTTATATTTTTTTTTGTTTGTGGTATCACCTCGAGTAGGTGTACATGTCTGATGGAATACTTTGCAAATTACCATGCCGGTCGATGATGACAGAATGAGCCCAGAGATGCTAGGAGAGGGTGAACACGGTAGGCAGAAACCTAGCACTGGTATCGCCGTTAGTGTCATCCTCTTGCTATTTACAGCAATACCGCATCTGTGACGGTGAAATAACTTGATCTAATCTGATGGCCAATTGGTGTTGCAAGTCAATATACATTTATTTCAGATATGCCGAAATATCGAAACATGTTGCTAGAGTCCGTATAGAATTAGGTAGCCGGTATCTGGTACCTAACTAACCCTCTGTACCAGCCTTGTTGTGTCGACAAACCCCTGATGATAGGTCACGGGCAACTGTCAGCCTTGGGCGGTGTGAGGCAGTACTATCCGGTCGTGCAGCCATTCAAATGAAATGATCGACAACCTGCACCAGAACAGCACGTTTCAAAAAACTATCCGAGGCATTTTTTTACATTGTATGTAACAGGTCAACGAGGGAATGGTGTCAGTAGTGGATGACGAGTCCGGTCAACGATATGCAGTACTCGAATGCGTGATCCTGATTTGAGACTCCACCAGTAGTATCCATAATGTGTATATACTACTACTAGTAGTAAGGAGGACGGAGTACATACATACATCCCCCTTACAGGATAGATACTGAAGAGGACAACCTTGAAAAAGGAGTATGCCGTTGAATGACCGCCCACAACTGTCAACCCCCCCCCCCCTTAAGGCGGGGAGCAAACAAGCAAACAGGAGGGACGCTCGGTCCGCACAATGTTCCGTTCCGACCAGCCTCCGGCCCGTCCAGTCCAAATTTGGTCAAGCAGTCAGATTGCGACTTACCACAATCATTACTCGCTCGCTATTCACCTGCGACGTCGTTGGGGATGCGCTTCATTACCTACTGATGGCGAATTGAACCATGCCATCTGCATTTGCCACCTGGGCTAGCCTATACTTGTCATACGCGCCAGATATTAAAGTTTCGGACTTATCTCGTGCTCTCTTGACCTCCGTCTTGACTCGATTTTCCCCATGGCTGCAACGGATCAGCCTTCGGGCTTGATGGATATTGCGAGGTAAGCAATGCCACTGGGGGTCGTCCTTTTGCCATTGTGATTCTTGGCGGCTCATTGTGTTTCCGGTGAATTAGTTCTCTCACGCAGGATGAAATTCCATTCAAGCTGCGATGCGCTATCTGCAACAAACTGGCTGTCAACGCGTTCCGGTTGCCTTGCTGTGATCAGGCTATTTGCGAGAACTGTACGCGCTCCAATTTCTTTTGCCATTCGCTGTTTCCCACCATCATAACTCGATCTAACAATCCCTTTTTTTTAGGCCAAGCGTCACTACCAGAGACTTGTCCTGTCTGCGCACATACGCCTCTCTCCTCCGATTTATGCAAGCCAAACAAAGCTCTCAGGACTACTTTAAAGGCTTTCCTTCGTACTGAGGAAAAGAAGCGTGAGAAAGAACGCCAGTCGGCAACTCCTGCGACTGCCAATGATGCGACCCCTGTGCAGGGAAATTCAGCCCATCAAGACACTCCCGCAGTTTCCGAAGTCCCGGAAACTAAGCAGGAAGAAGCCATACCGGAAGTAGTACCTACTGTCGAAGCTCCATCAGAAGAGCTTCCAGGTAGTGGAAACCCACCCGAGGTTGTCACCGAGCAAACTGATGAGAATCATGAAGCTCCCGTGGAATCCCAACCCCCGGCCGAGGTAATTCGCA